AAGTTCTCATTTGAGTCCTTGCCTTTGCTTCCTTCAGTGATGGACTGTGACCTGGAAATGTGAGTCACATAAACCCTTGTTTCCCTGCTGCTCTTGTTTAGAATGTTTTATCACAGCAGCAGAAAGCAAACATGAGGTAGACAGCAGGCTGGGGGGAATCCCAGAAGACAGATTTCACCTACAGTACTATGCTTTTAAAATCAATACCAACTTCACACAGCTACTTCAGTGTATATGGGATAACAGGAATATTTTCTATGATTCATTTTCCTCAGAGAAGGAAAAAAATCAACAAACTTGATGTTTCTGCTTTCTCTCTTTTTTTAAATGATTATTTCAGTAAAATATCTATGATAAAATTAACCTGGGGTTTATGACCACGAAGCCTTCATTGCTCAGATAATTCATTTAATTGCTGTGTGACCTCTTAACTTCTCATCTTGGATTCTTGGTATAAGCTGTTTATTTTCACCGAATTTATCAGATGTGTTACATCGTTAGTGACCCTTGGGTGGGGTAAGTGGACTGTGTTATACTTTCTTGAATCTATTTTGGTTGATTAGAAAAAGCAATGCCCATGGCTACTGCTGGTGGGCGATGGTCTTTTGTGGACTTGAACTGAGGATCCAGATGCTTGCTTCCCCTCTGGCCCAGGGATACTGTGTTCTTCACTAGAGTTCGTGGACACTGTCTTTGAAATAACACAGCATCCTCTTTGCCTATCGTGCAGGTAATTGAACTGCCTTGATCTCAGAACATATTACACTAAAATAGGTATCAACACACATCAACTGAAAGACCTTGAATTAGAGTGGAGAAAGGAATGCCACACCTCTGATTTCTGATTTCTAGAATCTAACTCTGCCAAGAAGCTTTTATCAAGGTGGAAGAATGCAATTCAAACTATCATGAGAAATTCACCTCAGAGCTATGGGCATGGATCCATGAGTAGAGGACCAACGTGCTTGAGCCTCTGGGTTTGGGTCCCTACACTTCAATAACAATAATGACAATGCCGCGAAAACTCCCTCCCGTGGATGATGAGGCTCTAATTCTCACATCCTGCATCTGTGATAAACAGAGTTTAGTGTGAACTTGCCATGAGTTCTGACTGAGCATCTCCTTTTACCTGCAAGTCAGATTCACACATTTCATTCGTATTTATACCTGTATAGGTATTTATTGAATTTATTGCTCCTATATGTGTTCTAGGCAATGGAAATGGAGCCTTAGACTTGTGTCATTATGTTTAGTGCACATTAACAAAGGATATTGTATGTTACCAATAGGTGATAAAGACAAAAAAAAACCTCCCTCCAAATAAACAAACGAGAAACAGACAAACAAAAAACCAGAGGACGGTAAAAGAATGGACAAGAAGAGACCAAGCGAAGGGAAAGTTTCAGCCACTAAAGGTCAGGCTGACGTTTCAAAGGCTCCGAAGAGGATTCCAACCTGGAATGTCCTAGAGCAGTGATGCTCTCAGCCTTCAACAGACTAGAGGAACCTTACAAACTGTTGTTGTTTGAGTATGAAATACACCCTCTTCATGTATCTGAGTGTTTGGTCCTCAGCTGCTGGCCCTATCCGGGGAGGTAGAACCTTTGAGATTGTAGCTTAGCTAGCAGAAGTGAGTTGCTGGGAGCAGGCCTTGAAGGTGACATCCACTTCTGGGTGTGGTCCATGCTTTCCATTTCCTGATCTTCCAGTGTATGCAAAAGTTGTACAGGAAACCCCCACCTCCATGGGCTGCCCCAGATACTGAACCCTCCCTCCCACACACAACGGATTGACAGTGTTTGAAGCTCTTAGCCAAAAGAAATCCTTCCCTCCTTTCTGCCAGGCATTCAGTCATGAGGAATCCTTCCAGGCTTCTGTGGTTTGACGAACCAAGACCCCCCGGAAGCAGTGGATCAGGTGTTTCAACAATTGGGACAGCTAAGATGATGGAGCTTTACAGACCACGAAAATACGGACTTATACAGGTTTCTGAGTTTTGTCATGATCCCCATGGTGTGAACAGCGCCCCTTTCCAGCAGGAAGCAGTTTGGAATGAGCAACGTCCCAATTCCCATCTTGTTTATAAATCTTTGTTTTCACTTAAATGGGATTGTTTATAATTGGTTAATGATCACAACCAATCTCTTTTTTAATGGTAAAAAGGGGAATTATGGTATGGTTATTGTTTTTCATTTATTGAGACAAAATCAAGGTCAATTTTGTGATGTGTATATTTCTCCTCTTGATTAAGTATTGTGCTTATACTGTTCTTTTAAAACATAATACATAATTGAATACAGACTATAGATAGTTACTTATAATAGAATTTATAGTTAGGTAAGTTAGGTTTTCTAGATATACAGAAATATATTTGAGATAGATAGTCTTCAAACCTTTCAAAGACCTTCAGAAAATGGCATTTAAAATGGTCTAGGGTTTTTCTTGACAATGAGAAATGTCTGCTCCTGGCAGCACCAATTATGTCTGAGAGGAAGATGGGCATCGAAGAAACTTGTTATGGAGTTTGCTTTCAACATGGCAAGATTAGCCATTTGGGCAAGAAACTGCTCTTGCCTAGACTGTTTGACTGTTGTTGTATAATCTGGACATGCAGGACCCACAGGAAAGTGACTGCTGAACTCAGTCTTACAGGGTTCCTGCTTCATGAAAGAGTCTACGGGACATTCTGCAGGACACAGAAAAATGACTGACAGACTGCCAATGCAGATGGACAGTTTGAAATTTCCTGCTTTGCTGAGAAGTGTTCCAGACACATTGTGGCCTATGGGCTGAAGATGGATGCCCCAACGTTACAGGGGAACTTCGGGTGACTGTCCAGGCAGTAAGATACCTCTGTCAATCCTAGTGTTTATATATTATCCTTCTGTGGTCTTTGATGGAGTTGAAGACAGATAGTTATAATTATAGTTTTCTGTAGTTATGATAAAAGATAAGCTACATATAGGACTTTGGACTCACAAGGATGGGATGGATGATATTTTCTTTAGATCTTGCTAAATGTTAATAGACAAAATGTTGTAACTGTGTTCTTACTTGATAACTGTTCTGTCATATACAATTTGACTATGTTAAAGTTAAGACCTTTCTTTTTGTTTAAACAGAAAAGAGGAGATGTTGGGGAAGTCCTGTGTATATGTCAATAAATTACTGCTGGCCAATAGGAATCTAGATAGGTGGGGCTAGGAGTCCAGGAGGATTCTGGGAAGGAGAAACACAGGAGAGTCAACATGTAATGCCAAGGGGTAGGAGCCCGGAACTATTCTCCGGTAAGAGACATACTTAGATTAACAGTTATGGGGTAATTACTTAAAGCAGAGCTAGCCAGTAAGAGACAAGCAAGGCCAACAGCTTCATAATTAATATAGCCTCCTGTGTGTTTATTTGGGACTGATGCGGATCTGGAACCAGGCGGGCGGGAAGGCTCCTCTCAAGGAAAGCTTCTCTTAACAGTCACTGTCACAGGAAAATTATTAACACAGGGACAAATGACAGGGCTTGTCATGGAAATCTAGCTCTATTGACTGGTGAGGTAGGTATTAGACACAGACCTGGCATTAGTGATGGAGAGGATAGCTCTGAGCCCGTCTTAAACATCCCTCTGTAATTCTGAGTCATTACTGCCACCCAGGACATCTTTAGCTAACGCTAGCGTGCTGGGTATTCTGCAGTGTTCCTTAGTCGCTCTAATGCTTGTGGTTTAAAAAAATACTCTGTGTGTGTGTGGTGTGATTGTGTTGCGTGTGTGTTTATCTATATGTTCGTGTGTGTCTTTTGCACTTGCGACGGCATGCATATATGTGGGAGACAGTCTCTCCTTCCACCATGCGGGTTCTGGGGATTGAACTGAGGTCGTCTTACCAGCCCCTCTCTCTAATTCCTTATAACATACTCCAGTACAGAGAGATGATAATTTCTCCCAGTGTCACATAAACTGAACTCAGGGTTTTTGACTCTTTCTTCTGCTGCTGCTTTTTCGTGTGGGTCCTCCTGACTGGCAATGAATGTTAATCACCGAGGAGCATCTGTGTGGACATCTAGTTACAAACCTGTCTTTATCCTCTTCTCTTAATATTATTACATGGCTTTGGTTAATTTATTTTTCTGCCTGAACTATGATGAAGGAATTTCCACAGGTGCAATAGTCTTTCTAGTCTACAGGCTCAGAGTTAAAGACATCATAGTTAAAGATATCATAGTTAAAGACAATCGAGGTAGCCTCAGGGACCACATTCTTAGATGCTTTAAAAACACAAGGCAGTGTCTCCTCAGCCTAGAAGAATACAACAGGGAATTTCAGGAACCATCAAATTGCCCAACTGACAGCTTAGTTCGGGGTTTTGAATACATATCCCGGTATTAATAAGAATCTGGTATTTTTAAAATGTAGCTGCCCGTTTTTACTCATTTTTACTGTCCCACATTATGCCAGAGAATTTAATGCAGCTTGTAAATCAATAGTTGACAACAACAACAAAACACAGTTCTTTAAACATTGCATTACTCGGTGTTCTCCAGCCCAGGACTGCGGAGAGCGCGCTTTGCAGTCTGCATTTTAGTGAGGGAGCGGAGTTGCGGACACCGTACTTAAATCACACTTTCTTTGGTCCCTCCTGGCATTCAGCACTACAAGGAGCTCATGAGTCTGGGGAAGCTCTTTGTGGGCGTCAGGGGGAGACCTTCGGGAGGGGTCTGGGAATTCTTCTGGCTCAGGGACCCCAACTGCTCTGCCAGCACCGGGGAAGCTCTTAGGTCCGCCCAGCAGGAGATCCCCGTGCCCTCCAGGCCCCGCCCCCAGCACTAGGCCCCGCCCAGACCGGCCCAAAGACTCTGCCCCCAGCACGCCCCGCCCTTCAGGTATTTTTCTCTCCACTCCCCCGCCTCCAGCAGGCCCCGCCCTTTCCGCCGCTCTCCACCCTAAGCCCGCCTCTTCCCCCGGCTTCCCCGCTCAGGCCCCGCCTTTTCCTCTGGGTCCGCCCCGTCCTTGGCGCCGGCGGTTCCGGTCGCGTGGGTTTTGCGAGCGTGCTGCGGTCCGGGGCTGGCGGCGTGCGCCATGGGGGTCCCCAAGAGGAAGGCTTCGGGGGGCGCGGCGGCCCCCGCGGGCCCGGCCAAGCGAGCCCGTGCGGAGGAGCTCACGGGCGTGCGGTTCAAGACCCAGCTGAGGGACGCGCAGGGCCCGGCGCCTGGTGAGTGGGGCGGGCGCAGCCGAGCCGACCCCTCTCCCCGGCTTCCGGGCTTTGACAGCCGCGGCTCCGGTGGGCAGGAGACGGGGTCCCCGGCCCTGCACGTCCGTGCCGGCGCCGACGGCGGCCCTGGACAGCCCGGGACTGTCGGGAGAGGGAGGGAGGGCTCCCCGTCAGCCCGAGACTTCAGGGGGCGTCCGTCCCCTTCCGCTCTCCTCAGCAGCTGTCAGCCCTAGTGACGGCGGGGTGTCACGCGTGGCAAGCCCCATAAGGACCCCTGAGGACCTGCAGCTCCTGGTCCAGGGTCCAGGGCCGGACTGAGACGGGCCCGCGTCTGCACCTTAGAAGCTTCGCTCGGTGGCGAGCGTGAGCGCACCTCACAGCCCCTTACCGTCCTGTGAGGAGACGTTGGTTCTCAGGGAAGCCACAGTTGAGCAAAATAAGACAGTGAAATATTTCCCTCGGCTAAGTAAATTGCTGAGTTAATCGAGCGTCGCGGGGCTTGATGGTGCGCGCCCTTGGTTCAGCACTTTGAGAGGGAGGCAGAGGCAGGAGGGACCTCCGTGAGTTCGAGGCTAGCCTGATCCACCTAACAAGTTCCAAACCAATTACACCTGACTTCCTATATTAGAAATGCTAGAAGGTCAGGGACGGGGCTGGAACTTGTGAAAGGTGACATTGCTACCCTGTCGGTGTCAGTAAACTCAGTAAACACCATATGGCGAGAGTGTTTCAAAAATTGTTCTCTCTCTCTCTCTCTCTCTCTCTCTCTCTCTCTCTCTCTCTGCCATCTCTCAAAAGTGTTCTCAACTCATTTTTTTCTTACAGTTTTTATTTATTTATTTATTGGTTTTTCGAGACAGGGTTTCTCTGTATTGTTTTGGAGGCTGTCCTGGAACTCGCTCTTGTAGATCAGGCTGGCCTCGAACTCACAGAGATCCGCCTGCCTCTGCCTCCCGAGTGCTGGGATTAAAGGCATGCGCCATCACCGCCCGGCACAGTTTTTATTTTTAAATTTTGGCGCCCACCCTTGATAGTCTGCTGGGAAGACGATGCCCTCCTCAGAATCCAGCGCCCGCCCTTGTAGTTGCCACTTGGCAGCAGCTGCTGTTTGTTAGGTAGAGATGAAATGGGAGAGTAAGAGTCTGACCCGGTCTTGCCGTTGTGGGTCTGACAGTCAGTTTGGGAAAGCAGTGCTCAGTAAAGCCACACAGTCACAAGTCCTCCAGAGGAGCCAGCTGTGCGTTGTGTCATGGGCCTGGGACCCTAATCTGTGAGACTGAAGAAGGTTTCCCCAAGGAAGTGGGTTTTCAAGATTGTAGAAAGGACAGGAGGCTCTCTGGCGGGAGAAGAGCGAGCCTGCTTCCTGTAAAGTGCTATGTTCCTATGTCGGGGTCGAGCTGGAGCGCATCATGCCAGCCGAGCGCATCATGCCAGCCGGGCGTGCACCAGAGGGGCAGCCAGGTCGAAAGGTTAGCAAAGCGGAAGTCAGCGGGTGAATGTGGGAATGTGTGGATTCCTTCGGTGGGGAGGAGCTTTGGGGTTCCGTTGGCAGAGGGGGCTCCGTGGGCCAGTGTCGGGGTTAAAGTGATGGTCAGTGAGTCGGGATTCTAGATCTAGAAAGGGTCTGCTGAAGTCCGATTCTCTTAAAAGTGTCTGCCCCTTCACGGTGATGAAGCCGGCCATCCTGTGAGTGTGACATGCTCGGCTTAAATGTGGTCCCTGTCCCTTGTCACCTACGTGTGCCTTCCCGAGCCCTCCTTGTGCCGCAGCCATCCCTTGGCCCGTGGTCCTCCCGCGTGTCCCTGGAGCCTATCAGTTGCCCAGGCTTGGGCCCTTTTCGTAGACCCTGTTACGCGTGCATCGTGAGGCGGTCTTAAAACTGCTGCTCTGACCGTGTTGCTCCTCTCGAGGCGTCTTTTGGTGCGATCGTACTGCACTTGTTAATGACCAAAGTCATCACCACCGCTCCGTCTACCCACTTGCTGGTCTTCACCGCAGGCCACCCTCCCCCTCATCCAATACCAGTCTTGCTGTTCCTACCCTCACTGTTCCCCCAGGCCTGGGGCTTCTCTTGTCCCTCATGTCATTGTCGGGCGGCTGGACTGCGCAGACACCGTCCTCCCTTGGTCAGAATCCCATTCTACCGTCCCGAACTCCTGTCAGTCAGCCTTCCCCTTCTCTCCTCACAGCTCTCGGTAGAGTTTGTAATACACGTCTGTTTAAGTGAGCGATAGGTCCATAACCTATGTCCATGGACTGCGTTCTGGCCTCATTCACGCCACGTTTTACCACATTGGTGGAGACCATTTACAGCTGGTTCACTACCAGCACATCCCAGGTCTGGTATATATATATATATATATATGTGGTGGGTGCTCAGTAATCGGGAATGGAAAGATGGGGGTAGAGCTGGCAAGTGTAACAGGTGAGCAGTTCCCACCCTAGAACACCCTGCGCTGCCCGGAGATTGAGTTTGGCAAGTGTTCTCTAAGAAAGAGTTAGCACTTGGATTCTATGCTGTATTGAAGAGGAGTAGGTGTTGTGAGTGACTCTAGGGCCCCTGAGGGTAGATCCCCTGGGACACTGGGACACCTTTGTCAGAATGTCATGGCCCTTGCTCATTGTCTCACTTGGCTGTGCTGCTGCAGGTGCCTAAGGTAACAGCACTGCTTAGACAGGGTGCTTGGAAATGGCTAAGCAGCGAGGATGTGCAGCAACGCTGCCCTCGTCGTAAAGTGAGGTTGGAAAAGGCCTTGTGCGGTTAGACAGGGTGCTTGGAGATGGCTAAGCAGCGAGGATGTGCAGCAACGCTGCTCTTGTCGTAAAGTGAGGTTGGAAAAGGCCTTGTGCGGTTAGCAGAGACCTGAATGTGAGCAGATGTCACCTCAGTGCTGCTGGCTTTGAAGGGTTTCCTTTGTGCTGTATGTGAACCAGAGTTAGCTCTTTATACTTTGTAAGCCTTATTGGGTAGGTTCCTTGCCCCTGCTCATTTCACAGTAAGGTACCCAGAACTCAGCGTTCAGTGACTTGCTCACCACCATGAAGCTAGTAGGTGGCTACTCTAGGATGTAGGTCCAGGTGTTTGGGTCAAGCTTATGTTTCTGCCTGATATGGTCTTACCTAGCATGTTCATAATGTGAGGCTCCTTGATCCTCACACCTGACCAGACGTTACAGAATGGCTTGAATCAGCTCATAGAGCTGCTGTCCAAGAAGAAAGATATGGTTGACTCTACTCAGCTTATGGCCCTCAGCTGCAGAATCAAGTCCTCTTCTAGGGCTAGAGCCAGGATTGCAGCCCGAGTTTGCCCACCTCATTTAAGTGTTTTCCATAGACTGCACACTAGATGATAAGCAACATTTAAGTTCTTGAAGTTCCGGATAGAAAGAACTTAATATCCTGTGCATGAAGGCTCTTCCTGGCCTGCACACAGTTTCCTCTCGCTGACCTCATGTGACATCACCTTTTCAAAGAGGGTCTCTCTGGTGTCCCTTCTTGTCATTAGGACACCAATCCTATGGGATTGGGGCATCAGCCTGGTGCTCAATCATCTTTAACTGTCTCTTAGAAGCCCTGTCCTCAGATAGTCCTGTAGGAGTTACAGCCTTAACATGAACCTTCAGTTCAGTGGGTTCTCTGCCTCTTTGGGCACGTTAGAGTGTGAGACTCGCAGAACAAGGGAACTGGTGTTGTGGTGGCTGTGATGGTTTCGGGGGAGGTGTCCTATCCATCTCTTAACTCTTATTTCAGCTTTGGAAGCCTTCATTTCTGCTGCCAAGCAACTACCACGGGAAGACATGTGTGATGTCGTTGAGGGCTACATCAAGATTTCCATGGAGTGTGCAGAAATCTTCCAGCTCCTGAGTGGAGAGAAGCGGCCCGAGAGTGAAGTAGGTTGTTTGTTGCTTGTGTGATGGAGAGAGAGAAGTCAGTGTTGTGGCACTGAGCTTGGCAGAGTGTGATATCCATGTCTCGGGCAGTACCAGCTCCCTACAGAAAGTGGTCTCCTGTCCCAGTGCTTTGCCTCTGTGGCCTTTGAAAACATTCTGAAGGGACATAGCAGCTTCTCTTTAGTAGTTTATAAACAGCGTCATAATTCAAGGTTACAGTTTTACAATGTTTATTCATTTATTTTTATGTGTATGAGTGCTTTGCCTGTGTGTGTGTGTGTGTGTGTGTGTGTGTGTGTGTGTGTGTGTGTGTGTGTGTACCACATGCATGTTTAGTGCCACAGAAGCTAGGAGAGGGTGTTTGATCTCTTGGAACCGGAGTGCAGACAATTGTGAACTGTCATGTGGGTGCTGGGAACTGAACTCAGGTCTTCTCCAGGAGCAGCCAGTGCTTTCAGCTGCTGAGCTGTCTCTCCAGCCCTAGGGTTGTAGATTCTTAGAGGCACTGGTTTACTATGCCAATAAGAAGGTGCCCTGTTTCAGACTCGGAACACAGTGGAGTTGATTGGTTTCAAAGATGCTGGACTTCATGTTGTCAGGCTGTAGGACCAAATGTCCTCAGACTAGTGAGTTTCAATCTCAATAGGGTTTTGTCCTTTGCTTTCATCTAGTGAAACTGTAAGCAACCTCTTGACTGTTTCTAGTTTAGAGCCTGGGTCTTGGCAGGTGAGGCTGTTAAGCTCTCTCCTGCTACTCTCTGTTATTTGGCTCAGGATCTGGGGGAGGCCTAACTGCGTAACTTCTTAAGACAAGAATGAAATGATGAGTAGTGTTCAATTACACCTTTGCAGGTGCTGTTAATATTTCAAGTTTTTGAGGCCATATTACTGAGGACAGCCAGTGATCTTACGCACTTCCACGTGGTGGGTACCAATGTCGTGAAGAAGCTACTGAACAACCACATGAAGCTCCTGTGCGAGTCCCTGTATGCGTCTGGCTACCGGTGAGTCACTGCCTTTGTGCTGGCTGGGTGCTGGGACTTTGGCCGTGTCTCCGCTCCCCCTTCATCAGTGACCAGCAGGGACTGTTGCTGACTTCTCTCTCCCACCAAGTGTCCCTTCTGCTGTAGCCTTCTTGTAGCTTTCCTCACTGTCCTGGACTCAGACATTCCTCACATAGCCTCGCCTGCCTAGACGGTGTCCCCGAAATGCAGTGACTGAGATGTGGCTGCTCATCATTGACAGTCACTTGAGAGATAAAGTGTTCATTTTTAGCACCAGACATGATGGCTCACACCTTAATTCCAGCACTCAAGAGGCAGAGGCATGCAGATCTGTGAGTTCAAGACCAGCTTAGTGTTTTCATAGTGGGTTCCCCTTCAGCCATGGCTACATACATAGTGAAACTCTGCTTCAAATAATAACAGTAATTTTCTCATCTTTGCTTTAGGATCTTCCCTTGGCTTTTTAGTTCCTTTTAAAGTTTTTGTTGTGCTTAAAAAATACAGAAGAAAAGAACATTCATACTTCTTTCTTTTTCCTGGTTTTGGGTAGCAAATCCTAAACTGGGCTTCCTGATAGTGCTGTCCCTGTTCCTCACACTTGGTTTCTTGTCCCTGTGCAGGTTGGCTCGAGCCTGCCTGGATCTGATGGCTGCCATGGTAACCCAGGGTCCTGAAGCCGCCAGGGATATGTGCAGCTGCTTTGATTTGAATAAAAAAACCTTGTATACCCTGGCAACCAAGAGAGATTCAAAGGTGAGACCCCCCAGTGTCATGCTTGTCCATAATTCCCTTCCCTTGGGGAGTCTTTGGTGATCACTTTCCTCCTCCCCTCCCTTGGCTCCCGTACCTGCCAAACACTGTGCCTTTGAGTAGGGCAGTATCCTTTCCCTACCCGCTACCCTGGATTTGATGGGGCCAGTGCCTCAACAGAGCCTGAACAGTTGGGACATCCAGGCAGGAAGATCTGGGCCTCCCTGAGGGAACGCGGTTGGCTTAGTGGCTTAGGACTCTGCGCTGGGAGGATAATATGTAAGCACCTTCTCTTGTGGGTGACTACAGGAGCCTTGCTCTGCTCCAGCTGTGAGTTTTCACAGCTCCCAGGTCTCTTGTCCACTCTAGAGGAACCCTTTGGACTCAGCCCAAAAGGTAGAGACTGGATACGCCGGTGTGAATGGGGTGGGAGTGCTCTGTTTTCAGGGGCACTGAAGGGCTCGCTGGTAGCTCTAGAGGTGACACAAAACACAACCACACAGGAGCCAACTGCAGGTCTTGGTGGTACCTGTCCTGTTCGCCAGATTGGCGCCTCATGGTGCTCCGTGGTGTGCACAGCCAGGCCCCAGTGCTCCCCTCTTCCTGAGAATGGAGTACAGTGAACACGTCCCCCACTCACTGAGGTGGAGAACTGTGTTGCTCTACATCTCTTGTATAACAGTGTGCTAGCTGGTTGTCCCAGTATGTCTGGGGATTAAATTTCTTAATTGCTAGGAAGTAGACCGAAGGAATACTAATAATGCCATGTAACTTTTATGGCTCTATGACATTGCCTGGTATTGAGGGTTTTACAGAATTACAAGTAAAGCAGTCTCTGAGAGAAGAAAGTTCAGGTTTTAGTGTCTCTTAGATACTGTGCTTAATTAACATGTCAACAAACTCCCATCTGTGGGTAAAGGCTTTGGACATGAACTGCATTTGTAATGAATGGGAAGAGTGTTTGTTGTTTGCACGGAAGGCCAGTGTCAAAGCTCTTTGTCTTGTCTGGCAGCGAGCCTAGCACTGATTGTTTATCAGATAATCTATCCTCCCCACTCCCTGATTTAGTTATCATAGCTGTCTGAGTAAAGTAGCCTGTTGTACCAGGCCACCCAGACAGCCTGGACAATATGGAAAAGTCCAGCTAGGGCTGCCCCTCCCACACTCTGGCTACAGCAGCTGGTTCACCTCAGGCTCCCAGGTGGGCTGTTTCACCTTGAAAGTGTTTGTGGTTTTTGTGTGTGATCTACAGAAGCTACCTTAGGTGCTCTGTATGTGTGGTCAGCAATGTCTAGACATTAAGGTTTTCCACATATATCAGAGGCATTAAAAATAGAACGGCACCAGGAACCCCGTGTTCTGGTTTTAGCTAGTGTCAGCCACCTTTACCCACTTAACACCCCACCTTTTCAGTTGACTTTTATAGCAAATCCCAGGCGGGAGTCCTATTTCAGTATAAATATTTCAGCATGTGCTCTTAGCAGAAGAGTGTCTTTTGAAAAACAAAACCACAATGCCATTATGGCACTGTCACCATTAATAATTTCTTACCATGAACACCCAGTTTGGTCTTTGTATCTTCCTGTCTCAAAAACCATTTTTATACTTGTTGGTTCCAACTGGATCCAAATAAGATCCATTTGTTTGTTGGTAGGTTTGTTGGGTGACTTTAAATATCTTAAATGCTCGACTTGCCCCTTCTGTTTTTTTTTTTGTTTGTTTGTTTGTTTTGTTTTGTTTTGATTTTGTTTTTGGTTTTTCGAGACAGGGTTTCTCTGTGGCTTTGGAGGCTGTCCTGGAACTCGCTCTGTAGACCAGGCTGACCTCGAACTCACAGAGATCCGCCTGCCTCTGCCTCCCGAGTGCTGGGATTAAAGGTGTGTGCCACCAACGCTCTGCTGACTTGCCCCCTTCTTTATTTCATGCCGTATAGCTGGAGATGGAGAGTCATTTCTGGTTTGTAAGGTGCATTTTGTTGTTTCCAAAGAAAGCAGATCATGGCTCTGTTCATCCAGCCAATGAAAGCTTGTTAAACCCCGTGCCAGAGAGTGGTTTTGCCATGTTTTGGTCGCGTTTATAAAGTGTTTTTCAGAACAAGCCCAGGGAAGTTCAGGATGCTTCCTTTCTGGGGTGACAGCCCTGTGAGATCATAGAGTAGGAATGAGGAAAAGGCACAGGCTGTCTGTCAGTGGGAGTGAGAGGCCTCCGAAGGGTCTGGGAGTGGAGACCTGCTGTGGTCAGCCTACGGAGGTGGGTGCTCCTGTCTCTGAGATTTGTCAGGCTAGTTTCTCTACAGTGTAGGAACCTGAGATTGGAGGTTGGTTGGGGTGTAGATGGAAACCAACAGGTGGGAACCAGATTCCTTTCATTTAGAAATTCTTGGTTGGAGGAACCCACAGGAAGATCTAGTCTAACTCCACTGTGTACCCATAGTCTCGAAAAATCTAGAGTGACAACAGAGTGGGACTAGGGATTCCAGAGCCCTGACTTTCAGTATTACATTGCATGCTGCTGCTGCTGCTGCTGTTGCACTGGGCTTTTCTAACTCATTTGCAAAGTGGGCATGTCCATCCCCACCCTCTCCCCCCGTTCCATCCCCTGTCCCATATCCCTACCCCCCATCCCCCGCCCCCCCGCCTGGGGATGAGAGCTGAGTGAGATGACAGCGATTCAGAGTTGACTGTAGTGCCTGACATGCATGGAGCAGGAACCAGTAAACATTGTCATTGTCCTCACTGCCACCACCTCTTCTGTTGCTGCTAGGTGGGCCAGAAAGGTCTGTAAGCAGTGGCGCTGACTTCTTGGTCTTACCAGGCACTCAAAACCGTTTTCTATCATAATATTTCTTGGCAATGCATTAAGGCATCTTGGAATAATTGGGAATTGGAAAAGGTTTTCAGTTTAAGTGGTGGAGGCTCTAAGTACACATTCCAGTGCTGGAGCAGCTGTGGAGACCTGTGCCTTCTCTTCCTTGTGTTGAGCTGTGACTGTGTCTTAACAACACTGGGAGGTAAAACTGATCACATCGTACAAGTAAACACCAGAACAAGAGACAAAAATGCAGGTCCTGCCTGCCACACTCTCAGGAAAGCCTGCAAACTTTAGGGCCCACAAGGAGATAGCAGGATATAACTCAGTTGTCTATTATACATCAGTGTTGCCTTCAGTCTGGTCGCTGACTTCTGGGAGCCTTTGGCAACTGCTCTGTTCTCACTGTCATGATCTTTGTGTCCCGCCTTGCTGGGTCATGCTGATGCCTGTGGGCTGTATCCTGGGCTGTCCATGGGTTTATAACATGAAGCATCTGTGCTTTGGTTTTTAGTGCAATTTAATAACTTGCAATATTTAATAAAAACCAGATATCACCACATTGGCCTCTCATCAAAGCAGTGCCGTGTTTCCATTATCTCTGGCTTTTCTAAAGCATGATAGATTGTTTTCATTAGCAAGCCAAAGGGAATGGATCCCCGCAGAACTAAGGCTCTTTGGCCCTGTCCTAGAGTGAACTAAAGAAACTCTTGTCATAAGTCAGGGAAGGGGCACATCTGTTTTCAGCCATACTTTTATAGAGAACAGGACTAAAGAGAGAGAGAAAGGCAGAGGGGATGCACAGAAAACTTGCTTCCCGTGAAGAATGAGGAATCCCCGTGCTGAGCCCGGAGACAAGCTCAGGAGGCTGGTGACACTAAGCGGGGAGGTGTGCATGCCTTCTGGGTTGTGTCTCTAATGGCTGCGTGTGACATGTGAGTCTCCTTTGTCCTCCAGGGGGTGCATGACGTCCGGCTGGCCTACATCCAGTTCGCCCTCTCCTTCCTAATTGCGGGTGATGACAACACTATAGGTCAAGTCCTGGAGCTAAAAGGTGGGAGCTGGGAGAAACCTACCACAAGTGGTTTCTTCCAAAAGAGTCTGCGGCTGCTGTGGCTGCGGTGGCTGTGACTGCAGAGCTCAGAGGACGTGTCGGGGCGAGGCTCCGGGCGGTGTGTGTTGACAGCACTGCTGGTGCCCTTTGAGGCTGCTTGGAGTGCTGAGCACAGCCTGAGGCAGATGAGGAAGAAATGCGCAGAATCATTGCCCGACTGCCTGACTTCCTTGGCATCTGGAGCTTTAACCTGTTTATGTGTGTGTCTGTTTTTATGTGTGGGTGTTTTCCCTGTATGTGCCTGTACGCCACATGCGTGTGCTGCCTGCAGAGGACGGAAGAGGGCATCAGACACACTGGCTCTGGAGTTAGCAACAGTTTTCATCTGCTAATGTGGGTGCTGGGAATCAAACCTGGGTCCTTTGGAAGAGCAGCTTGTGCCTGTAACCACTGAGCCATCTCTCCAGTCCCAGTAACTGCATTTTTAAAAGTGAAGTATAAGGGATTGGGATATATATAGCTCAGTGGTATAGCACTTACTTGGCATGTACAAGGAGTTTGATTCCTTGCATCATAATAAGTAGAACAGACAGATAAATTTAATTACCTTATGGCTTCACTCCATGTTGTCAGAGCATCAAGGCACCAGGGAGCTCCAGTTTGACCACTTCTGAAGACAGCCTCCTCAGTGCGAGACTTGTTATAGTCTGTTAGGAACATTGGTGTCTTATTAAGCATTTCAAAAAGATGGAGGATGACAGTCCTGGGCTAGGGCATGGCAGTTGCTCAGTCAGAGTTCAGAATCACACCCTTATGTCCTGGCGGAACACTGGACTGAGTCCTTGGAGGAGTCCCCATGTGCTACAGCCTAAGTGTTTGGTGACCGGCCCTGCCTCCCCCAGGACAGGGAACCTGAGTTTCTCTCAGCAGTGAGAGTAAGAGTAGAGGCGAGACTGTATGTGGCCAGCCTGGGCTGCGTGGTGGCTCTGATGCTGTTGTGACAGCGTTACAGGAGGAGATAGATGTACTGAATTTGCTTAGGGTCTGCATTGGTAGTTTCTTGTTGCTGTGACAAAGTACCTGTCAGAGGCAAGTTAAGGATGGAGGGTGTTTTGGCTTGTACTTTTTGGGAGCAGTCTTTCATGGTGGCAGGAGCTCAGGGCAGCTGGTGACATTGAGTCCGTGGGCAGGAAGCAAAGAGAGAAGAGTGTTGGCATTCAGCTCACCTTCTCCTTTCTGTTCAGTCAGGGAGCCCGGCCATGGCATGGTGTTGTTCACAAGCAGGGCGGTCTTCCCTCTTCTCTTAAATCTTGTGGGAGGAAGCACCTTCCTAGACATGTCCAGAGTTTGTTTCAAGCTGACAATGAGAATTGGCCACCGTAGACCCTCAGACAGTTTTCCCCTGCTCTTTCCAGGAACTAGCTCAGGGTTAGGCTGGGGTGTTATGGTTTCTCTGTGGTCACCTCATCCTCCTGGCCCCTCCCTAAAGAATTTGAACATGGTGTGGTGTTGTTTGCTCTTCATTTCAAAGTAGCTCAGAGTTTAATTCTCAACTTTTATTTTCAGAATTTATCCCATGCATTTTTAGCTCAGGCATAAAGGAGGACAAGATTTCTACCATCAACATTTTGTTATCTACACTGAAAACAAAGGTATGTATCTGTTTCTTTGAGGATGCCTAAAGGCTTCCCCATACCCCCACTCCCCATCCCCCTCCTGCCCCCATGTGTTTTAGGGTTAAGCTTCCTGTGAGGTAGTTTGGACAACAGCTTCTTAGGCTTATACTTGGCCTTGGTGGGAGTTAGTCCTGGAGCCAGAGATTAAAGAAGAGCTGGAGCTCAAGCAGCCTGGCCTCTTGTGTTACCCTAAAAACAAAGCTGCCAGTCTGCAGTTCATAGTGACTCAGCTGCAGTATCTTGGGCTGTAAATGCAAATGATACTTTCTTTACACATCTGCCCAAGTGTTCATTTGAGTCATGTTGCACATTCTGCCCTTTTCGGTTATCTTAAACATTTTAAAACTTGGTGAGGGGATCATGGCTTTTATATAGAGATACTTTCGTTGATCAGTGAAGAAACTGACCCTCCAGAATTTAAAGTTGGAAGCCAGTGCTTCAAAAGAGGCTAATAGCACGCACAACACATTAGATAATATTTACTGTAGTGATTCTCAACTAAAGGTTTGACTTCTCCACCAGGGGATAACATTTGCAAGTGTCTGGAGATAGTTTTGATTGTCACGATGGGACAGTCCACTGGTCCTTTGTGAATGAGACCAGTGATGTTGCAACATATCCTACAGCACAGCTCCCAGAGTGGAGGTCAAGAACCCCTTTACTTGAACTTATGGTTGGTCTTTGAAGTAGAACCACCCAAGGATACATTTGGAATACATGTTCCTGGACTACAGTGACAGGGATTTAGGGGTAGCTCTGGGTGGTGCTGAGATCTTGATCTGGGTCCTATTTATAAGAGCCAGTGCCTACTCCCTAGACAGATGTGTTGAAACTGTTTAACAGGATGCTGATTGTCTTTGTGGGGAATAGCCAGAGTGTGGGACCAGCAATACACCACAGGAACAGTGACATCACTTATGGTTCAGTCAGAGCGCAGAATGGTAAAGCCCTCTAAAATGATGCTCTGATGAAATTTTGAATGGTGTGAGAAGAGCTGAACCATACAAATAAAGGAAACATCCGATCAACCAGTAAATATAACCTCAGGTAAAAAAGAAAACCAGTTAGTACACACGTGTGCTTTGTGGGTGTAACTAAAACTAAACACACCAGAATAGTGAGTAGGTAGTCTTAAGATATTTGAGAATGTTGGCAGATTCTGTTTCTCTTTCTGATTTTCCTTTTCTTTGGTAATTTATCTTCCCTTGGCACACATACTTTTATAATAGTAGAAATAGTGAGCAGTATTATAAAAATTATTGGCTTTCTTTTTCTTTCTCTTCTTACTATATCCAGGTAATTCACAATAAAAACATCACAAAAACCCAGAAGGTGCGTTTCTTTACGGGGCAGCTTCTGAACCACATAGCTTCTCTCTACAACTGGAATGGGATCACTGATGTTGCTCCAGAAAACCCAGAGAGCACTGAGGTGAGTCGCTGGATTCCCTTAGCTTTGTCCTTGTGTGTGACCCTCACGGTCAGAAAAAGAAAGCATCCCAACACTACCCTGGACCTCTAAAGAAATCCCATATGATCTGTTTCCTTTGACTTTTGGTTAGATAGGTAAATTAATCCTTTGCAAGATATGACAAAGTTTTTATTCTAGTCTTAGAGAAAACAGTTACCTCCTGCTGAGTGGCATCCTGGCTGCCCCTGCAGCACCTCCCTGGTGGGTTTACAGAGCTAACTTCTCCAGGCTACGTCTTCCTCCTCTTGGTTGGCTCTTCTCCTTTTCCTTTTTAAAATATCCAGCTTTTGTAGTGTAACTTTCTTATTTCAGAACTCTGTCTAGAAGACCTCTCATTTTGTTTATTGACAGAGATAGTTTATGTTGTGATTGTTAATTGATTGCTAAATTAAAAGTCTCCCTCATATTGGCCTAAGCCTAGCATTCATCTTGGTTTTCTGTGGATGCTTCTGAACATGGACTTGGCTGGCCTGGTAAGAGCTCAGCTTCCCTGTTAACCAAGTGGTCAAGTAACTCTTGAGAGCCTGCGGTTGCTTCTTGTTATCTTGGTGACTTGCCCATGACCTGTTCTGGACATGCTTTCACCAGGAAGCCCCACAGGCTTCACATAAAAGCACTCACAAATGTGGGATTTTATTCAAAAGCGCAAGACAAAGAAGTCATTTGTGACTTTAAAAGTACAAGTTTAAACTCAGCCCTCTTAAAGTATTGTTTCATGGTAATCAGTGTATGTATGTTTCCTGGATTACTTGTTTGCTTTTTAAACCGACCTCAAGTATTTGCTGTAAAGAGTTTTCTTAGTAGTCATCATCTGGTGACACTGCTCTGCTTTTATTATGTAGGTAGAACTTTGGGATTGATAGTTTGTTAACCCTTCTAGGCGTCTGCTGAAGAGGCGGGGAAAGCCATGGTGAGGGACCTCGTTCACAACTTCCTGATAGATCTCTGTTGTTCTCGAAAGCATGGGATTTGTTTTTATGACGCCTCATTGGGAACTTCTGGCAGGTAAAATACATTGCTGTGTGAACCCATGTGTGTGTTCCTTAAAGGGTGGCATGTCCTGTCCATCCAGTGGAAACCAGCCAAGGGATGGCCCTGGAGCTTAGAGTTAGAATCATGTACAAGATTAAACTTATTTTAGGGGTGATTCTGGGAGACCTAGAGAGTCTCTCCATCAGCCCTTGGGGGCAGAGGGCTCACAGTAGCAATTTGGGCACACAGAAAAAGGAGCATTTACACGGGGAAGGTAGTGCGCATGCGTGTGTGGGTACCTAAAGACAATCGTGTCCTCTGCATCTGATAAAGAGTCTCTAGAGCCGATCTCCCCAGGGAGGGAAGGAAGTCTGCTGACACAGACTTCACAGTAGCCCTGAGCTCTGTTACCACATAGAGGGCAAGGCCCTTGCCTTGTGAGCAGCAGTGCTTGCCCTGGGTGCAAGACATTGGATTCTGAAGCTGATCCATGTGATGGCTGAGCCCCCCGCGCCTCCAACATGCTCCCATTGGGTAGGACATCAAAGTGACATTTTGTGTGTGTGTGTTTTTCTTCATTCAGTTATGAGATTTTATCAGTGAGGTAGGAAGTCCAATCTAATGGTATTAATTCTTTTGGATGTGTTTTTGTAGTCAGATAACTGTATGTCTTTGCTTTTTTTCTCTAACAACGTAAGCAATCAGTCTGCCCCACCTTTATTCAGTAGCAAAAATATGAGCATGTTTTCTAGTCCATAGTGATTTATTTTCCTCCTCTTGTCTGCATAGCATGTCCTTTATGAACTCAGGCTCGGTGTGGTGGCATATGCCTTTATAGCATTTGGGAGGCATAGGCAGTTGGATCTCTGTGGGTTCAGTCCCAGTCATAGTGAGTTACAGGACATGAAGAGCTACATAATAGAGACACTTTATAGTGCAGACAAGCAAACACAAAAGAATTCAGTCCTTGTAACTTGGAGTGGCTGTAGGGACTTAATTCATTCCTTCAACATGGTGGCATAGTGGAAAAATCTTCTGCATGTGACTGGATTTGTTTTGAGATTATTTTGATTTAATTTACTGCATTTCCTTTACTTTTTTTTTCTTTTTTTAAAACTTATTATGTATACAGTGTTCTGCCTACATTTATATCTGCATGCCAGAAGAGGGCGCCAGGTCTCATTACAGATGGTTGTGAGCCACCATGTGGTTGCTGGGAATTGAACTCAGGACCTCTGGAAGAGCAGTCAGTGCTCTTAACTTCTGAGCCATCTCTCCAGCCCTTCCTTTACTTTTTAATATTTGTTTTATGTTTTTATTTTCTTCTATATGCTGAGAATCAAACCTAGTGCATTAAGCACTCTGGGAAATTGCTCTACCCCTGAGCTGTATCCCTAGTCCTAATTTTAAAAAACTTAATAGTAGCTATTTTTCTCATCAAAATGAACTAATTTTCCTGTTAAAATGCAGCTTAAGGATTTCAGAATCCAGTACAGTGTTACCCCTTACACACCCCTAAGCATTTCCCCTCTATTACTGTGCCCCTGCAAAAGCCATAGTTAATGTAAGGTTTTTGAAACTATTGGCAAACAATAGGTTTTTATTTAGGGGTTGGGGACCAAACACTGTGCTGGTTGGAAAAGGAAAGAACTGAGGAATTGAAGGCAAAGTGCCCCAGCAGTCATGGGACTCATCCCATCATTTCTTCTGGTCCCCACAAATGTCACAACTTCAGGGAAGCTTATCGTGGTAACCCTTGCTCATAGCCTCTGTCGTCACTGTCATCTTGCCTGGCCAAGGCTTCTGTGACTTTTCTCCACCGTTTACAGTTACTCCTCTGTTCACAGTCTGGTTGGTGAGAAGTGGTCAGAGCGAGACTGGCTATTGCCTAGGATGGTGACTGCCATACAGAGTGGTGAGCAGACAGAGTGGCAGCGTGGAGCAGGGGTGAAGCCTTTTTCTGTGAGGTTCAGATAGTGCATTAAGCTTGGCGGGCCAGTCCCTGACCACCCTGCACTGCCGTGTGACACTGAAGTATCCATAGGTGACGACTTTAAAGATAGGTGGTAGGCCTTAGTATGGCAGCCCTGTGAGCCGCTGAATTAATAAGCAGATGACAAAGCCCAGGTACATCTGGATGCGCAGACTGCTAGGGATCAAGCAGATGTGAAAATAGCCTTTTTTTACGGCTTTGGGCAGATAAAGCCCAGAGCCCTGGAGCTTCAGCTATAGAGATCCTGGGATTGGGGCTTCCTGTTTGAGGCTTAATGTCAGCAGGCCTTGTCTGCTTGCCTTTGTTCATTGGCCAGGTTGGTCCAGAGCTTTCGTACTTCCCACGTGAGCCTCTTGAGCAGTGGTGTTTCAGGAGTGTGTTACCATGCCCAGCTAAAGTGCTTGAAGACACTTTGCTTATTTGGGGACACCGTGGCTCTTTGCCCATGGGATTTCTCCCCTGCGGCTCCTCTGTAGGCCAAGGCTTACCCCATTGGGTACCCTAGAGAAAATGTACTCATTGTCATGTGACTGCTGGAGTGCTCATTGTATTTATTTGAACTTGTCTGGCTGACCTCTCTTGTCCTGTCTCTGTTCCTAACAGAGGAGGAAACCTGACACTCCTGCACTTCTTGTTGGGTTTGAAAACTGCAGCTGGGGATGAGCTGGTGGCCACTCTGGTGGTGAACATCCTGAAGGTGTGCCCAGACCTGCTGACCAAATACTTCAAGGAAGTCACATTTTCCTTTCTCCCAAGAGTGAAGTCCACTTGGCTCAACAACGTGAAGCTGCTGAACAAGGTACAGAGCACAGCGAGCTGTTAGCTGGCAGGGCGGTGTCACACGGAGGAGTGGGCAGTGCGCATGCTGGTCTGCTGGGTGTGCAGGGAAGCCCTGTCTCAGGTAAGGGTTACCTGTACCATGGGGCTTGGGGGCCTGGTCCTCTGTAGCATTGGCTTTTCATGGAGTTGGATTTAGAATTCTCCCTTTTGACTCAGTTGAGCTCATTCCTGATCCTTGGGAGTCACAGCTAGGCTCGCTTGCGTCCTTATGATGTGGCTTGTTTACTGTGTGGCTGGCAATTCCCCTGAGGTCCAGCTTTGACACCTTGAACACATTTGAATGTTGAGTATCTCTGTCTGAAGGATTTTCATGGAACAGCATGGTTAACTGGGCAGTGGTGGTGCACACCTTTAATCCCAGCACTTGAGGCCACAAGCATTTGGATCTCTGTGAGTTCAAAGCCAGCCTGGTCTACAGAGTGAGTTCCAGGACAGCCAGGACTACACAGAGAGGCCCTCTCTAAAAGGATAGTGTGGTTTGTCAGGCGCCTGTCAGTGCAGCCGGGAGTGGCACCGGAAGCCTTGTTAGCGCTAGTGGTGTGTGTAGTGATGAGTGGGTAGTTGGGTTCTTACAGTTAGTACCTCCTTCAGTAACCCAGTCTCTTTCTTCCCTTTCTCAGATCTATGAGGCCCAGCCAGAGATCTCCCGGGCCTTTTGGACCAGAGAGTTTATCCCCTTGCCAAGGCTCCTGGCGATGGTGATGGTGACCGCAGTGCCTTTGGTGTGCAACAAGATCATGTTCACTCAGGCATTAAATGTAAGTCACAGGGATAGAGAGATGGGTCAGGGTTAAGAGCACTGGCTGCTCTTCCAGAGGACCCAGGTTTGGTCCCAGCACACATTGGCTCACAACCATCTGGACTCCAGTTTAGGGCATCTGATGCCTTCTGGCTTCTGCATACATGTGCACAGACAGACATACGTGCAGGCAAAACACACAGATAAAAAATAAAAGAAATTTAAAATGTAAAAACAAAGGTAAGCTCTCTCTTTCTCTGTCTTGCACATACACACACCCACTTTTTGTCTCTGTCTCTCATGAACACACACACACACACACTCTCTCTCTCACACACACACTCTCTCTCACACTCACACACACACATACACACACACACTCTCTCTCACACACACACACACACACACACCCTCTCTCACACACACACTCTCACACACACACACACACACACTCTCTCTCACACACACACCCTCTCACACACACACACACACACACCCTCACACACACACACACACACACACACACACACACACACACACACACACACACACACACCTACTGTTAAGACCTCTGGGGACAAATGACACTTCAGTTTCACATCATTTCCTAGTGGCTAAGAGCTCTTGCTCTTCTTCTAGAGGCGTTCTGGTTGCCAGCACCCGTGTTGGGCAGCTCAGCTTTGTTCTTGTCTTAACAACAGCTCCTCTTAGGAATTAGCTCTGCCATGAGAGCTGTGTTTGTTGGTGACTGAAGCTACCTCCTAAAGGTTCTGTCGCCTGTCAGTAGAGCCTCTGCCATCGTTGTCACAAGGGCGGGCTTCATCTGAGCAGCCTGGCGCGTTTTCTTTCCCTCCTTCGTGTGAGCGCTTCTTGTGGATGCCAGGCAGCTACTGGCACTGAAGACCGTTTGCCCTGGCCGAGTGGTTGTCAGAGAACGTTTACCGAGAAGCACAGGCACCTTCAGGAACTGCTTTCCTGGTGACTGCTGCAGTCAGAATGGATGTCTACGGGGAAGGTCCCCAGTCAGGTGTCCACCTAGAGACATTTATGGGTTTCATTCTCGTTTTCTTCCCAGTTGGACAGCATACCAGTGAAACACACAGCGTTGTCCCTTATCTCGGTCATTTTGAAGAGAGCATTGAAAACAGTTGACCACTGTCTGGATAAAGAGGCTTGGCAAGACTCGGGCGTGTACACAGCTGAGATGATGGAAGACTTTGTTCAGCTCTTCAGAGGGGCCTTGAGCAAGGTTGGTGCAGACCCCTTCACCAAAGGTAGAAGAGACGAAGGGCCATCCTGGGAACATGGGGTGGGAGCCAAGGCATGTGTCGTCTTAGCTGCTGGATAGGAGCAGCTGGTAAAACTGCTTACAGGTCTCACTTAGAGCAGGTCCTGAGTCAGCTAACAGTCAGACATGCACTCGCCTTGGCACAGCACCAGTGGGCTCTGGTTCTGGTGGACCCGGGGCTCACTAGTGGCTGTACCATGCCTCTCCCCCTGCCTGCAAGGGCACACACTGGGTGCTGTGACTCCAGTGAAGAGCGAGCAAAGCTGGAGGGACCCTGCTCTCTCCCATGGCTAATTCTAGTCAGGTATGACTTCTGCACACTGCCCAGAGTGCAGAGCGCCGTGATAGATAGCAAGGTGGCCAGTTACGGGAGCTGTTCCCACCCACTGTCTGGTCGGGTGAAGGAGTGAGCGCAGCTCTAGGATGGACTGCAGAAGCATGCTACAGGCACGAGCCTGTTCTCCCCGCCCCCGTGCGTGTGCACACCACACTGCGCTCACACATGCCGGTGCGTGTGCACACCACACTGCGTTCACACATGCCGGTGCGTGTGCACACCACACTGCGTTCACACATGCCGGTGCGTGTGCACACCACACTGTGTTCACACATGCCGGCGCCGCCTCCCTCTCTGGCTTTGTTTCTGCCTTTTCAGTGATTTCTCTCCATGTTTCACCTGACTGATTTCTATTCTTCACTTCTCTCTCTCGCTTAGATTTTGCCAGATCTCAACACGGTGGTTTGGGTCTGGCAGTCATGTAAAAAACAAGACGTCAAGCAGGAGCCTGGGAACGGGAGGAAGAGCAGTGACAAGACTCCTGCTGTCCCCAGGGCTGCCCAGCAAGGTGAGAGCAGCAGCTGCTTATGCTCTTGCCCTGGGGCAGAGATGACAGGCAGCCTGGGGTGGCTCCTGAGAGGACCCTCAGTAGTTCTGTGTCAAGTCCCCTCTGGCTGTGAAGAGACCTGGTGCCCTTTTTTGTGTAAGGGAAGCATGAGATGGAATTGTACATTGACATTTAGTATCTGTTAGAAATGCATTCAGTCTTTATGCCAGTACCGTGTCTCTCTGAAGACTTGACCACTGGTGCTGTGTGAGTGGTAAGGATGCCACTCTTGTGTTACAATTTGGTGTTGGCGGGTGTGGTGTCTGTATTTACATCTTTTTTTTGTTTGTTTTTTTGTTTTTACGAGACAGGGTTTCTCTGTATTGTTTTGGAGGCTGTCGGGCCAGCCCGGCCTCGAACTCACAGAGATCCACCTGCCTCTGCCTCCCGAGTGCTGGGATTAAAGGCGTGCGCCACCACCGCCCGGCTGTATTTACATCTTGATTGTTCTCATAGCAGCACCATGGGGCAGGGCTTGCTGTGTGTCCTCAGATGAGGACAGGAGAGCCCAGACACTGGTGGCCTTGCCCTGACCAGGCTGCCCCAGTGAAGTGGACTTAACCACCATGTCCGTGGAACAGTCCTTAAATCTAGTTATGATGCTTTCTGTAGCCTGAGTGTTCGGCATGTGGTTGACTAGGGTGTGTAGGATGGATGCTCACCTGATCAGGGACAAAGGGGAAGTATTTGTCCTGACATAAGCTGTCTCCCGTTGATGCAGATGATGCAGAAACCATTCTTCTGAAAGCTGCTCTGCTCCAGGTCATATGCCTCTACCAACAGGTTGTTCCCCACACGGTCATGCAGTACAACTTTGACTTCAGCAAACTCCTAAAAGGTGGGTCTTCAGGGATGGCAGGCAGGCTGCCTCTGTGTCTGCCAGTGGAGATGAAGGACACTCCAGTGAACTATAGTAGAGTCTAGGAGCTGGGAACCAGGAAGGGGTGGTGGGCAGTTTACCAGCCCATGTGATCCACCACCGTTACTTATCTGTACACTATCTCTGTTGATGCTGGCCCCCTTAAGTACACATCATGCGAGCCCTTAGGATATCCGTGAGCGTAGAGAAGGGGAAGCCAAGCAACCCAAGTTAGCTGCTCAGGGCTATCCCCGATGCTCACTCCCAGGCAGGGGTGCATGGGCAGCAGAAAGGAGAGCCCTGTAGTGGGGACATGCCACCCTCTTTGTGCAGAGGTTCATTGGGTGTAGTTACTTCATGATTCACCTCGCTGAGGTTCATACCACCTCATATAAGAGTATCATCATGCTTGTCTGGACATGGCTCCTTGATGGTCTCGTTTGCCTAATAAAATTGACTTTATAATTGGGCTTACAGAAGATGACTTGTAAAAATGCCATTCTTAGAATTTATTTAAGTTATTGAAATAATATTTTTGAGACTTTTAATTAGTGTTTTAATCAGCAGTGAAAAGTTGTCTTTTCCATGAGAATATGAAACTTACAGAAGTGTGGCCACATAGACTTAGCAACTACATCCTTCCCAAGCAAGGGAGGAGGCAAGAGACCAGGGTCCAGGCTCAGGCTCAGTGGTCATAGTCTCTCTCCACAGAATACTTACGGCATGGATAATAGGGCCCATGCCCTGCAGAGACTCCTGGGGTGTTGTAACATTGATGAGTTAGTAACCACACTTGGAGGCGGTGTGGTGTGGTGTGGAGTGCTGACCCCAGCTATAGGATAGGTAGGAATTGGCTGGGGGACACCCAGGCATGTTTTGGGCATGTGGATTCTGACTTTTGTTGGGAGAATTTGACTAGACATCGGGTGGGATGTTCTCACAGCCTGGGCGAGGAAGCATGCAACACAGAGAGCAGACTGCACTCTTCCTTTCTTCTCTGGTCAGTGTCAGCTCTGGGTAACCTTGTGTTTCCCTGATGTCCGTCTGCAGGCGTCATCTCTGAACAGGGCCCTCCTGAGGAGGTCCCCCCCATCTTGCAACACCACATGCTGAAGGTGGCCCTGGAATTGCCTGCTAACAAGTTTATGTGGCTAAAGGCACAGGTAGGCGGTGGAATTTCTATAGTCTTCTGCTGCCAATTCGCTGGGCTGCCCTTTGTCTCCGTCCTTTCACAGTTTTGCCAGTTAACACATTTGAAGATACAGCACGTCACTTCTCCTTTGTTCCGTTCTGGGCATGCAGTCACATGTTTGTTAATGGTACATCTTAACAGTCTGAGATAATGTCCAAACTTAGGAAGGCCCCGATGCAGAAATCATTGGAGGAGAACGCTCGGTTTTTTACCTATTGATGAAGATGTTTGTGAACAGTAGCCATTTACAGCTCAAGTCATCCACTAAACTTCTGATTATAAAGGTTAGTATCTGACAAGTGTGTACCTGGCTTTCCTTATGGTGGGTGATTGGGAATGTCATGGAGTACAGTAGATTTTTGCAGGCTTTAATTTAGAGTGTAGTACATTTAAAATTCTTATGTTATTTATTGTGTGTGTGCATGCACAGGTGCATGCAATAAATAAAAGCACCACAAAGATGAAATATGAAGCAGTGAGTCACAGCTCGCACCGTATAGACTCTACACATATTCTGTTGCCGTGGAAACTGTTTCAGAGCTGTGCCTCGTCCCTCACTCCCACCCTCCACCTTGTCTGGGCCTCTCACTTTTTGAGCTTGCCCACCACGCACAACTCAGTGTCTCCAAAGTCAGTGTGCAGGGGGAGGACTTGGCTCTCTCTTTCTCCTTGCAATGGCACTCTCCCAGGGTCAGGTCACCAGCCAGTCATCATAAGACACACCTGCAGTCAGACTCAGTGGGTTTGAGGCCAGATTTCCACACCCTGTCTCAGAAGCACTAGGTAGTGGTCAGTGCTTTTAGAGTGCCGTGATGTTACTTTGCAGTTTTCCTTGGAAGGCCGATGGCTTTGCTGCATTTTGAGCTTCTTGTCTGAGCTGCTTGAAGACTATACTGTTTTGAGTCCCTCCCCTCACCATGTCCATTTCCCTACTGACCATTTAGCTGTGAACTCGACCCCAGCCAGATGTCATGACTAATAACTGCAGAGGGGATTGACAGTCACCAGGAGTTTGGTGCACACTGGTGCAGGGCCCTGTGCCACAAAGAGCACTTAGCCCCTGAGGCTCCTACATCAGCTGGCCATTAGGGCAACTGAGATTCTGCCTCACAACAAGCTCTACCCTGGTAGGAATAGTATCCTTCTTGCCTGGGTTGGAGTTTCCTCAGGCTAAGGGTTGAGTCACTGTGAGGGGTCATTACACATGCTTAACTGTTCTTTGGGAAAAATCCAGATGATAAACCTGGTAAACCAGTTCCCTAAGAACCACCTCGTTCATTCTCCTCATTACAAGTTTGGGAAAGGAAGGGCGTTATACAGCAGTGAGAAAGGAACCATGTTGTCCCAATGGGGTGTGGAGAGATCTCTGCCCAATCCTCAGCAGTGGCAGCCCCCTGTAGTCTGGCACGTCGGTGTGGAAGTTGCAGCTGCACAGGAAACAGGTTTTGTTGTGACATTTGCTTGCTCTACTGCCAACAGATTCTTCGGGACACGGGTGTGTTCGAACACACGTGGAAAGAGCTGGAGCTGTGGCTGGAGCACCTGGATCGCACCGCAGAAGAGCACAAGGAAGCCGTTATTCAGTTCCTGGAGCGGGTGAGTGCAGCCCCGTGGAGCAGTGTGCCCTGCGGCAGCCGGCGTGGTACACTGAGCCTTTCTTGGTGCACTCACGCCTGGCTTCCCAGCCCTGCCGACACCGAGAGCAAGCCCACTCGGTAGAGCAGTGTGCTACTGCATGCCTCTTGACCCCATTCGGGAAGTCTGTTTTCGTGTGAAGGAATAAGGCTCTCCCAAGCTCAAAGCAGTAGAATAAAACTAAAGCAAAAGCTTTAAAAGTCTTTTCAGTAAAATTATATTATTATTCTTAATGAGGGCACTTAACGTTTTCTCTTTACTTGTCACCGTTTGACTGTCTTCACCCGCCTCTCTTATGTCCAGATTTTACTGACACTGGTGGTGAGTCCTTACTCATACACGGACAAAGCTTCTGAGTTTGTTCAGGAAGCCAGCACCCTGCAGGCCACTGTGGGGAAGCAAGACACGGATGATGTCAGCATTCCTATCTCCCACATTGATGGTAGGTTCCGTGCCCAGAGCACTGCCCGTGCTCAGAGTCTCGGTATCGAGTTTGACAGGACCAGGCATGAGGCATTGGGCAGAGTACAGACCGCCCGCTTCCCTGTGTGGGAGAGCCTCACACTGCTGTGCGTGGAGAGCTCACCTGCTGGGCGTTTCTGTGTGCTGTGCACTGGCACTGTTAAGCTCTTTACAGATCTCACAGAAACCTCATAACAGCTCTAAGGTGAGGAAGGCACTGCTGCCCTCCTTTATGTGCAGTTACAAAGCCTGGGGGCAGAGAGGCTCCCACAGTTACTTCCTAGCCTTTTCAAGATTTGAACCCAGACGCCCAAGTACTGGTCTGTGTCGGCTCACCTGTCTGAACGTTTGGGGTAATGATCCTGGGCTTCAGTTACTGCCTTAGCTGGGTACCTGTACTTTGTCAAATGCTGTTAAAACTGCAGGCAGCATCTTCATCTCTGAAGTGTTTTCCCCGAGAGGAGTTTGAAAATTTTTGTTTCTCTCTCTTTTGTAAGTGTCCTCTTGCCTCTCCCTGTCTTGGGCTATTTACAGTGGGATCCCTGGTGGCTCCTTCATAAGCTCCCCTCCCCGCCTCTCCCCTCCTCTCTTGTGTCTCAGATGTGCTGGACATGGTGGATGTCCTGGTGGAAGGCAGCGAAGGCCTGGACGAGGACATCGGATTCTTGTTAAATGAAGACATGATTCAGCTCACCTTCCCCTTCAGTGCTCTGGTCCCTGCGGCTCTGGAGGCCAGGAATAAGGTGCTCCTTGGGACAGAAAGTACAGCAGGTACCTGTGCATAGTCAGGTGTCTACAGAAGAGGTTGGGCTTGGGTACCAGAGGCTGAGAGTATGAAGAGCCAACCATCAGATTCCCCAGAGTGCCGGACCCTCAGCCTGGGGCTCCGTACAGGGAGAGTGTGCAGGTGACAGGGCTGCTGGCAAAGTAGTCCCTGAAGGACGAGTCATGTGTTCACGTGACTCTGTGCAGCCAGCTACCACCCGGAGGGTTTCTTGGGGCTGCTCAGTCCTACTTTCAGGATAGGGACAGATCTTGGCTATTTGTTGGGTTTAGACCTGAGAGCACTCACAGATGATAGGAGTTCAGAGTGCCCAGACTTTACCATACACATGAGCCCCCATGTTTGAGAGTAAAAGTCTGTTTCCTGACTTTGTCATAGGCCGTTACAGGCCAGGTAGCTCCTCTGGTGGCTGTCTTCCAGGAAGTGACCCAGGGATACAGGCGATTCTCGTGTTATAGCCACACCACCTGACAGCATGGTATCTAAGATCCCTGGGGAGGTGATGCCGGTCTTCCCAGGGTACCTGATAAAGGGGGGGAGTGCTGCACCTGGAGAATGTGTTCCCACCTTACCTATGGGAAAGACCTGTGTGTCAAGGCAGAGGACAGGACAGAGAGCCACCAGCAAGTCCTGGGCCCAGGTAGCTTTGGTCTAGCTATCTGTATGCCTGGATCTCCACTTGCAGACCTGAGGACATGATGTCAGACCATGTGCTCTCTATATATTGAGCGAGAGCCAGGGACACTGCAGGAGCCTGCACCTTCCCGTGTGGGCGTCTCTATATACTGAGCGAGAGCCAGGGACACTGCAGGAGCCTGCACCTTCCCGTGTGGGCGTCTCTACATATTGAACGAGAGCCAGGGACACTGCAGGAGCCTGCACCTTCCCGTGTGGGCGTCTCTATATACTGAACGAGAGCCAGGGACACTGCAGGAGCCTGCACCTTCCCGTGTGGCGTCTCTATATACTGAACGAGAGCCAGGGACACTGCAGGAGCCTGCACCTTCCCGTGTGGGCGTCTCTATATACTGAGCGAGAGCCAGGGACACTGCAGGAGCCTGCACCTTCCCGTGTGGGCGTCTCTATATACTGAACGAGAGCCAGGGACACTGCAGGAGCCTGCACCTTCCCGTGTGGGCGTCTCTATATATTGAACGAGAGCCAGGGACACTGCAGGAGCCTGCACCTTCCCGTGTGGGCGTCTCTATATACTGAACGAGAGCCAGGGACACTGCAGGAGCCTGCACCTTCCCGTGTGGGCGTCTCTATATACTGAACGAGAGCCAGGGACACTGCAGGAGCCTGCACCTTCCCATGTGGGCGTCTCTATATACTGAACGAGAGCCAGGGACACTGCAGGAGCCTGCACCTTCCCATGTGGGCGTCTCTATATATTGAACGAGAGCCAGGGACACTGCAGGAGCCTGCACCTTCCCGTGTGGGCGTCTGACCTTCGTGGAGCTAGCACTCGGTTTTCCTGAGTCTGACGTGTCTCTGCAAGGGGGTTGTGTCAGTATGTCATAGAAGCAGTCTACTCCCTAACCCTGCCCGCCAATTCCTCTGCAGGGCAAAGCATCATGGCGTATCTGATCGCAGTGCTGACCGACCTCCTCCATACCCAGAAGGACCCCCTCGCTCTGTGCCTTCTGCTCCAGGCTTATGACAAGACTGAGCCTGCCAGCCTGCTCTGCCATCAGCACCTTGCCCAGTTTCACAGATACTACAGCCTCTGGATCCCTGAGCAGGCCCGGGAGGCCTTGGTGAGCTGCACTCGCTGCTCCTCCCCAGTGTTTCTCCCTGATGCTATAGCTCGATGTGCGTCTGTGAGGTCCAGACGCTGTACGGTTAGCTGCGCGGTCCAGATGCTGTATGGTTCACAGTGTGAGAGCTTACCTTCCCATCGCCATCCTGCTCAGCTTAGGACAACAAGTGGCTCTTCCCCTTTTCCCTTACCGAGTGAGGTGGAGTGCTCATCTCCGCTGTCTTCTGCAGACCCTAGTGTGCTTGGCTAGCAGACCTGCCCCTCAGTAACCCGATGAGCTCCACACTAGAACTGGGGGAGTAACTGGGGTGATGGGGAGGATTCTTGCTGTGGTGCTCTGTGTCTAAACTGTCTGGGATTTGTGTGGACTCATTCCATTTCAGCTGTGCTTAAGAACGCAGGTCACCTAAGTCTTGTGATGGTAGCCATGTTGATGGTGTGCCGTGTATATTATAAATCACTTGATCCACCACCTCTGAGGTGCTCAAGGCTCTGACCACCCTTAATATATACATTCAGAATCTGCGGTGCAGAGAACTTCCACCAGCAATTAGAGGTGGGGCAGGGTTTGATCAGTCTGGGTCCAGAGCTCTTCCTCTGCACAGAGGCATGGTTCCCACCAGTCAGCAGGCAGTGGAGTTCAGTGCCGCTCCTCCTGAGAGCCAATGTGGTGTCCGTCCTCTGTGGAGTGGATGGCGGCTGGGTTCACCCTTTCTGGTGCTTGCTGAGACTTGGTTGCCAGCCAGGCCCTGGCCATAGTATGATCCAGCCAGCAGAGACTCCATCGGCCTTTGTCACACTGTCCCAAAGAATGCTGCTGCTGTGCTGGTCCTCAGGCTGGGCTTGAGAACCGCTGAGCATCCTTACTCAGTGGCTTTGAGCTCAGTAGCTGCTGAGTCCCGTGGGTGATTATATGTGAATAGTTTCTATTTGGATCGGGACTGCTCTGGATCCTTCCTTTCCTTCTACCCATTTTCCAGTCCTTTTGACAAGATACTCGGGGTAGGCAGGTAGCTCTCGCAGGGCTCTGCTTTGGGTGGTACTTCCTAGCTTCCAGCAATTTGTCCTGGGACAGCAGTGATCAAATCCCATTTTTGTGGCAGTCGGGTCCTCACAAAAAGGTCTGTTCATACTGCGCGTTAGGTGTTCTGCGCTCTGCTGGCAGGCATGCTCTAGGGGGCGTCAGCTGTTAGTGTTGGGGTTGGGTTCCTTGAGTGTGGTGCCACACTGGACCATGTGTTCAGTGTGAAGTGCCCTTCATTGCTCCTTACCCAGCTGTCACCGGAGTCTGCAGCCTTTGCTTCTGAGGTAATTTCTTTTCTATTCTGTGCCTTTTGATCCCTCAGCCACTGCAGGTGCCCAGCAGCTCTGTACCCCTTGACCCCCCATCATCATCTTGCTTCTCCACCTTGCTGCAGACATCGTATGAGAGCCACACACTTGGGGACAAGCACGTTCAGACACAGCTGCTAGCTGCTGTCCCGCGTCTAGCTCTGCAGCAGGTGCTGCGCGCAGCCACACAGGTGCTGCTGTACCTCAGGAGCACTGTGGAGAGCTTCCGCCAGGTCAGTGCCCTCCTCCTCCTCCTCCTCCTCCTCCTCCCAGCTCTCTCTCCACCAGCAGAGAGTGTGCGCTCCTCTGAGTCTGCACCACAGTGGCCATGCAAGCACAGAAATCCTGATAGACCACGAGGCAGACCCCGGCTCTGGAAGCTGGGCTCTTGGCTCTGCTGGGCCCCTCTCCTCAAGCAACTGTTCAGAGACAGCAGTGCTCCTCTGTGTGGGCCAGGGTGTGTCCTCAGGACAAGGTCCCTGCTATGGTAGCCTGGACAGCAGCAGCGTAGCCAGCCCTGCTCTTTGATGGTTTGTGAGAGTCCCGTAGCTCGCTGCTGAACTTTCTGCTGATGGGCTGTGTAGCTCTTCCTCTTATTAAAAAAATCCACTTACTACATTCATTCATCTATTTACTTGGGTGCATGTACAGGATGTGCCTGTGGAGCCAGAGGACAGCGTGTGGGAATTGATTTTCTCCTTTGACAGTGAGGGTCCTGGGGATTGAACTCAGGTCGTCACACTTGGTGACAAGTAACTGTACCCGCTGAGCCATCGTTCCCTTTATTTTAGCCAATTTAACATTTGTATTTCTCTGCGGTTTGGGAAGACAAGTCTTCTTTATCCCATGCTCCTAAATAGTGAGTGTGTGTACAAGTGCGTCCTTATGTACAGCTTGGCTAATCTGGGTAAGAATGGAGATCACCTCACAGTCCTGGAGGAAGGCAGTCTCCCGTGAGAGACCCTATACCTCCAGTCTCTACTGATTCACTCCGTAGGACCAGGCAGTCAGTGCTCTGCTGGCTTGTCAGCCTTCCTTTGCCTGAGCGTCGTGTGTCTCTTACAGCTGGGCAAAAGTGTGGGCCCCACCCTCCTGCAGCTCCTCCTGGACCTCCTTAAGCACCTGGTTGTCCACGCTGAGCAGCTGGATGCCCAGAACCAGCAGAAGGCAGAGGCCGCCCGTGCTGAGTCTGATCTCTTTTTGGACATGGAGTCCGTTGCTTCACTTGAGTTGGCCACTGATAAGGTACCACCACCACAGCCTGGTATCCTTTTCCCACAGGTCGCAGATACTGACTGTCCTTTCTGTGTTCACCATAGGTAGGAGAATAGAGAAATGTAGAAAGCTGTGAGATGGTGTGGCCCTGCCCAGGGATAACAGCTTAATCTGGGTTCTGTCCTTGCAATCACTCCTTTCCAGTCTTGTCAGCCTACATTCCTATTTGTTTCTGAGCCCCTGATGGGGTGGGGTGGGGTCAAGCAGCTGGGTCCTGTGCTGACGGGGGCCTTCTATAGCTCATGTGTGGCAGATGCTGCAAGCTTGCCTGAGAGCGCCATCAAAACTGGGGCTAAGAGCAGCTTTGCAAAGTGCTTCCTGCTGTTTTCCCTGAGAACACAGAATGCTTGCAGGGAACCGCAGCCTCCCCATCCTGTGTCACATAAAGTGTGCCCTTGTTTTTCAGACAGTAGAGGAGGTGCTGGTGGCCATCCTCAGACATCCCACACTGGAGAGTTGGTTTCTAGCCCTGGAGCGGAAAGCCTTGCCCCCCCACACGCTCAGCCCCACCCTCGTGAAGCTGCTAGCGTCCCACCTCAGTGCAGGTGTCCTTCGGCTGCTGGTGGCGTGTTCCCCAATCCTCCGTAAACTGGGTCAGTTAGGCCTCCTGGCAAAGTACTCAGAAGCCATCACTCAAAGTGTGTTGAGAGAGCTGCGCACCAGGACTGGAGACTCCGCCACAACACCCAAGACCCTGCCTCAGCTCGAGGCCCTGCGGGAGCTGCATCCATACATGGAAAGTGTCCAGATCCGAGAGGTCACCCTGGCCCTGCTGGGCCTGCCAGAGGCCCACCTGCTGACCCAGCAAGCCACACGGTCTCCAGGAAAGGAGAGACAACTGAGCAACCTTGGGAAGACCCTGGTACAACTGCTGGCAAGCAGCCCCCAGGACCCGCTGCAGAGCAGTGAGCTCCTTTGGTGGGCCGAGTATGTTCGAGGCCTGGGGGCTCTGCTCCCTGCTCTGGCTGAGCATGAGCTGGATGCTGTATTCCTTCGGACTCTGCAGAGAGACCCTGTGCTGGCCCCTGTGGTCCCAGCTGACCTACTTGAGTACTGCCTGCTCCGACGGACAGAGGCATCCCTGGGCATTGCCAGCCTGCTTCTGCAGCACAGCAGCACCCACCTGCTGAAGTTTGAGCTGTGGTGTGGGCAGCCTGGTGTGGGGCTCCTGCAGGAGCACCCGGATGACTTCCTCCCCCTCATCCATGTGTATCTCCAGCACAGGACACAGGGATGCTTCACACGGCCAACAGGAGGTATGGAGAGATCTGCCTTTGGGCAGCGTGGCGTTTCTGCCTGTAAAACAGGATGGCTTGCCATCTTAAACCCTGTCAGTTCTGGGGCATGGTACAGTGCTATTCCTCCTTACTGTAATCTCTTTAGGCTCAACATCTCAATATCCTGTCTTGAGTGTAGCCCCAGGTGCCTGTCCATTCCTAATTACAAAAGCAGGGTAGGGTGGGCAGTAATTGGGTCTGACTGTCTGTGATTGAGCGGAAGTAACTGAGAGCTAAGCCATCCTGTGTCCCGTTACCCTGTCCTTTCCCTCAAGAAAGTGGTTGGTGAGTTCATACTGAGTCCAAGCAGTGTGAGTCCAATTCTCCCCATGCTAAGCCTCAAGTCTGCCCCCAATCCAACTTAACCATGTATAGTAAGCATAAAAGTGATTCCGACATTGCGTTGTATGAGTGACAGGTGCTGCCTAAAGGGAGGTTTCCCACAGGCAGCCGCTTCTCCATAGGTGCCTTGCGTGGTACACAATAACCTCTGCTTTGTGTCTCTCTAGTGTGCTCTGCTGTCACTCCTGTCTTGAGGGCCCTGTGGAGACGAGTACGACCCAGGTTTGTTCATACTGATGGGCTCTCCAAACATGAGCTGCATCTGGAGTCCCTGGCCCAGCTCATTCCATTCGCAAGAACCAAAGACCTGCATGTTCTCATGGACCATTTGCCCAGCTTGCTCCGGACTCCGAGTAGTCACAAGAGGTACGCAAGCCGAGGCCATTGGATGGCTTTTCCCTTCTTAGTGTCACTCCTCTCTTCGGTATGCGGAAAGAGTTAATGAAGAGTGTCTGTCTTCCTGCTGTGCCAGTAGACGCCACCGCAGTTCTGACTAGAGCAGCCGTATGGCTGGAGAAGTGCGTGTCTGCAGTGGGTGCTGGGCCTGAGCCTTGAGAGCAGTTTCTAGAGTGGCTCCCCGTTGTTTGCAGTATCTAAGTTGGGTGAGGTGGTGAGGTTTCTGGTCTCCAGAGGGTAGAGAAGACAGAGTGCCACTGAATGCTGTGATAGAACAGCCTTCCAAAGAAAGCACCAGGCCCTGTATGTCACCAGTGCGGAGGTAGGGAGACCCTAGTTAGGAATGAATCTGGGTCCGACCAGTGACTCATTGCAATAAACATTGACCGTAAAGCTGGTTGGACAAAGGGTGTATGTGTGACACACTGCTCTCAATGCCACCAGGGTGTTGCAGAGGCAAGAGAGAAGGAGAAGCAGAGAGGTTTTTGTTTGTTTGGTTGGTTCGTTTTGTTCTTTTTTTGTTTGTTTGTTTCCTTGTTTTGATTTTTTTTTCTTTTATGGGTACTGCAGGTGGGCTGAGGGGAAGATATGGGGGACTGGGAAATGAGCGAAATTAGGGTACATGATGTGAAATTCTCAAAGAATCAATAAAGGAACTATGTTTAAAAAAAAAGATAGTAACTTCCAAGTCACTGGTGCTCTGGTCCCACTGACAGTGTGGTGTTAAGTAAGGGTGGGTAGTGTCGGCACTTCGCCGTGCACACAGCCCTTAGCAGTGTATCCCCCCACCTGGTCTCTGCTGCAGTTGGATCGTGGCCGACTCTGTCTCAGCAGCCTTGGCAGAGTCCGCAGAAGAACTGAATGCCTGGAGGAAGACCCTCCTGAGGTCCTGTATGCAGTGGCTGGCTGTATCCTTCAGTGACAGGGAGCCAGGAGATGAAAACGCCCAGGAGCGAGAGAGGCCAATGCTGTTGCGAGTAAGCGAGTTGTTGGTAAGTGTCTCTCCTTAGAGATACATTCTGGTTATGTCTGAGGGGACACCGAGCCAGACAAGCCAAATTGAAAGCTCCATTTCTAGCTGCGTGTGTGAATGAGGCCTCCTAGGAAATGAAGGGAGTGATGTCCAGAGGCAGCGTGGGGGTGGGAGGGCACTGGATTTGTAAACCATCTTTTATCAGGAGTAGATGTTGGATTTTATCACTTTTATATGCATATGTATAAAACAAGCTGTATTTTCAGACTTCATTTGTTGTGTCATAGATTTGTGAATTTAAAGTAACAGGAACCCAAAGATGGTCTAACTTCAGCATGTACCCTGAGTGTCTCTTCTCTTAGTTAAAGGACTCTTTACAGATAGGGCAGTGAGTAGCAAGGTTTTGGTTGTTCAGTAGTATTCCATGTATGGTGTCTAACACCATTTCTGCCAGTCCCATGAAAATGTACGTTTCCTGGGTTTTGTGATGATAAAGCTTTCACACACCCACTACAGAAACCAGCGGTGCAGAGCTGGCGTGTGGCTGAGTGGTAGAGGGCTGGCACCTGTCGGTCCCCATGCTCCGTCCACAGTACCCTGCCGCCAGCACCAGGATAGCCAGCAGTGTAAAAATAAGAAAACCATGGTAGGTGAGCGAATATCCTAGAGATGTTATATCTCAGCATACAAATAATTGAGATAAAACTGAATTTAAGTGTTAGGAACTCACTCACAGACATGCCCAGAGGTTTTTGTCTTGTAGATTATTCTAGATCCTGTCAAGCTCAACCCTGACCACCACAGTTCCCTTGCACGTTTGATCGGTTACATCCAGGTGAACCCCTGAAAGAGCAATTGCTGGGGCAGAGAGACAGGCTTTAAGATGAGTCAGAGAAGCCCTCAGTGGGGGCCCCGTGCCCTGGGTTTCTTCACAGCCTTTGGCACTGAGGTCATGCTGACCTTGGTGGAGGCCGTGACGTAAGTGAAGTTGACTTAACTGGTGCCTCAAGGCCTACATTGAGCCTCTTGTTCCACAGACCTCTTCCCTTGTACACTGTTTCCTGGGGTGGGTGAGAGTGAGTATTTCCCATTGGTTCCTCAATAAAAGGCTAATTGCAAATCTACCAGTGCTGTCTGAAAAGGTTGGGAGGGAAACATAATATGGCCACTTGGGAAATGTCCCTTTGCATGTTTGGTGTTCACTGGTGTGCTGACAAAATGTCCCTACTACTTTAAAAAACAAAACAAACAAAACAAGGGGTTGTAGCTCAGTGGACTGAGCCCTTGCCCAGTATGCACAAAACCCTGGGTTCCGTCACCAGCACTGAATAAAAGCATGGTAGCTCATACCTGTTATCCTAGCACTCAAGAAGTAGAGGCAGGATGATTAGAAGTTGAAGGTTATCCAAAGTTAGTTCAAGGCTGGCTCCATGAGACCCTGTCTCAAACAACGCCCTATATCGTTTGGGTACTTTGCTTATATTCTCTGTAGATCCAAAATCTGCATGCTAGACTTTGTTGAAAGATCAGGTCCTGTCTCTCTGCCCACTTAGTGTCAGCAGGAATGGCAGTAGGTGGCTGGAGTGGCTGCAGGGTAGACTGACAAGGGCTTAGTAGGAAGGATGGATTCAGGAGGCTAGAGAGAAGAGCTGGAGCAGATCCAACTGCTCCCTGAAGACTGCACGCGGGAGTCTCGCGTGTGCTCCCTCCCTGGCAGACTGCACGCGGGAGTCTCGCTGTGCTCCCTCCCTGGCAGCTTCATGTGCTTTTGCTTGCTTTCTTCTAGCATGCACTTGAAGATGTTGACCCTGGTGACTGGCAGCAGTTTGTGAAGACAGGACTCAAGTAAGTTGATTGGATCTTCATGGTGCTGCTTATAAAGGTGTGGGGTGTTCCAACCATGCACATCTCCATAGTTCATTATTAGAGTACCAGTCACAGCACGGCTGTCAGCCTTGTGTGTAGAGAAGAAAAACATTTCAAAAACACAAAAGTGGAAACGACACAGTATTGCATGTCTGTAATGCAGCACTTGGGAGGAATTTTGCATTCAACCTCAGCTACATACATAGCAGGTTCAAGACCAGCCTGAGCTGCATGAAACTTTATCTCAAGAAAACAAACCAGGCTGTTGAGATGGCTCAGTGGATAAAGGTGCTTGCTGCCAAGCCAGACGCGCTGAGTTTCATTCTGACCACTTGGTCTGACCTCCATATTCATGCTGTGACCTGGGCACACCCACACACGTAAACATACACAGTTGGTAAAAATGAAGTGTAGAGATGACAGCTGCGCTCAGACACGAAGAGTGTCATGTTTCCCTATTACGCCTAATGATTCTCATCTTCCCTCCCTGCCCCCCCCACCGCATAGTTGTCATCTTCCAAGGCTCTGCTTAGCTTCTGGTTTTGTTTGTTTATACCAAGCTATAGCCACCAGCCCCTTTATGTGGCAAAGTAACAGTATATTATGTTATTGCATGTGTTTGATATTTTGAACATTCATATCATTCTTTGCCTTTGTTTGCTATTTGTACTCATGTTTCTGATTTAAAGCGTACAGATCTAAAATCCCATGTCTATATCGTACAGTGGTTCCCTGCTGGTGGATGTCTAGGCTACTCTGCGCCTTCCCTACCTGTGTGACCCTGTGGTGACTCCCACATGTCCATGGGTGCACATCGATACCCATCTTACGTGTAGAGCTGACTGTCTTAGCTGCACACTTTGAGAGACTTTGTTCCCAGCAGGGAATGCGGGGCGTTAATGTGACCTCAGTCACGTTTGCTCTGGTCAGATGCTTTACTTTGGGTGTTCAGGGAATCATGAAATGATGTGTGGGGCCTGTAGTCTTCATTTCTGACCATTTGTGATGTAATGCCAGAGGAAACGTCATGCAGAAGAGAGAAGTGAAGGATGGTTCCAGGTTACATACCGACATCGGTAGTCTTCTTCCTTCTGTGTGTGTGTGCGTGTGTGTGTGTGTGTGTGTGTGTGTGTGTGTGTGTGTGAGTGCGAGTGCTCTAGAGTCTGTGTGTTCTGCTTGTCAGAAGAGGACATTGGATTCCATTGTAGATGGTTGTGAGCTGCCATGTGGGTGCTGGGAATTGAACCCGGGTCTTCTGGAAGAGCTGCCAGTGCTCTTAACCACTGAGCCGTCTCTCCACTCTCCAGCTAGCCCCCCTTGTCGTCATTGTCTTCATCTCCTCCTCTCCTTCTTCTTTCTCTCTTTCCCTCTCCCTCTTTTCCCCTCACTCTCCCTGCCCCCCTCTTTTGAGACAGAGTCTCACCATGTAGCCCAAGCTCCCTCCAACTCTGAACCCTTTTCACAAGTGCTGGGATTACAAGTATGCACCACCACACCTCTTCTGTTTCAAAACTTTTCCTCAGAACTTCCTGTTTTCTTCCCGACAAGTATAGGGACATCCTAATATTCACAGAGAGAGGGCTACAAGAATTTTTCATAGGCTGGGCAGCAGTGGCGCACACCTTTAATCCCAGCACTCGGGAGGCAGGCAGGCGGATCTCTGTGAGTTTGAGGCTGGGCTGGACCGACAGCCTCCAAAACAATACAGAGAAACCCTGTCTCGTAAAAACCAAAAAAAAAAAAAAAGAATTTTTCATAGATCTGTCCCTATAGTGGATTTTGAAGGGATTTTAGATATAGCTTGGTGAATGGCCAAGGAACAAGAGAGGCTGACCTAGTAGAGTGCACTGCATAATGCTGTCCCCATACTCAGTTCTCCTGCCTGCTGATTCGTCTAAACAGAGCGGTCTGTTGTGTCTGGCCACAGAGAAAATGAGCCACATGCCACATATGATGGCTTGGTCAGAGATCACACTAATGCAATGGTGATCCCACGTGTGGTTATGTAGCTAGTGACCCAGCTGTCTTAGTGTGTGTCAGGCCTTTCTGCGATGTCTGAATCATGACAGAGTCTCCTCATGATTAGGTTAGTGATCCCTGTTGTGTGATGTTTCACTCTTGGCTTTTTTTTGAGGGGCCCACCCCCCAGCTCCCAGATAAGTCATACATGGAGGCTTATTCTTAGTCAGGAATGCCTGGCCTTAGCTTGGCTTGTTCTTGCCAGCTTTGTTTTATTCTTAAATTATTCCGTTTACCTTTCCCTTGTGGACTTTTTTGCTTTTGTGTATCTTACTTTTTTCTTACTCTGTGCTGGTGGCTGGGTGGCTGGTGGCTGTGGCTGACCCTGACATCCTCCTCCCCTTCTTCTCTCATTGCTTTTCATCTCTCTTGGGTCTCCTTTATTTATCCTCCCTGCCTGCCAGCCCCGCCTACCTTTGCTCCTGCCTTGCTATTGACCATTCAGCTCCTTGTTAGACCCTCAGATGTTTTAGACAAACAAAGAATCACAGCTTCACAGAGTTAAACAAATGCAGCATAAACAAAAGTCCCACACCTTCAAATAATATTCTACCACACCTGTCATGGTAGACAGACAGGCCTGTGATTAAACAATCCCAAGCCATGTCACTGAAAGAACCAGGTGATGAATGTATGTACAGTCACTGTAATTCTCACTTTTGTGCTTCTGGAATTCTAAGAACAAATGTCATTTCTTAAAAAAATCAACTTCCCTTCATGGCACTTTCCCTTTTGGCTTGTCCTTCCAGATTTCGGTACCAGGACCTCACCTTTTTGAAGACTCTCCTTGATGCCATGAAGCTCTTGTATGGTCCAGAAAGCTCTGTGCACACAAAACTTATCCAGCTTCCGGTGGTCCACATGATGCTCACCCAGCATTCTCTGTTTTTGCCAACCATGCTGATATCTGAAGAAGTGGAAAATCCGGACAGTCAAGTAAAAGGTGACGCCACGCTCTGTCCTCCCAGCTTAGTGGCAGCTGTTGTCTTCCAGCGTCTCCCAGCTCGTCACCCACCGTTTGTTTCAGAGTGTAGTACTGCAATCTGTCTATCAGCTCCAGGACCCAGCTCCAGTCTGTCTTAACCGTGACACAGAAGTTGCCACCTGTTTTGAAGACTTTGGTTTACAGTGGCTCTGTGGAGGCCCATGTGGGCCGGTCATGAGCTGGTGTGACAGTCTGGGAATTAGGAGAATTTGGGAGGGATGGGAAAACAGTGTGGACGTTTGCCCTGAGAGGAGTAGGTTAACCTCGTGAGTCTTGTAGGGAAGATTGAATGACGGCAGGAAGGAAGGGCTGGAACTTCCTTGATGGTAGCCCACTGCTGTCTTTTCCAGCCAGGCTTACACTGTCTCCAACCTAGTCAGCATGAAATTTGTGCTGTGAGTCCTCAGTGCAGTGTAGACTGGTGTGAGTGTCAGAACAGTCTGAATGTTCCTGCCCGCTCAAAGAAACCCTGTTTGGAGACAAAGCCATCACCCCCAGACCGTTAGGCATCAGCACAGGGTCTGTCTGTCATAAACAGCTAGGTTAAAGACAGAAAACTGTTAGATGCACATTATTGGTACAGGTAATTAAAAAGTAGAATGGGCTCCACACCCGTGCAGGCAGGAGTTTGCATGCTGGGGATTATGATGGCATAACTGGGGAGTATGCTAAACATTTGTTGGAAAGGGGTGTGTAGATCCTGAGCCCAAGCCTGTGAAGCCGTAGAGAGACGGTGGTCCTGGAGGTGTATTATTACAAGAATGCACGAATGGGATCCTGGGGAAGAGGCTGGGTAGAGGCCCACAGGCCACCCTTACGCAGAGAGGACAGTGCCAGCTTCCAGGGCCCACTGTGGTGTGCACCTTCCTTACTGTCCTGAGGATGTGTCTCCTTGGTGCTTATGTCCCATGTGTTTCTTCCAGAGACCCTGGTGGACCTGATGTCCACAGTGGTGAAGATGTGCCCTTCTGTCTGTGAGAGCAGCCACTTTGCTGTGCTACTTGGGACCTACAGTGCCACCCTCAGTGTCTTGGGTGAGGAGGACCTGATGGCCAGGCTGTGTGTGCCGGGCTGGTGGGGTGTACCCTCTTGTGCATTTCAGGGGTTCAGTTTCCTAAAAGTGGCCTTCATTTGCTTTTAGACCAGAAGATTTTACTTCTCCTTCGGGCGTATGAACAGAACAACCTCAGTCTCATCAGCTTCCGGTGAGTACTAGCTCGCCAGGAGGCCATGAACAAAGGACAGGGGAACGTTAGGCCCAGGGACGAAGCCCCCTCCAGGGAGCTCTAGGTTCAAGACTTCTCATTCTTTGACGTTGTTGTTTTAAACTATTGCTGACATTGTGCTCCTTGTTTTGTATAAATGGAGGCTATGTGTAGCATGTCCTTGTATAAATGTAGGCATACACGTAGCATGTTCTTGTTTTGTATAAATGTAGGCATATGTGTAGCATGTTCTTGTTTTGTATAAATGGAGGCATATGTGTAGCATGTTCTTGTTTTGTATAAATGGAGGCATATGTGTAGCATGTTCTTGTTTTGTATAAATGGAGGCATATGCGTAGTATGTTCTTGCCACAGTGCACACTTGGAGGTCAAGGACAAAGCCTTTACCTGAGTGTTGGCAGGAACCAACCAGACCCACCCATAGTCCTTGCCGTGTCTCTGGGCGTCTGTGGGCAGCTGCAGGAGATTACGGGGTGCACAGTGTGGGTTCTCTAGGCAGGGCTGACTAAAGACTTGTACGGCAGTCCTGATGACTTGGTCCCTCCTGTGGGCAGACTGAGGTCAGGATTCTACAGCTGCTACAGCTTGGCTTGGAGCCCCACCCTGTCATGTAGAATCCCTGTTCTGCTGCTCACCAGCCAGCAAGTGAGGGGCCATGCAACTTCCCCAGTCGCTTCAGTACCTCTTCCCCCATTGCACAGGAAGTGGCAATGTAAGCTGCGGGATCATGCACAGACTGAGTGAATTAATGCATGCCAACGACTCAGGGTCTGGCCAGATACACCAAGAGTAGTGTGTGTGGGTGCTGACTCCTGCTGCCATCACCAGCTGTCCCTGCACCATGCCGATTTCAGACGCTGTCGTGAGGGTTACTAAGTGGTAGAGCATGCTTGCTTACCCGGAGTGGCACTTGGCATGAGCTAGGGTCTTGATGTTGGGGTCGTTGTCGTCAGTTCTGCTCCTGGTGGGTCCTGTGACCAGTCTGTGTTCCCTTTCTGACTCTAGGGTTCTGCTATGGGGCCCAGCAGCTGTGGAACATCACAAGACATGCCGAAGCCTAGGAAAGTCACTCTGGCAGCAGCCAAGCGTCGGGGACATCCTCCGCCTGCTGGACCCTGACCGCATGATGCAGACCATCCTGCACTTCCCACAGTGCCGGAGGCTGCTGCCCACCGAGGTGAGGTGTTGCTCTTCTGCCCTCCCCTGCCCCTCCAACTTTGTACAGAGGCATAGACTGGACCCCAGTGTCCGTACTGAAGCTGGGTCACACTGTTTATTATGCCCCACAAGCTTATCTTGAAGCAACCTCAAAGATCACATCATGTGAAAACCCTGCTTTTTTATAGAACTGCTTAGGCTTTATGTGCTCTGACAGTGGTCACATTCAGATGATCACATCCATGAGCATGTTGTGGCTTGGCTGTTTCAGGACACGGGGGAGCCACTGGTGTTTAAGGATGACACTGTGAGAGTGGACCTGGACAGCATCTATGACCCCTGCTTTCTCCTCCATCTCTTTGGGGAATTGACCAGGCCAGGTGAGTGTGCCCGTCTTCGCAGTCAGACGGCTGTTAATTGTTGTCATGGCTCCCAGGTTAGTCCTGAGTCAGAAACACATTCTGGTTTTGGTTTTGGTTTTTGGTTTTTCCAGACAGGGTTTCTCTGTGGCTTTGGAGACTGTCCCAGAACTTGATCTGTAGACCAGGCTGGTCTCGAACTCACAGTCTGCCGATCTGTAGACCAGGCTGGTCTCGAACTCACAGTCTGCCTTGTCATTCCTTGGGCCTAGAGCCCTGAGTGGATCTGCTTTTCCTCCCTTTCAGTCATGATAGGCTTTGGTTTGTTAATTAGTCCTTATTATCGTGCATAGGAGGTTCGTACATCTGCCACGGCACAGCTGGAGGTCAGAGGACAGCTCTAAGGATGGGTCCCAGTCACCCAACTCAGGGTGCCAGGCCTCGCAGCAGACACCTTTATCTTCCAGTCCTCTTGCCTTCCCATGCATTTATGTAGAGTTATAGTCAAGGTCCTTAGCTATACTTAGTTGGAAGAACAAGGGATAATATTGTTCCTTTTTCTCAGAATTGGGAATTTAGTTATTTTTAGTGTTGGGTAATACATGCAAAATTTAAGATTTAGATGATAGAAAGTTAAAACTTTCAGTCACACAGTAAAAAAAAAAACCTGCATCTTACTTCTAGGCATGGCTTCCTTTTTATTTAAAAATTTTTATTTCTTTTTTTTCGTGTGGGTGAGTTGCGTGTGTGTGCACGCACATGCATGTGTGGGAAGAGGCCCCAGCAGTCTGTGCTCCCCCCGTCAGGCGTTGCTGACCATGTGCTCGGGCAGGCCTGTGGTCCTTCTGTCTCCCTGCTTCACCTTAGCCTGTGTAGAGTGGAAACCTGCTTCGACGTCTCCTCTCTGAGTACTTGGCCAGGAAACGGCCAGCCAAGCAGCAGTCACCAATGGCAGTGACACGTGCTTTTTCCTCAGCAGTTCTTGTGGGCTCTGCTACAGTTCATGACTGAGGGTGTCGTAGAAGGAGGCTGAGGCACACTTCCTGGTGCTCTGGGAGCAGAGCCACAGTACCATTGATGTTCACTAAACTTGGGAGCTTTTGATGTTATCCATGATATTGCCCTGGCTAGGCCGTCTCAGGATTTTATTGTTCAAAAGGTTCTTAAAACAGAACAGCATTTGTAGCCACTTTTAAATAGTGTGTTGTATTTTCAGCACCCAAGGACAGTCCTTTTCCACAAGTACAAAGCCAAGACTGTAGAGAGCAGAGAAAGTCACAAAACAGGAAGTTGATTCTTCCTCATGGACACGTCGAGAATTCGTTTGTCCTAGTCGTTACTAAAGTAATCCCAGCCATCAGAGTTCCAACTTTTCTCACTGAGTGTAGTTAACGTTTAGACTGTTCTCTCTCAACCATGGTCTATGCATGAATATTTGCTATGTAGCTATCTCTTAGATACGTTTGTTCTCCAAAGCAATATTAATTTTATCGGCAGTTTGATACTTTTATGAAACTTTCTCGCTCTCTTTCCATATCAGAATTCATCAGGTGTTAGACATTGTCAAATTGAGTCTCTAAGTTACTGAGCAATCACCTGGTTGTTCTTTTTCCAGTCTGTGTTTTAACTCCTGCGTTCTCCCATGAGCAGCGTGTACTTAATAACATGAGACCATCTGTCTCTCTTTTAGTTGGAGCGTGTACACCATGTATACTTTATGAAATCACAGCTCTCATTCAGTTTTATCTCTGCTAAGGGTAGGTCTGGTTGCTTTGGGGCTCATGTCATACGGTTGATCACAGTTTACCCTCCAGCTAGATGACTTTGCTTCACGCAGTGTATAAGAGGCTAACCATAGTATAGACCATTTCTCCTTTCTTAGTGTCTTAGTTGGAGTTTCTATTACTGCAGTGAAACACCATGATCAAAAAGCAAGTTGGGAAGGAACGGGTTTCTTTGGCTTAAATGTCCATATTGAAGGAAGTCTGGACAGGGACACAGACAGGGCAGGGCTGATGCAGAGGCCGTGGAGAGAGCTGCTTACTGACTTGATTGTCCTGAGTTGCTCAGCCCGCCTCCTTATAGAACCCAGGACCTCCAACCCAGAGATGGCCCCGCCCACCAGGGACTGGGCCCTCCCCCATCAATCACTAATCAAGAAAATGCCCTACAGGCTTGCCTACAACACAATCTTATTGGAGGCTCCCTCCTCTCAGGTAACTTTTAGCTTGTGTCAGGTTGATAAAACTAGCCAGTGCACTTGGCTTTTGGTTACCTATAACCCTTAGGATTGTTATTTTTACTTCATTTTTTCATAGTTTTCTTCTGTTTCTGGCTTGTCTGCTGGAGCTCCTTCACTGTACAGCCCAGCTGGGTTGGCTTGAGAGAAGTGTGGCCCCTGTGTCTCCAGGTTCTTGTCAGGTCTCGGTCACTCGCTGGCCTCCTGCAGGTTGCCCTGCTGCTCACTGCTCTGTTGCAGCTCTTAGATCTTCTTTCCTGTGTATTTGGGTTCAGATAGTTGTCTCTGTATTTGGGTTTAGATAGTTTCTCCTCCAGTCTTCTAAGTCAGTGACATATTCTGATCTTGGTCCCTGCCAGTGCATTTCTGTAGGTGGAGTTTTTAGTTGGGACCTCTGGTCAGCTCTGTCCCAAGTAGCCACACAGAGACTTATTATTAATTATAAATGCTCAGCCGATAGCTCAGCCTTGTGTTTTACTAGCTCTTAAAACTTGAATTAACCCATTTCTATTCCTTTACTTGTTGCCACGTGGCTCATGACCTGTTACCTCATTTTGTACATGTCCTGCTTCCTGTGGTCTGGCTGGTGACTCTACCCTTCTTCCCAGCGTCCTCTCAGTCTGGCTCTCCTCCTAACCTCTTCCTGTCTAGCTGTTGGCCAGTCAGGTCTTTATTAAACAAAAGAGTGATCCATATTCACAGTGCACGTAACGGATTATTCCACAACAGCTTTGTCTCCAGCCTCCCAGCAGCCACCTCCCGAGCCTCGTTCTCACCATCTGTCTCCGCACGCTCCGTCTTTGCTTCAGTTTTAAATGTGTTGCACTGATAGCGTATCCCGAGTGTCCACAGAAGACACTCGTCCCGGTTTGCTTCTGTTAGGTCCTGATGGGGTCCCTGGCCACTCAATCTAAATATCTCTCTGGGGAGTTATCATCAGGTTACTCATTCTCAGCAAGGGAAACAGCTCTTCTGAGGTTCCTGGACAGAATTCTTCCTGGGGGAAGGCCTGAGCTCCCATTAAAGTGGAGCTGACAAGATACAGGCTGTGCTGGCGAGGATCTGGGGTTGCTCCCCTGTGTGTGATCCATCTGTCTGGCACTTTCTTGGGACAGTTGGGGTGCCTTGAGGCCTCACGTAGAGCGGATGAATGTCAGCCAGCAGACTCTCCCTGACCCCGTCAACACCGTGAATCGCCCCATGGCCTTGTGTGGTAGACAAGTACTCTGTGTCTGAGCTGTGCCCTGGCCCCCAGTGCCAGTAGACAGTTTTGACTGTTGCTTTTGTTTAAGTCTGGTGAACCACTCTGCCACGGGTTTTTTTGTGTTTAAAGAATAAAGGAAGGAGGTTGCCAGAGTGAAGGTAGGGAAACCCTTTGTGTACAGAATGAGTCCAGACCCCACTGGTTTGCTCTGGCTGAGTTTCCCAACTTTCTGTTCCTTCTGGTCTTACATGGAACAGAGGCACAGGGCTGAACAAGGTAGGGTCTGGAAGCCAGGTCCTGTGTGGTGTTCCACTCTGTTGATGTGCTGAGATTTCACAGTGGGCCTCCGTGTTGCCCTCACTTGCCTCAGTGCTTTGGGATCATTTGTGGTTAGAAACAGGGCAATCATTGCCCCAGAAAAGAAGATACTCTTGCCCAGTCTCAGTGCCAGAGAGGCGCATGTTTTCTGTGTCCCCCTGGCATTGGTAGGGTGTAAAAGAAAGTGAATCCTGTAGGCTGTACAAGAGTCATGAACTTTGGATCTTGTGTTTAATGCTGTAATTTACTTTTTGTAGAGTTTGTGGTGGATTGTCGGAAATTTTTGGATTCAAACGCTCTGGGTCTAACTGTGGCAGCCCTCAGCAGCTATGACCCCCAGATGCGCGCCGCTGCCTACTCCGTCCTGGCAGCCTACTACTCACACGTGGAGGGAGCGCGCTTCCGGGAACAGGCACAGGTGAGGAGAGATTGGATGTACTGTGGGGTGCAGGTGAGGCTTTGGAGAGCGGGCTGTCCCTGGGGCAGCAGGAGTGTGGAGAAGGCGGGAGTGAGAGGCCCTACTCAGGCCTGTGAGGCTGCCGTCTAAACAGGGCCCTCTGTTTCCTTGTGGCTAGACAGAATGGTTTGCCTTCTGTTGAATGTGTCTGCTCTAAACTCAGTCACGCTCACCCTGTGGTGCAGAGGGACAGGAGCAGGTCCCTTCTGTTGAATGTGTCTGCTCTAAACTCAGTGACGCTCACCCTGTGGTGCAGAGGGACAGGAGCAGGTCCCCTTCTAGGGAGCGCTGCTCAGCTTCTCTCTCAGTGTGCAGGCCGGCAGAAAGCATCTCCAAAAGGAAGGCACACAGTGTCCCGCTGTAAGGAACAGACACCCCCTGCAAAGCTGTGACACACAGACACTTGCTGAGACCGCTCATCTTCTTCCCCTCTGCTCAGGTTCTGTACCTGTTGGATGTTGTCCGCAATGGAATTAAAGCTCCGAACATGAGGCTCCCGTTCACCCTGGCTCTTTTCATTGCCAAGGCAGCACTGCAGATCCTGAAACCAGGTACCCTCATAGTTTCCGGTGGAGGAAAAACAGACAAAACAGGCTGTGGGAGTCCACCCTCGGAGTCAGTCCCACAGGGTTTCTCTGCAGAGTGCTCCCGGCCTCTAGGACTGTGAGAGGCCTGGGGTCATGCACTTGAAAGCCCTAGTAGGTTGCACACACCCATCTCAGTTAACAGCTGCTCGACTGACACTGTCTCACTGACACATGCTTAGCAGAGGCCCTGGTGTGTGCTGTCCCCAGGTACTCGGCTGGAAAGCATGAGTCACTATAGGTGTGACCCAGAACGTTAGATCACAGCTCTTGCGGGACAGACACCTCTGAAAGGACATGCAAGTAGCAGGCCTTGACCCACCAGAGGCTAATCAGAGAGAAACCAGTAGAAGGTTGGTGCCCTGGGGACCCCAGAGCTCTGTTGGTCCAGCAAGGTCATAATCTCAGCTGAGAAAACAATCCCCACCTCCTCACCGTCTGAGGCCTCTCCAGTTAGTGGACAGTCAAGTGTATAATCAAGTTGCTCTTAGAATTCAGGTCTGGTTTTCATCTGTCATATACTTTGTATGACATACATTTATTTCCCTGCCTTGGAAACTTGGGGAGGAGGCTAACTAATTATCACTCTGTTGATTTAAAAGAGTCTGTTAGGAGAAAATACAATCAGATGTTCATGGTTGTAGCCTCCCATGGAGCCCATGGTGCCTGGGTATAGCTGCCACATCAGTCCTTGTGCCAAGGAAGGCCATGTGTTGGTCACCAGTGGCCCTCCAGCTAGACTTTGAGACTGCAGTAAGAAGAGGACATGTGTACCCTCCCTGCCTTGTATCCCAGAGCCAGATGTCCGAGCCTCCCTCCTGGGTCAGCTCCTTTCTAGGAGAGGCTAGAAGCAGACAGTGTAAGCCCTTTGCTCTTGGCTCTGTGGCTGAGTCCAGGAATGGTTTCTCAGCCAAGTGGAGAAGGTGGCCTGTAGAGGTGGCCTTGGGTTCCAGTCATGCTGGTTCTGAGGGCCTAGTAGTCAGGAGAAGGATGCAGACCCTCTGCTGGGTAGGATCTACCCCCAGTTTCTATTGCGGACTGTGCCATGAGCCTGTCAGTGACGTCTGTGTGTATTCTCAGAGGAGCACATGTACTGGAAGATCAGCAAGTTCCTGCTGTCCCACGAAACCTTGCACATGGACAAACTGCCAGGCTTCTACCAGTTCTTCTACAGCTCTGACTTCCAGGTAGTGTTGCCAAGTCCTCAAGTCTCCGGAGACGCGTGCACAAGATGACTCGGCCACTGCATGCTCTGTGCCCCCTCCTCCCGCGGTGACACAGCTAGCACACAATACCTTACACAAACAGGGCAGAGGAGCCGTTTGGACTGCTCCACCGAGCCAGACACACTCCTGTGTCCTGGCGCTTCTCGGAGACTTGCTGAATCCCTGGACTGAGTATTACATACCCTTCTGTAAAGCTCCCTCCCACTTCAACATGGCTGAGTGTTTAACTTGACTTGGCCTTTGATTTCTGAGCTGATAATGGAATAAAAATGGGATGAGGCTCTTTTTTTTTTTTTTTTTTTTTTTTTTGTTTTTCGAGATAGGGTTTCTCTGTATTGCTTTGGAGCCTGTCCTAGAACTCACTCTGTAGACCAGGCTGGCTTTGAACTCACAGAGATCCACCTGCCTCTGCCTCCTGAGTGCTGGGATTAAAGGCGTATGCCACCAATGCCCGGCTTGGGATGAGGCTCTTGATGTAAAACCAGAGCTCTTGACCATCACCTGGAAACTGCTGTTTGATTGTCCAACAAAAGGGCCATAACTTATCTAACAATGCTTTCTTACTTGTCTGCCTAGCAAAAAGCTGAGCAAGAATGGGTGTTGGGAATTCTGCGGCAGGGGATTAGAGACAAGCAGTGCTATGAGCTGTGCTCCAGGAGAGGAGTGCTCCACGTCCTCCTGTCCTTCTTCAGCAGCCCCTTGTGTGACCAAGTGGCTCAGGTGAGCATGTCCTCTGGTTCCCTGCACGGCTAACAGTGTTCTCTGGTGTCGTCCCAGCTGAGTGACTCATGGGCATAGCGTGTGAGGTCTGGCGTTGTTTGTCCTGTGACAGGCGGTTTTCTTTGTAGCCTTCTTACTACACCCTTGGTGACAGGAGGAGAGGCCTCTGCCTCTTTGCTAGTTGGCTAAAAAGCCAAAATGCAAATTACCCCACATGAGTGACAGGAGCTTTGCCTGTGGTGTCTGAAGAAATAGACCTTTGCAGAAGCACTCCAGCCCTCAAGAGGCTGAGGCAGGAGGATTCAAGGCCAGCCTGGAATGCAAAACATGAACCATGTTCCAAAATTCCTGTGTACAGTCACACTGTGTGTTCAGTTTTATTAGTTTATGTCAGTTATTATTCTGCAGTTTACTCTTTTTGTTTTTGAAACAAGGGCTCACTTCTGACGTCTGAATTTCGTGTTGCTGGTTTTGAACTTGCAGCATTCCTCCTGCCTCTCATATACCAGGATTGTAGGCGTAACCAGACTTGAAGTTGACTCTCTATTTGTTTTTGTGAGATCATAACTTCTTGTGTCCCTTCCCCTGTCACCATGCACTGATTTCCAAGCTTTAGAGTGGCGTCTCAGGCTGGATCCCTGTCTAATGTCGTCGTCATCATCTAAGTCAATGACAGTTTATAGTTTTCACTAAAAGGTCAAAAGTCAAAGGCACTCTGAATTTTAATTAAAGACTTAATTCTTATCTTGCCGTTGATTTTGGGGAACCGTAGTAAATAAGAATTGAGAGTTGGGATTGCCTCCCCTCACCCATCAGGAACCAGTGACTTTGCCCTGACCCCTGCCTGTCACTGGGACCCAGAGCTGATTTTATTTTCTAAATACACGGCCTGCTGAAAGAAGTAAATGAGGAAAGGCTTAGGTGCCTGGGTTAACTCTTGACCTGTGAGCTTTTGTTTCTGTCTTATGTAAGATGTGGGGGGTTACAGTCAGGATGAAGAAACACATTGCAGTAAATGGAATTTGAATGTGGTAGTTTCTTATTTTTATAGTGAGAGAATTCTGAGGTGCCCAGAAGCAGTTAAGGATAGTCCTGCGTTGGTGGTCTGGGAAGTCTGGTGTCTATGCTGTGTCCCACCTGGACCATCACATATCTGAGCTATGTGGTTTTCATGGAGCATGTCTGCTGTGGGTCGGCTCGATGATGGACTGCCGGAAGTGCCGCTCTCTCCAGGCCACTGACTGCTGGGAGTCTGTCTTCTGTCATTGTATGCTGATGCAGTCTGAAATCACTCTTTTGGAGAGCTGGCCTAGTGGCTAATGCTTGTAATCCCAGCCGTCAGGTGTCTGGGACCAGTGGGAGTCCCCATCTAAAAACTATTAAAAGTTAAACAGTGGGAGGGGAAAATCACTGTTGGTTGAGTAAGTTAGTTTGTCCTTTAAGGAGTGACTTTTTGGGCTTTGCAGAATTGGATTCTGGAAATTCTACAGAATGTTGCCCTCATCACCAGATCTGCCTATGAAATCATACGTGACTATAGCCTGTTAACATGGATTTTACACATCCTTGAGAGCAGGTAAGAACTTTTTGTGTGAGCTGTGTGTTCCTGGTATCTCTAAAGGCTTTAAGTGTCAATAGATGGTGTGCAATGGTGTCCACTGATATTCCTGTGGGCTTGCAGTCCAGCTCCTGGGGACAGCCAAAGGGCCTTTCTTCCTCCTGCAAACTCCTGATTTTCAGTGTCTCTTGTCTGCCTTGGACTGAAGCACAGCTGCGTCTTCTTCGGCAGAACCCCACTGGCCTTCCTGCCTTTTTCTGTCACACTCATCCCCTGGCTTAGCTTTATATAGGGTTTGACACAGTATGCTGTCATCTGGGCCTCTGGTTCTAGAAGGCTTCTTGAAATGCCCAGTGGAAATAGATGAGTTCTCAGGCACCGGGTGGGGGGCTGGGCAGAAGATTCCTGTATTCCTCATAGTCTCCATCACTGTGAGTCTGTGTGGAAGGCTGGGGTCCCTGACAAACAGCAGCACCGTCAGGAGGGCTCTCTCTGTGGCAGGGCACCTGTAATATGCCCAGGGGCCACTGGGTCCTTTTGTTCATTTTTCAGAAGTAATTCTCAGCTCTTTGAAAAGCTTGACAAGGAACTCTGCATATTTAACTGTCCTATGTGTCACAACACTAGATGACTTCTTAAGGGTGCCTGCACCTCATCCCCAGAGGTTTGTGGCACTGTCATATCATAACCCAGAGTTGCAGAAGATGGTCGTTCATTGATTTATTTTCAACCAAAGGTTAAATATAAACACTAGGTGTTGATACCTGGAGGTAAGCACTGCCGGAGACTGGCATTAAAAAGATATTTTTCTAAAGTTTCTTGTGCAGACTTTATGACTCGTGCATGCACTGCCAGGACTCTGGAGGCTGTGCCAGGGAGTTTCAGAGGGTCAAGGCCAGTCTGGGCTACAGTGTCAGACCCTGCCTCAAAAGAACTGATGGCATAAAATCCTTCTAAAAGGAAGAAACAGCTTAAACCTTGTCTTCCAACATCAACAGTTTCAAGATGTTCAGATTTTTTAAAAGGCATAATCGGTTAATAGCCTGTCCTGTGATAACTTCATCTATAGTTCAAGTTGCTACTAAAACCGCATTGCTGTTCTTACTGTACTTCTGGGACTTGGGACAGTTTTCTGGTTAGGAAGTGGTCTGGTGGCCTCACCTGGCTTGGTGCTGCATTTCTACACCAGGAACTTGTTTCTACTTAGATGATATACTTTGAGGGCTGAGCAGGTCCGACTGTTGAAGGCAGGTAGGGCTGTCACAAATTGGCCTCCCTGACGGGTGGTAGTGATCTAGACTGTTGCCTTGTTTGGTTTCAGATTTGTGGAGACTCAGCTGCTCTCCAACGTGATCTCCTTGCTACACACCCTGTGGGTGACCAGCCTGGGAAACAAAGCAGCAGAGCAGGGGGCGCAGCCCTCTTGCCAGCCTGCCTCCCACGAGTCCCAGAAGACGCTTGCCTTGCACGTCGTTACTGAGTTCCTGTGTGTCCTCATCGCACTCACAAAGCTCCTGAGGTGAGCCTGCCGCGAGATAGACAGATAGCCTGCTTTGCAGTTGGAGGCAGTGTGGCTATCACTGCTATTCCTTTCCATCACCTGTGGTCACACCCTTCTCACAACCCAGCCCGTAAGCCCTGAGCCATGGCGTGGTGTGGACTGGGCTAGCGCGCTGGCTGTGTCAGCGTCAGGACATCCGTTGTAGCTCCATCCTTATTTCCACTTCCGTCTCCAAGGTTCTCATGGAGACCCTGAAGGCTTAGCAGACTGTTAGGACCCACAGTGCATCAAGCTAGGGCATTTTTAGCAGGAAAAACATCTGGGCACACCCCCACCATGCTTAAGCAAGTGAGAGCTCACAGAAGAGCATGTTTCCTGTACCCTCAGCCTTAGACAGGGCGCCTGCAAGCCTTCCTCACCACCTCCAGCCTCCAGAGATGCATGCAAACATGAACCCTCGAGCTCATCGGTCCTGTCAGCTGATCTTTGAGTCGGGTCCTAGGTTCCCTCTGTGGGCAGAGTTCTCCTCAGAGTGATTGTTGGAGAAAATGTGCACTTAGATTTCTCACATTGGGAGCCGACGTGTGTTGGAGGGTCAGAATGGAGGCAATTTTTGATAAGAGCAGTGTTTCATGTTCCGATTCAAATTAAGACTCCGCTGGGCAACCATACCTCTTACTTTGGGATTGTGTGGCACACTGCTGCCCGACAGCCGATGGCCCTTGGAAGTGATGGTTAAACATTCAACCTTGTGTGTAGCAAGTGACATTCAAACAACGGAACGCTTTCTTCCTCCACTGAGCGTCACTCAGGCTTTGCCTGTGGGGTGTACTGAGCAGGGCCTGCCTGAGCTCCAGAGGAGTTGTGTGTCACTCCCACGGCCCCGACCCTCCATCTTCTGCTCATTTAGCTTAGCTTTCCAAAAAGATTTCTCTTCCTCCAGCACAGAGTTGAGGTTCCAGGCCTCTTTAAAGTGCCTCACTTTTCCTCCGCTGTGTCCTGAGCGCAGACTGGTTTGGCCTTAGAAGGAAGTGTAGTTTGTGTGACCCTGACTTTCCTGGGCTGGTTAGGACAGGGTTGGCTTTGCTCAGTCTGTAACGTTGACTTCCAAACAGGCCAACCTTGACCTCTGCCCAGCTGATGAGCTTCTTTTGGACACTCGAGTCTGTGCTGAGTTATCGGGCCACTGTCCTAAAGACCTTCAAGGACATGGGCCGATTCACTGTGAACAAGGTGACACTTTCCACCAAAGACGTCCTGGTCCTCTTACATAAGTGGAGCCTCATTGAAAGAGACACAAAGCTCCAAGGAGCCCTGAAAGCCATCATTGAGCAGCACCAAGACAAGGACCTAATGAGTAAGTTCTAACCTCCTTACTGCCCTTACTGCCCGCATCCGCCACCCTCCCTTAGCCACAGTTCAGAGCGGGTGTGGCTCTGGTGGGAGTGAGGACCTGGGTCTCAGTTAGAGCCCCAGTGCCTGTGGCCTTTTTGCCTTTAGATAATTTGGCACCTAAGTGTGTTAGCTTTATGTCGCCGTGACAGTACCTAAGAAGATAAAAAGGGACCTGGGATTAGCTACGCCCTTCAAGGGTAGACTGCCAGTGAGCCGCTTCCCAGTGTTCCCACATGTCCCCATAGCCTGCTAAGCTATAAGTGCATACATTAGCAGTCCCTTCACCCACACGATCAGGGCCCTCCTGAACACTCACTTCACACTGCTGCAGTTGGAGAGTCCAGCTCCGAATGAGGCGGGGTCTGAAGATGGGTGGTGCAAGAGCGGAAGGGAGGACTGAGACACCAGACACTGCTTAGTTTCACTCAGGGGGGCTGGGCGAGGGAAAGAAGCACAGCCCCTGTGGAGACGCGGGTCCCAGCGGAGGTGTAAGGGGCAGGAGAGGGAAGGCAGTGAGCCAGGCCGCTGTGGTCGGGAGAATCTGACTAGCAGCCTGTATGCCTCTCTGTTTACACAGAATTCAGTAGGTAGGATACATTCATGTTGTTCCAAAACATAGATTATCATTTTTGGTTTTGACATGTGTTTAACATTTTCTCTTATTCATCTTTTAGTCATCGTTAATAAACTATGACAGAGCAGACTTATCATTGCCAATCATTTTCCCTAAAGTTTTGACATCATTGATACACAGTTATCTTTCATAACCACTTTTACTCATCAACCCTATAACCCAAATTTTAAGAATCTAGAGGCATATATCAGCCTGTTCTCAGGCCAGTAGCTTTTGTGGGTACAAGGACATCAGACCAGAACAATCTTCAAGCCATCCCGGGCATACGGCCATGTCCCAAGCAGTGTATGAAACTCTTAATGGTCAGAGTGCCTGAAACATGTCCTGAAGCCAAAGCTGCTGCAGTTACTATTCAAATTCTGGCATAACACTGTTTACATTTATATTTTATAGACTTAGTCTATATGTCTAGTCCTGGCATTCTGTTGTTCCGTGGTCATACGACCCCATGGTGGCTCTCCGTGTGCTCACTTTTCTAAGAAGGGGGGTTCCTGACACGTCTCATCTTTTATCATCTTTCCACTCCAGTCTTTGTTCAGGGATATGAGTCTCTGTAGGACAGAGGTAACTTCAGCTAGCCTAACTTTGTTGCTGTCTATGCCATGTGATTGCCTGAGTCTACAGTGGGAAGAGGCTTGCGATCTGAACTGTAGCCAACTCCTCTAGCCCAGTGAATCTTGTTGACATTTTTGATTTTACTTTGTTTTGAGTATCTTGTTCCTGTGTAAGTTCAGGGACAGATGTTTCAAGAGCGTCTCAGCCTTATAAAGAGACCTCTGGTTTCCTTATGTGTGTCACAACCTCCAAGGCATGAGGAAGACCTTCAAGTAGCTAAGGATACCTCCCTAAAAGGGGGCGGGGTAATAAGTTCAGGACTTTTCTGGGGGGGTTTAGAAGCAATCTCCTGGACCAAGGCATAATTGGTTCATAAGAAAGTTTCTATCCATCCAGTATCCCTAAGTTGTCCGAGTATCCAGCTTCCGAGTGTGCAGCAGGTGGGATGAAAACCAAAGGGGGTGCGGCGGCCATCACGTGGCTCAGCGTTGCTGGAGCTCTGTCAAACAGGTGCTGGCCTCGGGACCTCTGCTGTTCCCACAGGTGTGGCTGTGCCAGGAGCAAGTCTAAAGCGCAGAGGCTTAGGGGATGTAGATGATGCAGACAATAATGTGAGTGCTGAGGGTCTCCCCTGTAAAGGAGGGGCCTACGAGCGCCTTGTTCTTTGCTCTTGACTTAAGAGGACAGATTGGGAAGGCTCGGGAGAAAGCGCGGCCTACACAGTGCTTGTCACACTTGAGTAAGGGCCTGAGTTGGCTCTCCAGAACTCACAGAAGCTGAGCATGGCAAAGCATGTAGAACCCTGTGCTGGGGAGATGTACACAGTGGACCCTGAGGTTAGCTTAGCAGCCAGTTCAGCCAGATGAGTAAGCCTAGGTCCACTCAGAGACCCTGTCTCAAAACACAGAGTTAAAGAGTGAGTGCTTAGTGCTCTGTCAGAACAACACCAGCACCTTTAGCTCCAGCTCCGAGGGATCCAACACTGCTCGCACACACACTGTGTGGATGTGGCAACCCCAGCCTCAGCTTTTCTCTCTGTCTTTAACAGAAATGCTCAAGGATAAGAACAAGCCAGTGACAGCTGCCCATGCCAGAGGCCCACGAGGCCGGAAGAAGAGGCATGGAGAGGTGGAGGAGACTGCAGAGCCCGAGCTGGAAGCATCTAGTTTGAAGACATGCAAGGACCTCCTAAGGGCCACACTGACTCACTGGGGTCCAGTTGTCCCCATCCCTGAACCTACTCAGGAGTCTGTGGACCAGGCTACCCCTAGAAGTAAAACACTGGACTCTACGCATGCTGCTATTTCCTTGGTGGCCAACTGGGTGCTGCGGTCATTGGCTGAGTGCCCCCTCAGCAGGGCAGAGGCCACAAGACTCCTTGACTGGCTCACGAGCCACATTTTGCCATACCCAGTGGTGGTAGCAGACCTCCTCAGGGACAGTGCTGTGAAGAGTGGCATCTTGAGGCTGTATAGTCATCACTGCAGTACCCAGGGCCTGGCAGGGCCTGCACAGGACGTGGCTTGCAAGTTCAGCGCGGTCATGCTGCAGTTGCTGGCGGCCCAGGGCCAGGTAGACAGTCCTCTCCACCCAGTGGTGGAGGCCCTGTGCCTTGATGGCCTGAGCAAGAAGGATGAAGCCAAGCGAGGTAACGTGGGCCCGTCAGTCAGAACTAAAGGGTGGGGTGAGAGAGGGTGGGTCCGTATACACTCATCAGAAGAAAGTAAGCTTTAAAAGGGCATTCAGCTTCAATCCGCATGCTCACCCGTGCTCCCGCGGGTTTTGACATAGTGTGTCTGGCAGCTGCACAAAGCCCCGGTGCACTGTGGGTAGTGGTTTGCTTTCCCTCTGAGCATGCACACATCCTAATGGCTTTGTCCCCCTCTCCCCAGCTCCCACAGCATTCCTGGTCTCTCTGTACGTTAAGGACATCTGGCTGGGGGCCCAGCAGCCAGACACCTTCCTCGCTCATGTCGGAATGGTCTGTGAGGCTGTAAAGGATGGGCCTCGTGGTGAGGAGGAAGACATTGTTGTGCTCTGCAGGAACATCATCTCAGACTCTTGACCCGCCCCTGCTGACCAGCGCCCCAGTGGACCAAGGTTCCTGGAGGTGTGAACTGAACGCTGGAATGTTTGCCAGCAAGAACGGCTCAGAGGACTTAGAGGCCTGGCCCGGTGCTGACCCTGCAGTCAGCTGTAGTGATGGGGGCTGCCGTTCCCTCGTCCCGGAGCTCCTGGCAGAGGAAGCTCCCTGAGTGCTGCTCGTAAGTACAGAATGGATTCATGGGTTCAAGCTGAAATGTGGATGCTTGCGTCTCTGGGTGCACGTGACCGTGTTTCAGCCTTCTCTGTGAGAAACCGCAAAGTATCTTCTGTGACGGAATGAGCAAGCTCCTTGGAGTTTGCTGTTACTGAAGTGTGTTGTGCTGCCCCTGAGGTGAAATGCTTTCACCTCTACTTTGGGAAGACTCTATCTGTATTTTTAAGTTTTGTTTCCAGAGAGGATTTTGAGTTTTATAATGTTTTGATAATAAATAGCTACTTTTGTGAGTCACTTTGTACTTTGCTTTCATTTTACAAACTTAATTCAGAGACCTGCGTTTTATGTCAGAATTTAACTGTTACAGTTCCTTGTTACGAGGTGTTGCCTCTGGCAGAGGTCAGTGTGACATTTCCTGGATTTGCAGATACAGTACTCTGCACACTGGTCCCTTGGGTTTGAGCTGTCATCTAAGAGCTGGTGACTTAGTTTATCCTGTGTGGTGTATGTAGGACTGAGAATGGCTGGTTTCCACTTCAGCGTTTGTGCTTTTACGTGTGTCCGTGTGTTGTCCTGTTACACAGACAAGGAGCATTTACCTTTACTTGCAGGGAACAGCCCAGGACACTGAGGTGGAAACGTGCCTTTAGATTGTGGTTTATCGACACTGTCTTGCTGATGGGTACCTCTGACCGTAACACAGGGGGACAGTGGCTGGAGCATGTCCCTGTAGCCCAGACCTCTGAAAGCAAAGGAGTGGGCCACCAGACCTCAGCAAGTTTCCACAGCCTGTCTCAAGCTCCAGTGCTCAACTGTCCCCTGGGTCCATGGTCTCAGTGACTTGTGGGTTGAGTGCTCCTATGGGGCAAGCTCACGTGCAGTCTGATAGTGCCAGCCTCCTCTGTCTTGCCCCTGGGTAGGGTTTGGGGAGAGGTCATAGGTCGTGTTCCCTCACTTCCCCTCCTGGCAGTCTGTGGCGGTGCATAGTGGAGACAGGGGAGATGGGTGCAGCCTTGGGTGTCACGTGACTAGGGGAGATGGGTGCGGCCTTGGGTGTCACGTGACTGCAGCGCCGCATCTGAGCTCAGGAGCTGGCCTTTTCTCCTCTCCATCTCCTTGTTTACATTGACCCTCCCCAAGTCTGGTGAGACCACGCCTGCCCTCGCCGTGGAGAGCGGGTCCTACATGGTCTTCTGTACCTGGCATGGAGTTACACACCTGGCCTTCTAGACCACAGTCCTCATCTGTGATACTGAATGGATTGCCTCTGTGCTGACGTATGGGGACTCTCCTCGTTCCAAAGGCAGCATGGTCACCACATACCTCACTTTCCCATTGCACCAGATGGATGGAGTCTAGAGATGGTTAAATCATTCCAGAAGTTTCTCAGAGGTCGGCCGTGTACACATAAGGGCACCGTTTTACAGAAGGGGTTTGCTCTTCGGGGTTTTGCCATCACCCCAGTCACCCCAGTCAGTACCAGGAGGCTGCCTCAGCGAGGGCTCTGGTGGAACGGGAAAGCCATCTTTTAAGGATAAAGTCTACCAACCCCTGACCGCACTAATGGATGCACTGCCTGTTTTCTGGGCCTTGTGCTGTCTCTCTTCAACCAGGCCATCGGTGCTAGACACGTAGTTGTTTGGGGCTCTCAGAGCCATGGTCGCATAAAGCAGCGTCTAAAATGCGAAGCTACTTGCTAGCATGGGACATTCTGGGACAGTGCTGGAGGCTGGCTGGCTCCCCTGGATTCAGGCCCTGCTCTGACACGCTCCTTGTGCTCTGTCTTGAAAGACTGGGGAAGGGACAGGTGACCCAACTGAGCTGACCTGGGAGGGCACGTGGGAGGTCTGTGGATGGGCTTCCCCGGCATCCTGACGAGAGTGAGCACCAGGTGTGCTCAGGCAGGAGACATGGCAGAGGCAAAGCAGAGGGTAATGGTCTTTATCCCGATTCGTGTTTTATTCCCCGTGCATCCCAAAGCAAGGGAGCAGTAAGCAGATTAAGCGTGTTCAGCAGAATCGGCCGTGTCTGGGGCAGCTTCTCCATCCTAGCCAGGCTGTTAACCTGGGTGTGACAGTCCTTGTAGACTTGGTTTTGACCCAGTCAGTGTCTTGCTGCATTGTAAATGGTCTTAAAAAGGCATAGCTGTCCATGTTGGCGAGTTTTCATCAGCTCGCTTTGACTGGCTCCCTGGCATCCGTTCGACAGTTGAGAAGTTCGGTCTCCAGGCTCACCGCTGCACCTTGCTGGTCCCAGGCCTGGTCCCAGGGGAGAGCTAGGGGTACAGGGGGTGAGGCGGAGGGACTCTCCTGCTGCAGCCATTGGTCAGAGCCGGCTCTGCTTCCCGTGTCCTCTGTGGCCTGCCTGGAGGTCCTCCGGAGGCAGGAGAGGAGGTGGAGGCTGCGATCCCGTGGGCATAGTCGGTGGGGCTGGGGACTGTGTCTGTGGACAGAGCGAACGAGAGGCAGACATCACAGAGGCTGGCTGGAGAATAGCTCTGAGCTGGGGGCTCACCTGTCCCTCCATGCTTGCCCTGTGCCTGCGGGGAAGGCAGCTTGGCTGGGAACCAGCTCTTAGGTCCTTCCTTCAGAGCTTATTCTTGCTTCTGCATTCATCTCTTCTCACACGGGCACACTGGCCTTTAATCCAGACACAGGGCCCAGTCAGCTCATCTCGTGACCTCGCTGTGTCTTTTGCTAAGAGACCTGTCTTCTGCTGAGCGCAGGGAACATGGCAGCCAGGCGTAGACCTTGGCTACTGCTTCCCGCCTGCATTGGATTTTATTCACAAAACGGGATGCCGCTCCCTCAGAAGTGGCACCAGGGCAAGCAGGGACTAGCTAAGCTGGAGAACCATTCTTCACGTGGCTACAGTGCTACAAAATGGGGGCACGGGACGGGAGCAGCTGGGGGCCTGAGGCCCTTCTCTTCAGATGCCTCAGGGACAGCAAGGTTTGTTTCCTGTCCTCTGTGGGAATGGGGAGAGTCACACACAGTGCCTTTGGGGGGTCTTTTAAACCCCCACACACACGCACGCACGCACGCACACCCCACCTACCTCATCTGCGGGGAGCCTGACCAGGACATGTAGAGCAGGATGACGAAGAGGAGCACCACGAAAGTCACCAGGCTCACCCAGAAGGCAATGACGATGGAATCTGCAGGAGGGGACAGTCAGCCGCATCAGCCTGACAAGCAGAACTGTCCTCAGCAAGCAGTTACCCCGCCAGGGCCTCGGAGGCCGTGTCCCTTCCAGCTGTTAACTGGGAAGAAGCGTGTGAGTCACCTAAGTTGATGTCAATTTAAACAGAATCTTGGGGCCCCCACAAGCTTTGTTCGGCTATACTGTTGCTTGGAGGACGAATCCTGAGTAGTGACTCTATGACTTTGTTTTCTCATTGTGTGCAGCTCCGTGTGTCAAGGGCCCTCTCAGCCTTGGGGACAGGCCCCGTAGGATCAGCTTCCGGAGTGTGGGGCATTCTCTGAAACCCAGGAGAACTGCACAGGACCATTGGGTCCTGTTGGGGGTCAAGGCCGTTACCCCTGTGGGGAAGTGGGCTGAGGCCTGGGCCGGGGTTGGAACTGGCTAGTGACCCTGTCGCAGGCACTGGTGTAGCAACACTGTGGTCATATATATGCCTGTTGACTAACGGAAACCAGGGAACATGCTTAGCCTCTTCCATCCCTGTGCAGAACCTGGCAGGTCAGGAGGGTTTGTTGCTGCTAGGCTCCTGGTCAGTGTCATTTGACAGGAGGCTAGGGAAGCGTCACGCTATGGGGGCCTTGGGGTGGTTACCTATAGCCTCAGGACAAGACGTCCAAGTCGGGAAGAGTCTACACACCCCTCAGTGCGTGACAAAGAGGGTATTGAAGGATAGTATGGTGATCTGAAAGACAACGGTCCCCATAGGCTCGTAGGGAGGGGCACTATCAGGAGGAAGTGTGTCGCTGTGGGTGGGCTCTGAGGTTTGAGATGCTCAGGCCAGGGCCAGCATCACCCTCTCTTCCTGCTGCTGCAGATCCAGGTGTAGAACTCTCGGCTCCTTCTCCAGCACCGTGTCTGCCTCCATGCTCCCCGCCATGATGATAATGGACTAAGCCTCGGAACCTGTCAGCCAGCCCCAGTTCAATGTTTGTATAGTTGCTGTGGTCATGGTGTCTCTTCACAGCAACAGAGACCCTAAGACAGCCTGCAGCCCAACAAGTACTTACTGGGCACACGGAGCCCTGTAGCGCACGCTTCTGTTAGAGTGAACTGTAATGCTACACAGTTGTGAGAGCTAACACAAAGGAGAGCGACCATGTGTCATATCTAAACAGTGGAGATTTATGAATGTCGTACAAAAGAAAATAAGCAACCATCCAAGGAATGACTGCAGTGTGAGGGGTGTGTACGTCGCTGTGTTCTGAGGGCAGAGGACAAGAGAGAGGTATGCTTTCTATTAGTACGTACCCAGTTTTTTTCCCAAATAATTTCAGTCTATGGATACATTTGAAAAGTGGCATCTCTGCTTCCTACGACCCAGACAGGAAAACAAACAAGATTTGCAGAAGTAAGCCTGGCGGTGGTGGCGCACGCCTTTAATCCCAGCACTCGGGAGGCAGAGGCAGGCAGATCTCTGTGAGTTCGAGACCAAGCCTGGTCTACAGAGCGAGTTCCAGGACAAGCTCCAAAACAATACAGAGAAACCCTGTCTCAAAAAAAAAACAAAAACAAAAACAAAAAAAAACAAGATTTGCAGAAGTGGACCCTAACAGTTAATGCCAAAAATGGGGCTTCGGACAGTGGAGGTGACTCAGCTGGCAAAGAGGCTACTGCGCAAGCATGGTGACCTGAGGTCAGGCATGCGTGGAGAACCAGGTGCTCATCTGTGTCTGTATTGCTGGGGGTGGGAGGTGTATCCCAGGGATCACTGGCTGGCCAGCCAAGCCAATGGACGAGCTGCTGAGCTTCAAGGGCCAGTGAGTGACCCTGTCTCAATAAATAAGGTGTCAAGCAACTGCAGAAAGACAGCCAACATTGAACTCTGGTTACACAGGTATGTGCACATTTGCACACTACTATATTACAGAGAGAGAGAGAGAGAGAGAGAGAGAGAGAGAGAGAGAGAGAGAGAGAGAGAGAGAGAGAGAAGATGCTGTGCTATTACAAGCCCCTGCCTTGTAATCTGTCAGTCCTTTTCAGCATTCGCACTCCAGGGAGGCAAGGGCAACAAAGACCCAAACTAACTCTTGCATCTTCTCCCCTTTCTGCCCTGAAGCTAAGAAACTTTAAGCACTTTAAGGGGACCTCTGGGCTCCTGGGATGTGGGAAATAAGGTCATAATGGATGTCCTAAGCTGAAACATGTTGAGTCCAAAGGAAACTCCAATTCCCCAAACCCCAAAAGGCAGTCCAAATATCCAGAAATGGCCTCAACCCTGACTATAGGAGGATTTCTGGCGGTTAGATAAAAGCCAGCATTCCTGGAGAACTTGTGAAGCTGGCTCACCTCTACTGAAAGGAGTCGTTTCCCTTACCTCTGGCAGAAGGGACCTATGGCTGTCTATGTTGCCCGTCAGCATCTCAAACCTCACGCTGGCCTCCAGTCTCCCTCAGCATCACAGGTACCCGTCACACATTTCAAAGTCCTCCTCCCTCCCTCCCTCCCTCCCTCCCTCCCTCCCTCCCTCCCTCCCTCCCTCCCTCTCTCTCCCTCCCTCCCTCCCTCCCTCTCTCTCTCTCTCTCTCTCTCTCTCTCTCTCTCTCTCTCTCTCTCTCTCTCACACACACACACACACACACACACATCTACAATTAAGAAAAAACCTCCTTATCCACACTATTGTTAACAGTAATCAAAAGACCCTTCTGGCTTTCTCAACATTACATCCCTGTACTCCCAGAGAGTTATAGTTTATTTCATAATCCCCCAGGTATGAGCATATGCCCTCTGAAACTTTAGTTTGTGATTTTCTTCTGGTTGGGTCGTTTTGATATCTGTGGACATTAACGCTCTTTTTCTCTCCATAAAAATGAGAAATCTGAGGTCTGTAGGTCCTCATAAGTTCAAAGGAAAACCGCTTCAAGCCCTTAGCAGGCAGGAGCCTCATCCCTCTCAACTGTCTGCTGCAGCCCTGGTCATCATCCCTGACGCCGAGCAGGAAATGAGAGCCCACGGAGAGGCGAACTTTCAGTTTTGTAGATGGGAATGAGGATGTGTGGTCACTGGTCAGTGTCTGTGCTAACATCACTCCCGTGCCCCTTTGAAAAGGAAAGCCAAGAATAATAGCCTCTTCCTCTTGTGCCCAAAGTTCATCTTGAGTGCTCCTCACAGGGAACATTGCGTTCTAGAGGCAAGAGTTGTCATCCCCCACTGACAGCACTGACAGACCCACACCCACAGGCCTGTTTTCACAGAGAGCCCCCAACTTCCTCTCCCTGCCTTCCCGCCCACTCTCTTCCATCCCTCATTCCCTTCCCCCTCTCTGCCCCGCCCCCCCACCCCTCCTCCTCTCCCCCTCTCCTGCTCTTAGGAGTTAATTAAACCACCTCAGAGCAGGTGCTTCAGTGAGGAGCCAAAGCCAGTAAACTCTAGTTTTTGGCTGGTGTCACCAACATTCAGGGTTCTAGAAAATCAGCCTTGGTTTTTGTTGTTGTCGTTGCTTATTTGATTTTCTTTGTTGAGGAATAACAAAGTGGAGAAAGCCCAGACATTTTGGCCCCTTCAGTATGACATTTTCTCACATCTCTGAATCTTATTTTCTTACATCTATGTTTGTCTGCCATGGTGCCTGTTGATTAAATACACGTAGGATGATTCCCTGGCATGGTTTCTTCTTCAGAGCTTCCAATTTCAAAGGAGAACTAAGATCCTTTTTTTGTCGATGGTGAAGCAGTATCATGGTGTCCTCTGATGTCACTAAAATGTGGGGTCTGAACGAAGGTGACTGGCACGGAGCTCTAGTTACCAATCCTAGGGTCTGAACGAAGGTAACTGCACGGAGCACTAATTATCAATCCTAGGGTCTGAATGAAGGTGACTGGCACGGAGCTCTAGTTACCAATCCTAGGGTCTGTTCTCTACCCCTGTTTCGTCTGCGGTCATGGCTATCAGAGATAAAGACTACATTTCCCAGCCTCCTTTTCAGCTAGGCTCTGTCTAGCGGGATATGAGAAGAACTGGTCCTGGAGTCTTCCTCCAGCTATGGCTGGACTTCCTGCACCTTGCATCCTTCCTTATTGCCTTACTCCATTTTTCTGCTCAGCTGTGGATTGGGAAGTCATGAGTGAAGGCTGGAGCGTGGAGTCTCAGGGAAGACAGAGAGAGGTAAGCCCCAAGTCGTCAGCTCCTGAGGATTTCATGGGGCCGCCTCGCGACCCCCCTCTGACAGGCTCGTGTGTAAGAGAGCCTTGTGTTGCATCTGCTCTTCTGTGAGCTGCCACCAGTGGTCCTTACCATGGCCTTTTTCATGGAACATACCGGAACAACAACAAGGACAAATCCAAGTGAAAGCTCTGATTCTACCGCAGAGAAAAATTTTCCCAAAGTTTATCTATTGAGCAAATATTCACAGCCCTCCTCTTACTGTTTTCCAGAAACAAATCACCCTGAAAACTTGCCCATCATTTCTCTCCAAAGATGTTTCAGAGAATGTGCTGTGGTTGTCTAAAAGTCAGTTGCAAACCACAAGGTTCCAGTAACAGAATCATCCATGGGCCGTGCCCCACAAGGACCTTTGATGAAGGTTTATTCCAAAGCAAACATTGTGACCTCTTTCTTTAAATGTCACTTTCAGGATTTATGTCATGTGCTTGGGGTGAACCATTCGCTGAAGGCCTTGAAAGCACAGGTAAAGTCTGATGTTCCTCGTGGGAGAAGAGAGTTACATGCAGCCTTTCATTTATGTGCTCATCGAGCCCCCTCTTATCACCCGGAGAGATCGATTAATGGTGTCTCCGCTCTCCTTCCCTGAGCTCCTTGGAGCAGCGGGTGAACACACAGCATTGCTGAAGCCAGAGCAGGGCATCAGCAGAAGTTGTACCGTGACGAATTCTTCCTAACCCATAATTAAAGGGAAGGGGACATGGACCACAGAGGTAGATAATAGGACACTAAAGCCACTTGTCATCAAGGGAGGGCCACCCACCTCACTGCTCTCCAAATAAGAACACTAACTAGTCCTTGGAGCCCCGTCTTATCAGAATAATTCATTTGTCTCTGCAAGATTAGAATATAGGATTGGCACCCAAGAGGGAGACAGATACAAAATCAACACCCCCCCAACTCCAACACTCCAACAGGGTCTTCAAAAGCCTATCTGCATGTTCTACTGTGTTGACACATCTCCATGAAACAGTCATCAGCTGCAAGGCTAGTGTCCTTGTCAAGTGCCTGTGACGGCGTCACACCAGATTTTGGCCTGTCGCTGGTATATGGCAGCCCACAGCCTTCAGCTCAGAACTGATTTCCTTTCTTCTGAGGCACCGGAGATGACTTGGGATAGAACTGTGGTCTGTTATCCTTTGTAACGTAGTTAGGACTAACCTAAGAAACTGGGGCACTTGAAACGCAGGTTAACATTGTGTAGTTTGTGTGAGGCCATGCCCACGCACACACGTGAGGGTTGGATGCCTGCTGGTCCTTGCCTTCTGCCTGACTTAACACAAGGCCTCGTTGCTCCTACGTACCCCAGGCTAGCTAGCCCATGAGTACCCATGGACTTTTCTTTTCTCTGCCCACCCCCATCCTGCCCTTTGAGTTCTGGGATTACAGATCTGGGCTCCTTTACCGGGTTTGTATGTGGGCTCTGGGATTCCAACCTTTGGTCCTCATGCTTTCACTTTAAGCAGCTTACAAATTAATGTATTCTTACCCACGTGTGTGTATTGTGTGTGCACAGCAGCGTACTGTGTGTGTAGAGATCAGGGGGCAGCCTGTAGGGGTCAGTTCTCTCCTCCTGACACATGGGTCCCAGGAACTGACCATAGGCCATCAGGCGAGGCCGGGCTCACAGACTCTAAACCCTCCCACCCAAAACAGAGGGGCAGCTCTACAGAGCAGGTGGTGACCTCTCGGGACGTCTTCCGCCCTTAGAAAGTCACGGTATCTGAAGATCACTCAGCTTTGCACCTCAACGGCGCCCTAGTTTACAAACCCTTCTGAAGACAGGACCTGCTTTATGTCCGGATCAACCCATAGCCTCGGGTTCTGAACCTGTGGCCTCGCTTACAAGCACGTGTGTTTTTCAGCCCCACTACTCTCTCCCTCTGATCTTTTTAAGTCACATGTGCAAAAACCTGCCCCAAATATCATGACTCTCTCCCTTGCATCAGACACCACACGGCAAGCCGCAGGGGGCTTCCCATAGCTGTGCTGGGAACAAGGGAAGTCCTTGGAAAACACGAGTGGGCACCTGCGTTTACTGACATAAGCACTAATGTTTATTTGTGTGCTTACTGTATCGTTGTTTTGAGCTGGTATATAACCAGCAATCTCCCTTCCATATGGAAATGATTCCATCCCTTTGAGAAGGTTCATTTACAGCATGGGGGGTGTCTACAGAGCCTGAGACGCCTTGTGGAGCAGACAGGGGCAGGTCCCCTGCTCCAGGACTGTGCCTTTGAGCTCATCACCTTGGCTGACTTTGGACCTTGACCAGATAGCTGTGCTCATCAGGGAAGAACACCCACAAACTGCCGAGTTGCTCAAGAGGCGAATGAAGGCAGACGAGAAACGGATGTTAACTCGTGCTTGTCCTCTGAGACCACGCTGCACAGCTGTTGGCAATTTAGCAGTGATTGTGACAAGCATCTTTAGAGGTGTTGGGAATGCATCCCCCAGATCTAAATATGGACAGTGAGAAAAAGTGAACTCTGCAGTTTGAAGAAACTCACCCAGCTTACTGGAGCCCCAGGCAAATTCAACTTCATGGGGAAATCTACTTCCCAAGGGGAGGTGGAGAGGCTGGGGTGGAGACTCTTGATTTAGTCCCCAGCCCCGCAGGGTGAGAGGCAAAAGGGCACGGGAGTAGGAGGGGCAGCTATTTGGGGAAAGGGAGTGGGGGGAGGGGGGGAGGAATCGGGGATGAGGGAGGGTAATAGAGGCTGAATATGATCAAAGTCCTTTGCCGGCCATGGTAATGCATACCTGTAGTCTCATCACTTGAGTGACAGAGGCAGGAGGATTTCTGTGAGTTTGAGCAAAGTCTGTGCTATATACATAGTAAGTACCAACCAAGCCAAGTGGTCTAATAAGACACCATCTCAAAGAAACAAAACCAAACATTTTTACACTATCAGCATGTATGAAACTGTTATAACAAAACTCATTATCTTGTACAATTAATATACACTAGTAAAATGAACGGAAAGATAAAGCGTGTGTGTGTGTGTGTGTGTGTGTGTGTGTGTGTGTGTGTGTGTGTATTTGTCTTAACATTCTGCTGGGTTAGCAAGAAAACTCAGGGCAGAAGCTGTTTGCTCCCAAGTCTGACAGCCGGATTTCCATGCTAGGGACCCACGTGGTAGAGAAAGAGGACAATTTGGGGACGTTGTCAGATGCACTGTGGCACCCCACCCCTAAATAAACACACGTGTGTCTTTAAAAGGAACGTTCTGCATAGTTTGGGGTAAGTTAGGGGTACAATTTGTCCCGTGCCTGATTCACTTCTGTGTGTGTGTGCAGGACTGGAGCTGGGGTGAGCCTCCTGGAGGCAGTCAGTGAAGACAAAGCCAGGAGCGCCTCCTCTAGGGCCCAGCCCCTGCCTGGCTGCCCTCCCAGCTTCTGACTTACGTTTGTGGGCTTTCAGCTTCTTCTCGTCCACGGGAATGAGGTCTAAGTAATCCAGGTAATATTCATAGCTGGTGTACAGGACAGAGGCATTGGTCCTGTTGGCCATGACTGTGGCTGTGGAGGCCACTGTCTGCTCACATCTGCTGCTGGGCTGTGGGCCCCAGGGATGGCATTGCTTAACTCATTTCTGTCAGAGTCACCCGGGCTCATCTGTGAGTTTCCAGACACGGGGCCTGCTTATCATAGCTTTGCTGGAAGGTCAGGGGGCTGTTCCCAACATATGGCCTCTGGATCCGTCCTCTCCTGGAAAAGACTCCAAAGCAAGACAAGCCTACTGCTAGTGACACGACTTCCCCTTCAGCTCTAGCTTGCCTCTCAGTGGAGGGACCGGGAAGTGGGCCAGAAGCAGACAATGACCAGTGCAGCTAGACAGAGGCACCATTGCTGCTTCTGACACATGGAAAGTTAGTAAGGCGGCAGGAAATCCTGCCAGTGCCCTTGACTTACGCCAAGGCAGTTCTTGGAATTGTTAAGCAACGAGTAGACCTCTGGCTTGGATTCTGAAGGCAGACCCTGTTTTTGCACAACCAGTTAACAAAAACAGAAAATCCCAATACTAGACTGAATGGGCATCCTGGCTTTTACAGGAAGGAGCCAGCTGGGTGGGGGTCAGCTGCCTTTGTTCAGACCAAAGAGGCGGGTGTATCTGGGTCAGCATCCCACAGGACTGAGCTCTTAGGAAATAAGGCACAGGGTCTACATAGCTCTCAGCGGACACTAAGTGTAAGGAGGAACCCAGGCTTCCGTGGGGTCCGCCCCTAGGTTATGTGCTTGCTTGTTCAAATGACCTGTAGTTACTGCCCCAAATGAATACGGGGACTACTAGAATGAGCAGCTGGTGCGTGCATGAGGGACCTTGGGATTTTGCCTCTGGGAGTCATGCAACGAGCCTGGGACTTTCTGTCTGTCCCTACTTGTTTTCTAAGTGTCTGTTCCTGTCTCCATTGCCGAGTATCAACAGAAGCACCCCAGACAACGTGAGCCCACCCAGTTCTGATCCTGCTATGCCAAGGCAGGCCTTCTGCTGGGAGCTCTTGGACTAGAAGGAGAGGAGGTTTTACTTGGATTTCCAAAGCAAAGAGACAATCATTCCCTGGAAAAACAAGGGAGAACTTGTGTTTCCTCTCCTGCTTTTACCTCTCAGCAAAAGTGTGGGGTTTTCATACCAAGCAAGTTCCTGCTGTCTGCAGACACTGTCTCATACTTGAGCTCAGTTCTGATAGTAACTGCCCAAGGTTGGCAAACCTCTCAGGTGATAGGCCTAGTCCCACAGTCGCCTGCCTCTCCCCACTTCAGTTTTAATCCTAAGCCTCAGGTTGCCACCTGAGTTCTGACCCACTGGCTGGTCACCGAGGGTTTAACAAGTCCCTCCCCTGGCTCCCAGGTCTCCAGCTTATCATGAAAGAATACAACTCAGGTATAGTCAGACAGAAGCTGTCACTACCAAACCAGGTCTGATTTGTACACTGGAGTGTGACAGTCACTGACATGTTTTACAGCAGAGAGTCATTTGTGAGGCAAAGATCGAGGGTACAGAAGACCCAAGTCTCAATTCTGTAACCTACGGATAGGGAACAGGGTCACTGTGATGTAAAGGAATGAGCTGGTCTGAGGCTGGGGAAAAGGTGATGGAGGTGAGGGGTGATGGAGGTAAGGGATGATGGAGGTAAGGAATTATGGAGGTGAGGGATGATGGAGGTAAGGGGTGATGGAGGTAAGGGGTGATGGAGTAAGGGGTGATGGAGGTAAGGGGCGATGGAGGTAAGGGGTGATGGAGGTAAGGGATGATAGAGGTAAGGGGTGATGGAGGTAAGGGGTGATGTAGGTAAGGGATGATGGAGGTTAGGGATGATGGAGGTTAGGAGAGATGGAGGTAAGGGATGATGGAGGTAAGGGCGATGGAGTAAGGGGTGATGGAGGTGAGGGGTGATGGAGGTGAGGGGTGATGGAGGTAAGGGGTGATGGAGGTAAGGGATGATGGAGGTAAGGGATGATAGAGGTAAGGGGTGATGGAGGTAAGGGGTGATGGAGGTGAGGAATTATGAGGTAAGGGGTGATGGAGGTAAGGGATGATGGAGGTAAGGGATGATGGAGGTAAGGGATGATGGAGGTGAGGAGTGATGGAGGTGAGGAGTGATGGAGGTGAGGAGTGATGGAGGTGAGGGGTGATGGAGGTAAGGAATTATGGAGGTAAGGGGTGATGGAGGTGAGGGGTGATGGAGGTGAGGGGTGATGGAGGTGAGGGGTGATGGAGGTAAGGGATGATGGAGGTAAGGGGTGATGGAGGTAAGGGATGATGGAGGTAAGGGATGATAGAGGTAAGGGGTGATGGAGGTAAGGGGTGATGGAGGTGAGGAATTATGAGGTAAGGGGTGATGGAGGTAAGGGATGATGGAGGTAAGGGATGATGGAGGTAAGGGATGATGGAGGTGAGGGGTGATGGAGGTGAGGGGTGATGGAGGTGAGGGGTGATGGAGGTAAGGAATTATGGAGGTAAGGGTGATGGAGGTTAGGAGAGATGGAGGTAAGGGATGATGGAGGTGAGGGATGATGGAGGTGAGGGGTGATGGAGGTGAGGGGTGATGGAGGTAAGGGATGATGGAGGTTAGGGATGATGGAGGTTAGGAGAGATGGAGGTAAGGGGTGATGGAGGTAAGGGGTGATGTAGGTAAGGGATGATGGAGGTTAGGGATGATGGAGGTTAGGAGAGATGGAGGTAAGGATGATGGAGGTAAGGGCGATGGAGTAAGGGTGATGGAGGTAAGGGGTGATGGAGGTAAGGGGTGATGGAGGTAAGGGTGATGGAGGTAAGGGATGATGGAGGTAAGGGGTGATGGAGGTAAGGGGTGATGGAGGTAAGGGGTGATGGAGGTAAGGAGTGATAGAGGTAAGGGGTGATAGAGATAAGAATGATGGAGGTAAGGGATGATGGAGGTAAGAATGATGGAGGTAAGGGTGATGGAGGTGAGGGGTGATGGAGGTGAGGGGTGATGGAGGTGAGGGGTGATGGAGGTAAGGGATGATGGAGGTAAGGGGTGATGGAGGTAAGGGGTGATGGAGGTTAGGAGAGATGGAGGTAAGGAGTGATAGAGGTAAGGGATGATGGAGGTAAGGGATGATGGAGGTAAGGAGTGATGGAGTGATGAGTGGCCTGTGCATGTGTGGTCCAGTTTTGTGGTTCTTAGAGGCACACAGTGACATTAGTATGCTTTAAGGGTGGACTTTTCCACTCTCTGACATGAAAACATCATCCTCTGTGCAGGGACAAGTCAGGGCAGTGTGCCAGCTCACCCAAGACAGACGAGAGGAGCCTCTAAGCAACAACTTGGGCAGCTGTTAGCACACATCAGAGGAGTTACCTAAGCCATGGGAGGCTGTTGCTCAGCTGTGTGCCCTCTAGAGCTGATGGCAAAAGCAGGTGACCGAAAGCAAAGGAAGCCCAGAGTTTATTCGGTGCTTCCCTCAGGGTTGAGGTTCTGGGAAGAGGTAGGAAGCTTCCTGGCCTTCTCCATGCACACCCCCCAGCACCTCCTGCACCCCCTGGATAGGGTCTCGGGGTTCTAGAGCACAGGGGCAAGCCATTGAATCACTAGGTTCTGGTGGCGTGTCTCAGTATCTAAGGTGATGTGTAGCCTTCCCTCCCTAGAGGTTAAAGTGTGGGCCGAGTTCCTGTTCTTGTTAACTTGTGACTAGACCCTCTCACAATCTCGAGTCTCCTCCATGAATCACCTCTCCAGCATGAAAGTCCAGGTATAGATCAAGGAAATTGGTGTGTCACTCCATTCACCCAGACACACAGACATTCCAAGTGAGACCCATATATATATGATCAGTCACAAAAGGCAGCCCAGTACAAACCCTGTGATCTCTAGCTTGTTTTGTCAACAATTTGCAAGAAGCAATCTCTCTCTTTGTTCCTAGGTAGTATTATAGAGATACTGAGTAACTCATTTTCCCACAGTGGCGAGCCCTTGGATATGAGCTGTCCTTGTGACTTGTTTTGGCTTTGAGTAATTGATACAGCAGCTAAGACATTGTATTGACCTGGGATGTGACTCAAACACAGAGCAAAATACAGGGCATCTACAAGGCCTTGGGTTCATGCAATTCCCAGCACTGAGAAAACAAAACACCACACAAACACGTCGAGCAAGTTCCAGGCCAAGGTCTTTACACAGCAGCGCTTAGCCTTTGGGTCAAAACCCCCTTGGGGGTTACAAATCGGATATTTACATTATGATTCATAACTAACAAAACTACAGTTACGAAGTAGCAACAAAATAACTTTACGGCTGGGGCTCACCACAGCATGAGGAGCTGTATTGAAGGGTTGTAGCATTGAGAAGGTTGAGAGCCGCTGTCTCACAGGTCTGACACAGTCACTCTCCTGCAGCACTAGCAGGAGGGGCTGGCCTCTGGGGTGAACCAAGGACAAATTTTAGTCAGGAGCCAGGCAAACCCCAGCAGCATGAATGGCTGTTCTTTTGTGTATGGTAATATGTCTCCTCTGTCTCTGTCTCTATCTCTGTCTCCCTCCCCTACTCTGTGTGTGTGTGTGTGTGCCATCCCCCTGGCTTTCCCCTGACCCAGAGCTCACCATAGGCTAGTCTGGCTGGCCAGTGAGCCCCAGGGTGTCTATGTCTGCCTCCCCAGTGCTAAGATTACAGGCATGCACCATTCATCACATCTGGTTACTTTCTGACATGGGCTCTGGGACTTGAACCAAGGGCCTCATGTTTGCGAGGCAGGCAGCAATGTGCCGTTGGGGCCATCTCCACAGCCCACATGGCTATGATTTCTTACGCAGCCTGGGGTAGCTGGCGAATGCCCATGTTCCTGTTCCTTTACACCTTCAGGTGATTCAGTCCCTTTATTTTGATCTACTCTAGTAAGTTTCTGCTGAATTTTTAACTCAATCCTATACTCGTCTTAACATCTCTGGGTGCTTTGTAAAAATATGTAAGACAAAGACCATGATTTACTTATTGTCAGAATTTACTGATAATATCAATCAGATTAAACATGTTCCATAAAATGTAAAAAGGGCAGCCGGGCGTTGGTGGCGCACACTTTTAATCCCAGCACTCAGGAGGCAGAGACAGGTGGATCTTTGTGAGTTCGAGGCCAGCCTGGTCTACAGAGTGAGTTCCAGGACAGCCTCCAAAGCCACAGAGAAACCTTGTCTTGAAAAACCAAAAAAAAAAAAAAATTAAAAAGGGCTTTAATAAAAGGCTGTAACTGAGCCGGGCGTTGGTGGCACACGCCTTTAATCCCAGCACTCGGGAGGCAGAGGCAGGTGGATCTCTGTGAGTCGAAGCCAGCCTGGTCTACAGAGCGAGTTCCAGGACAGCCTCCAAAGCCACAGAGAAACCCTGTCTCAAAAAACAAAAAAAACAAAACAAAACAAAAAAAGGCTGTAACTGTCAACCATTCTAAGTTGTTTACACATAAAAAAATATTAAGCTAAATCCCCAATCAAGCAGGGTTTTTTAAAAAAATATATGTAATTGTGGAGTGGCACATATCCTACTAATGAGTCCTCATGTAATAACTGAAACATATAGATAAGACATAACGAAACAGCTATTCAGAGGCACCAGAGAGGGACAGAAAGCGACAGAAACAAAAGGAGAACACCACCGAGAGAAGGGACAGCGCGGTGAGATCGTCTTTACAGATGCCTTTGTTGGGTCCATGCCACAGCCGCCCCAACGCAAGCCAGTGTGAGCTCACGCAGAAAGCAAAGTTTAATTGGTCTTAGTGGCGGGGCTTGGCATAGACGGGTATTTAAATGGGCACGGGGTAGAGGAGTCTTAGTTATTCCCCCATCTGTTTATATTGTTCAAGGCGTTTATAGCTCAGTGCTGGAAACAGAACCTGCCTACCATACTCCAGGCTCTACGTTCAAATCAGTAGGCGAAGCCTGGGGGAAAACAGTATTTGCCTCATTTAATAAGAATGTCCAAATTGTTAATTACTAATTGAATAACAACATAAAACAACATTGTTTACATAGAGAAAAATAATCACAAGAAACCTCCAGGTATACATCTCAAGTCACAGACAAGCAGTGATGATCATGTTTGTCTGTGTGTGTGCACTGAGGGACACATCACTCTGTGATGCTCTTGTTAAATGTGTGACCCTGGTAATTCTGACTAAGACAGAATTAGGAAAAGCTAAATCAAGGGTGTCCAACAAAATGGCTTCCTGGTCTCCTTCAGAAGAGGCCAGGGGAAGGCAAGGAAGTGCCAGAGACTGGTACAGATGAAAGACACAGACGTCTCACAGCATTCTGGATTGGCCGTTAGTGGAGAACCTGAGGAAATCCAGAAAAACTTATATTTAGTTAATGAATAGCATTTTCCAATGCTAATATCTTGATTTTTATGAAGCTGGAAGCTCTTGGCTCTATTTAAAATCATTCTGTAAGGAATATAACTTAAAAGCCACCTTTGTGTGACTGGAAGTAAATGGATGCCTGAGCAGCCTTTTGTGTTTGGGAAACAGCTCCACTGGTAAAGTGTTGCTTGCCTTGCAAACACAAGGGGCCTGAGTTCGACCCCCAGAGCCCACGAGCAGTTAGTGTTGCTTAGTTGTTGTTTTCAATAAACATGGGTTATGAGGATCAAATCGGTTCCTCATTCCTGAATGGCAAGCATTTTACTGACTGAGCCATTTCCCCAGTCCCAAGAAATGACTCTTTGTGAGTTCCGTTCATCTCTGAGATAACAACGAAACTTACATTAACAAATGCCTCCAAGACCTTGACTGCTAGCATCGTTGCTTTCCAGTTAAAGTCGTAATGGAGATGCGGGTGATGACGCTGTTCTTTCTAGCTGTTTCTGTGGGGGAAGGGAGCAGCTTTCCTAGAAGGGGAGGGGTATGCTCCATAGTTAACAGTCCAGGCTCTCATAAATCTCTGTCAGTGGTCTCAGCTGTTGCTCATGAACCCTGTGGACCTCAGCCTTTGCATCGTTAGAACAAGATGCATCAGTGAAGACATGTAGGTTTCTCAGCTCCGCTGTATCATGTATGGGTTTACTGAGAACCCCATGTTCTCCTGTATCATGTATGGGTTTACTGAGAACCCCATGTTCTCCTGTATCATGTATGGGTTTACTGAGAACCCCATGTTCTCCTGTATCATGTATGGGTTTACTGAGAACCCCATGTTCTCCTGTATCATGTATGGGTTTACTGAGAACCCCATGTTCTCCTGTATCATATATGGGTTTACTGAGAACCCCATGTTCTCCTGTATCATGTATGGGTTTACTGAGAACCCCATGTTCTCCTGTATCATGTATGGGTTTACTGAGAACCCCATGTTCTCCTGTATCATGTATGGGTTTACTGAGAACCCCATGTTCTCCTGTATCATGTATGGGTTTACTGAGAACCCCATGTTCTCCTGTATCATGTATGGGTTTATTGAGAACCCCATGTTCTCCTGTATCATGTATGGGTTTACTGAAAACCTCATGCTCTCCCTACTTGTTTGAACTTTCTCGGAGAACCAAGGATCAGTTGAGAACTAGGAAATTGTGATTCCACTCATCAAATAGAGGAGAGAAGAAACACTATTTAAAGAACATCCTGCCAAGCCGGGCAGTGGTGGTGCACGCCTTTAATCCCAGCACTTGGGAGGCGAGGCAGGCGGATCTCTGTGAGTTCAAGGCCAGCCTGGTCTATAGAGTGGGTTCCAGGACAACCAGGACTGTTAAACACAGAGAAACCCTGTCTCAAAAAACAAACAAACAAACAAGCATGTTTTGAACTTAGTTTCTCGGTTTCTAGCTGTCCCCAGGAGAAGATGGGGCCAAACATTGGTGAGACACATTCCTGAGTTTCATCTGCAACACAGATAGATATAAATGTCACCCCACCCCCTGCTCCGGCTTACCCTAGACTGAGTTGTATCGACTCAGAAGAGTTCTTTATGGTGACAGAAGGTCCTTGGGGGCTGAGGGCACAATGTGCCATTCTCCTGGTGCCAGCTGGTGGGGGAAGGCAGCCTTGGGTACCGTTTGGATCCCCTCCTCCCACCCACATCTAAACGTCTTAGAACGCGGCTGCAATGAAACCTGCCTGCTAGAGAAGTCAGCCACCCGCCTCCGGGACCTGCAATCACATCTTATTGTCATTCAGGTGTGCAAGCGCTGACGTGCATGCAATTAAAGCCTGTCTGGTTGTAATCAGCAGTTATTAATTTCTCATTCTCCTCAGCTGCCAACGCACTTGTGAGCACCCACAAGGCAGGTGAGACGGCTCAGAGGTTAAAGGTGCTCAGCAGTTCAAACCCCGGGAAGACAAGAAGGGACTCCAGGCTGTCCTCTGACCTCTGACATTTGCATGTCCCCCTTAAATGAGTGTGAGTAAAAACCAGTCCACAGTTCTTCCAGCAAAATGGTCAAGGCCTCAGCCACTCATTTCTTCTCGAACTTTCTTCTCTTTCTTTCCGGGCTATCTTTCCTTCCCTTCCCCTCCCACTCCATCGAGTTCTAGAGTGTTTGGCAATGACTGCTATTTCCTGCCTCCACCAGGGATCTTGGAACTCTGAAGGAAAATTCCTGGAAAGAGACAGAGGCCACAAAGGTCAACTGGGGGACCAGAACGTCAGTGACTGCAGAGGTGGGGATGCTGGGAAGTTCAGAGCCCCATTACCTGGGTTACATGGTCATTTATTGCCCTCCTCTGGGTGAGGCCACTTCCTTGAGACTTAGGTAAATACTTGCTATATAAGAGCAGATCCCCAGCCTCCAGTCCAAATGCTAAGGGTCTGGCCGGATAGCATTGGAGGTCTACAGCAGAGGGTTCCCATTGCCTAGCTGTAACTGCCTTCCTGATAGACCTGCCAGTGTATTTGAAAAGTTGGTTGGTTTATTCTCCCTTCTCTTTGTTCTATTACCTTAATGTTAAGTCTCAGGAAGTGCATATATCCAGAAATGACAGGTCTTGGCCCACCCCACGATGGACCACAGAAGGATTTCGGACAGTTAAATAAAAGCCAGCATTCCTCAGGAACTTGTGAGACAGGTTCCAGAAGTAGCTATCCCCGTGCCTCTCTGGCAGAAGAGACATACGGCTCTCCATTGACACATATGTCTGTGGTCGCATATCAAAGCCCATGCTGGCCTCCAGTCCCTGTTCAAAAGTACCCATCATGCACTTCAAACCCCCAACTCTAACTTCCTGGCCCTTCCCACTGGCTCCTCTACCCCAAATTCCCAGGCCTGGTCCAGCTCCCAGGCTTCCTCCTCCCGGATACCCACATGTTCTCACTGTATTGGCAACCCCCCTCCACTTGCCTCTGTCTCCATGTCTCCACTATTCTCTCTTGCTATTCTCCCTTCTCTGGCAGATACCCTGGGCCAGGTCCCATCTGCCACTTTCTCTCTCTGCTCTGAACTCTCCCAGATGCCTTTGGATATTTTCTCTTTCTTATCTACAATGAAAACCTTCATCTTTGATGGTCAAATGGGCCATTTTGGCAGTTTCTTTTTTTGGGGGGATTCTAGACAGGGTTTCTCTGTATTGCTTTGGAGGCTGTCCTGGAACTTGTTCTGTAGACCAGGCTGGCCTCGAACTCAGAGATCCGCCTGCCTCTGCCGGTCCCGAGTGCTGGGATGAAAGGCGTGCACCACCAATGCCCGGCTTTTGGCAGTTTCTTTACCATGACTCTTCACATACAGTTAAAACCTCACCAAACTGATGCTGCGTTGGAGCGGGATATCTGTGTCCCTGGCTGTGGCCACTCGCATTTGCCTCCATAATAAACTCTCCCTTAGCCACTTTGAGGTGAGTGAGAGCTGTGTTTCTTGCTCAACAACAAGATGCATTCTCCGAGAATGAAGGATGCTATGCTGCGACAGCCTGCTATATATAAAGTATTGACCATAGGATTTGGCTAGAGACACTAAAATAGGAAGTAATTTTTTGTTCCTGTGTTTGTTTGCTTGCTTGTTTGGTTTTGTTTTTCCAGACAGGGTTTCTCAGTGTAGACCCAGCTGGCCTCGAACTCATGAGACCCGCCCGCGCTGGCATTAAGGGCGTGCACCACCACCTCCCAGCTCTGCTAACCCAGCAGCAGGGGCGTGACCATCCGTGACCAGGGCGGGGAAGGGCCTGGAGAGACGCGAGGACGACGAGCATGCGCATTAGCAGCTGCCGGGCCCTCAGGCCCCACCCCCTCGAGCGGAGCCCCGCCCCTGGGGTCCTGGCGCGTGCGCGGCCGTGCTCTTCCCGTGGGGCTCCGCGGCGCGGCAGATTCGTACGTCGCTGCCGGCGGCTCCCCGCGATGCCGGCCTGCTTCTCGCTGGTGTAGCCGCGGGCGGCAGGCGGAGCGACTCCTCGCCGCCGGCCGGGGGAAGCGGCTCTCGGAAGACTCAGCGGAAGCGGGCGAGCATGTCGGGCGCGGACGCGTCGGGGGCGGAGCGGTGCGAGCCGAGGGCGGCGGCGGCGGGGGAGAACCCGCTCGTGTTCCTGTGCGCGCGCTGCCGCCGGCCGCTGGGCGACTCGCTGACCTGGGTGGCGGGCCAGGAGGACAACAACTGCATCCTTCTGCGCTGTCAGTGCGGGCTGGGCCCCGGGTTCCCGGGGAGGGGCCCCGGGCAGACGGGGCGGGGAGGGGAGGGAGGAGGGCGACACCCGCGTCCCTGGCGTCGGTGAAGCGTCGTCGCGGACGCCACTCACAGACGGGCCAGCCGCTTCCCGCAGGGCAGTGTGACGAGACCCCCAGATCCCATGGGCTCCGCCAAGCCGGGGCCCTTCCAGGGCCGTCCATCCGCCCGCAGAGCTCAAGATCCCATTGTTCTTTTCCACCGGGCGGGTCTCCACGGTGTGGATGTGCCGCGTTTTCCTTATCCGCTCGTCGGCCGAGGGGCCTGCAGGTTGATTCCAGATTCTGGCTTTTATATGGGTAACGCTGCTACGAATATACTTGAGCAAATGTCCTTGTGGCGGGAGGGTGCATCCTTTGGGTACGTGCCCAAGACTGGTATTGCTGGGTCCAGAGGTAGATTGATTCCCAGTATTCCGAGGATGCCCATCTTGCTTTCTGTACGTAATAATACTGTTGTTAGGTTTTAAAGCGTAACCGGCACGAACTAGATGAGCTTATTTATCCCCACATTGGCCATCCTTTTTTCTTTGTCCTTTATAGTAGGCAGTAATTCCACCCCTTTGCACAATTCGACAAATGCAGGAGGATGTAAAAGTGTTTTCTAACAGATTAATTTTTAGGCTGGGCGGTGCTGGCCCACACCTTGGATCCCAGCACTCGGGAGGCAGAGGCAGGCGAATCTCAGTGTGTTCAAGGGCAGCCTGGTTTACAAATCGGACAGCCAGAGCTGCTGCTACACAGAGAAACGCTGTCTTGAACCTCCTCCCCAGATTAATTTTTAGACTAAATTCTGTTAATATTAATTAACTTTCAGATTAATTTCTATTTCCTCTTGCCCGAGTTGGAGTGTTTTATTTAGCTTTATTCACGTTTATGACATTTACCAATTAAATTTTTTTTCCTGCTTTGAAATGGGGATCTTGTCGTTTCCCAGCATGGCTTTGAACTAATGATCGTACCTCAGCTTTCCAAATAGTGAGCGTTACAGGTGTGTAGCCCTGCACCTGACTCAACACTAGTGAGCGTTACAGGTGTGTACCCCTGTACATGGCTCAACAATTACATTAATTTATAGCCGCAACATGGCGATGTAAGTTAATATATTTATGAACTCATTTCTCACTCCCGTAGTTTTATTGGCATATTAAAAGATGGGGGACTGGAGAGATGACTGTGGTCCAGAGCACCTGCCGAGGACCAGGCACTGACGGGCTGACTCAGCACGGGCTGGCTTGCTACTGTTGCTGACTCCACTCACAGGGGAGCTGATGCCATCACACATGCACTTGCTGCATGTACATACATGCAGGCAAAACACTCAAAAATAAATTAACTAAACTAAAAAATTCACTCCTGTCTTTTCAGTCCCTAAGGAAATGTTAAGTTTGGGTGCTGGAAATTTTCTTTTTATATTTTTATTTTTTGGTTTTTCAAGACAGGGTTTCTCTGTATTGTTTTGGAGGTGGAACTCGCTCTGTAGACCAGGCTGGCCTTGAACTCACAGAGATCTGCCTGCCTCTGCCTCCCGAGTGCTGGGATTAAAGGCATGTGCCACCATGTGTTGCCTAAGTGTAGACTGAAGACCAGGAAATAAGGGGGGGGGGGTCTATGTATGAGTGAAAGCCAGCAGAGGAGTGGCAGAGCCTGCTCTACCACAGCTGTATTACCATAGCAGCTGTCCAGGCGAGAGGTGGGGCTGATGTTTCAGGGCTTGAGTAAGACTTGAGGACAGCTTGCGTGGCGTGATACCCAGAGCTGTAAAAGCCAAGATAAACTCTTGGAACAGATCTCACCTTCTAGTCTAATGTGGGCCTGGGGATTACTAAGGCGCGTGTGGATGGGGGTGAGATGGAGAGGTTGCCTTGGCCATTTTACTAAATGACAGAATGTTTTGTACTGCTTCTCTGGTCCAGCTGCCGAGGACCCAAGCGCAACATGTGTGGTGGCTGGGGACCGCTCTGTTACTTTTAGAGAGAGGTGCTCTGTTGGGTCTGGGGTACAGGGATGCCCGTCTTCCTTAGTCTGGACCCCAGGCCCACTCTGCCTGGTCGTTGTTCCTTGTAGTTTGTAGCTTGTGAGTCTCACAGTCGCTGGTAATTTGTTCGTTTTACTACTAGTTTTCAGAGAAGGGTGTGAAGTAACTCTTACCCCACCTTTTCCCAGAAGGCCCCTGCACCTTTAGTGTTGGACTTGTATACCCCGCCCCCCCAAGGCTTTGGGCTCCTTTTGTTTCCCTAGTCCTCTGAGTTCTGAAATAAAGGTTACAGCTGAGTTAAAAGTTCAGTCTTCAGGTGTATTGCAGCTAGCACACTAAGAAAGACTGCCGCTCTCTTCCAGGCGTCTCCTCTAACGTGTCTGTGGATAAAGAGCAGAAGCTGTCCAAGTGCAGAGATGAAGACGGGTGGTAAGTAAAGGCGTTTCTGTGACACCAGGTCAGGGAGACTTCGAGATTGCCTGTGATGCAGCTCTTCATGGGGATTGGACGCATGTAAAAAGTAAAAACCCATTATACGGTGGGGTAGCCCCTTTAGATGGGAGAGTGGAAGTTTCTAAGTTTCTAAAGGTGTAGCTAGCCCTGATCTTAGGGTTAGGGTTTGATGCTGAAGAAAGTGGAATGTAAATGTAGAGCTGACCTATCTTGAAATCTCGAAGTCTGAGGTGCCCGTGGCAGTGCTGCCTGTCTCTTCCGTGTCCTGGCACAGATAGGAAATTCTCACACAGAATCTCCGTCGGTGGCCGCCTGGGTGCAGACAGGCCATCTGTGGCCACAGACAACCAGTCCCAACCACAGACACAGCAGTCCTAGGGCCCTAGGTGGGTGTGTGTCTTCTGGTCTTCTCCCTCCTCTCAGAAAGCCACCAGGATTTGGGCGTGGGGCTCCACCATGGTGGCTTGTCCAGTCTTAGTCACCTGCAGGAGACCCCGTTCTGAAGGCTGCACACTCTCACTTGACGCGCTCGGGAAGACCACATTCAAACGATGCCCAGAGGAGAGAGGGCTCATGTGAGCTCTTGTACGCTGTTGTGGTTGAGTGAGAATTTAGATTATCCTTTATTAGTCTATCCTAGGAGTCCACAGCTCAGGATTTTCTAAATCCTTTTCTTGATTAACAATCTTGATAATGTGTTGTAGCCTCCTAATTGTTATGCAGCTTCACTCTTGGTAGTGTAGGTGAGGTTTTCTACTTGGGATCTGAGGCCACGAGAGGGCATTGGATCCCATACTGGCTCTTCCGTCAGCTTGACATAAGCCCAAGTCATCTGACAGGAGGGACCCTCAGTTACAGGGCTGAGGCCACGAGAGGGCATTGGATCCCATACTGGCTCTTCCGTCAGCTTGACATAAGCTAACGTCATATGACAGGAGGGACCCTCAGTTACAGGGCATGGTGGTGGTGGCGGCGCACGCCTTTACTCCCAGCACTCAGGAGGCAGAGGCAGGCAGATTCCCTGTGAATTCAAGGCCAGCCTGGTCTACAGAGCGAGTTCCAGGACACCCAGGTCTACACAGAGACACCCCCTTGTAATTTAAGAAAAGCAGCATGTGAGATAAAGACGCCGTGTGACAGGGTTCAAGCAGAGGGTTTTTTTTTAATTAGGGAAAGGTATCATAAAAAGGGAGAAGGGAAAGGGGGAGACTGGCCTCCAGAGACAGGAGCAGCCAGAGAGAGGAAAGAGGGGGAGAGAGATAGGAATGGGGGGGAGAGATGGGGGAACAGAGAGAGAGGGAGAGAAAGAAGGATGGGAGGTGGGCGGGACCTTTTCAAAGGGAACACAGTAAATGAGCCCAGGTGGTGCTCTTAGTGGCTGAAGCTGAAGGCGCATCCCGTCAGAGCCCCAAGGACAGATGCCTGGATACTAACACCTGTCTTGACATCTGAAGCAACTTCTCCCTCCAGGTTCCTGTCCTGTTTGAGTTACTATCCTGACTTTAGGTATGGAAGTATACACCAGGTACACCGTTTCCTACCTCGGTTGCTTTGGTCATGGATCCAGCAATAGAAACCCTAACTAAGACAGATAGATCCCCTTGAAGTTGGACTTATAGGTAGAACCTAACTCAGGTCCTCTGCAAGAGTATATACTCTTAACCACTGACCCATCTCCCCAACACATACGTACCTACATACATACATACTTAAGTACATACGTGAAATCTGTAGCAGTAGTATCTAATAAAAGTCCATGACTGCGGTACCTATCGGGACTGTACTTGTCTTATAGAATGGTACTTTAGACGCACTAATTTGGCAAGGCTTTGGGGAGACACTGGATTGGAAGACCATTTTAAAGATGTGAGTGGGCACGGAGAGCCCACTGGACAGGAGCTGAGAAGACTGGAGGAGCAGTTATGTACAGATGATGGAAATTAAGGGAAACGGTGCGAGTCACCTGGATAGACAGGTCTCTAGTGGATAGTCAAGTGTGTGTCAAAATACAGTGTAGGGACAAGACGGTAGCGGGTGCAGCAAAGGAGACTTACTTGACAGAGGGACAGAGGGCAGGGAGTAAGAGATAAGCCCAGGAGATGGAGGATGAGGAAGACCCTGGGAAGGGATCAAGGGAAAGTCCTGGGTGTGGTGGTCAGGGAGTGGCAACAACAGACCGCCCCTGGACTGAGAGGAGACAGGGAAAATGGCAGTCTCTGAAGGCACAAGGGAAACCCTCTGTTAGGAAGAGTGTTTAATTTTAAGTTTATTATTTATTCTTTGTGTTTATTTATTACTGGTGTTTTGCCAGCATGTCTGTGTGAGGGTGTTGGATGCCCAGGACTAGAGTTACAGACAGTTGTGTGCTGCCATGTGGGTGCTGGGACTCGAACCTGGGTCCTCTGAAAGGGCAACAAGAGCTGTTTACTGCTGAGCCACCTCTCCAGCCCCTGAGGTGTTTCATTTTAATTGGGCATGTTAGTTAGGTGAGCCAAAGGGGACTTCTGATTGCTGGACTTCAGTACTTTGATATCTGGACCTTGGTGGTCAGTCAGCCTCAGGAGGAGAAAGTGGCCAGATAAGGGAACAGACCATGGTGGCAGCTTCAGGGATGCAGTCTAACGGTTTCTAACGAGGCAGAGGGAATGGGGAGAAGGACAAGGCCTGCTTGAGCCATGCCTGCCACACTGGAGGTGGCCAGAGTCCCTTCACTGGGTGTGGTGACACACCTGTAATCCAGCATTGGAAGGCTGGAGGCAGAAGGATTAGGAGTTCAGGACTGTTCATAACATGGAGACATAGCAAGTTTAAGGCTAGCCTGGGTACATGAGAGCCTGTGTCAAGAGGGAAAACTCTGGAGGTGTATTTAACTTTAATAGGGCAGAGCTGCTCGGGGATAGAAGGACAAGCCTAGGTAGCGCTGCCGGGACAGCAGCCCAGCCTTTGCAGCCGCCTTTTCTCTAGCACAGTGGTGTGCGCCTCAGCCCGACAAGGTCACCTGCCGCTGACCTTTCCACACGCCTCTCCTCGCTCTGGAGAACTTGTCTCCAACTGGCTCCTCTGTGTAGCCCTGACATGGGACGTGCTCTGTAGACCAGGCTGTCTCAGATTCACAGAGCCACCACTCCTGGCCTGGACTGGCCTTGTGTCTTGTGTCTGTGTTTCGGGGAGCAGATCATTGGGTTCTCTGTGTCTGACATACGGTGCAGAGTTGTGCTTACAGCAGACGCCTGGCTGCCTTCCTACCTAGAGCTGAAGACCCTAGGTGACGGGCTGAGACTGTAAAGGGTGTGCAGACTCTTAGTCTGTCTTAACTCCAGATCAAGACTGCACATCCTGGACAACCCTGCTTTGGTGTTTTGTTTATGCTCTTCCTTGTCATCTGTTGTCCCAAGTAGTGTGGCCTAGAGCTGACTGTTTGCATTTCTCCTGCAGTCATCTTATCGTGTGTGTGTGTGTGTGTGTGTGTGTGTGTGTGTGTGTGTGTGTGTGTGTGCATGCATGTGTGTATATGTATAATGTATGTATGTATGTATGTATGTATGTATATATTATGTATGTATGTATGTATGACTTAACAGTCAGAATGAAGCTGGCTGTAGTGGTGCATGCTTGCCACCCCAGCATTTGCCATGGGCAGATGGGGGAGGATGATGACTGACAAGAGTCTGAAGTTGGGGTGGGCTACATAGTGAGACCCTGTCTCCAAAAAAAAAACTAAACGAAAAGTAAAGAAAACCCCAAAACCAAAACCCCACCATCAACAACACACACACAAAAGGAAAACAACAGGAAGATAGCGCCTTTCCACATGAAGCAGCTGGGGCTAATGGAGGTTAATTTTCATCTGCTGCAGTCCTGTGTGTGTGTGTGTGTGTGTGTGTGTGTGTGTGTGTGTGTGTGTATGTGTGTGTGTGTAGGTCGGGGACAACTCTCCTTTTCCTATGGGTCCTGGGGATCGAGTCAGCCGTCACACTTGGCAGCAAGCACCTTTACCCACTGGGCTGTCTTGCCAGCCCTCAGCTTGTGGACGTTAGCAATCGCGAGCATTGCTGCTCTCTCCCTAAGTGGTGTTGTGCTTTTATTGCAGCATTCTTGAGACTCTGTCTTGTACAGGCTGCTCCCTCAGCCTTGGCTATGTGTACAGATGCACTCCCAGGCGCCTAGACTACAAGAGAGACCTGTTCTGCCTCAGCGTTGAAGCCATTGAAAGGTAGGCTTATAGCTAAGTGGCTGCCTCATGACTGATGTCTCAGTCAGCTTTGCAAAAATTGGTATGAGAACAGCAGTGCTTAATCAACTCTGTTGGGTCCAAATATTTTTTTGAGTAGCAATTTCTGACAGTAAAGCCAATGAGTCACCCTTTGTGTATAATTCATTTGGTATTGGGAAGGTCAGACACTAAGTTATAGGAGAAAATGTGAGACATTTTTTAAAAGTAAAAACTGACTGAGTTTTTTGATTTTGGGTTTTTGAGACAAGGTTTCTCTGTGTGGCCCTGGCTGCCCTTGAACTCTGTCTGTAGACCAGGCTGGCCTTGGACTCTGAGATCTCCTGTCCCTGCCTCCCAAGTGCTGGGATTACAGGTGTGCGCCACCGCTAGTTTCAGTGCTGGCTTCAAAGTCGCAGTCCTCCTTCTGCCTCCCGGATGCTGCGGTCACGTGCATAATTACGCCTAGCAGATGCTGTTAAGCACTTGTGTGGACCAGCGTGCACCGTGCACACTCCCTGTCCCCGTCATAACCTCTCAGAACAGCGCTTCCCAGCCTCCCTAATGCCGTGACCTTTAACACAGTTCCTCATGGTGTGGTGACCCCGACCATAGCATTATTTCATTGCTGCTTCATAACTGCATTTTTGCTAAGGTTATGAATTATAATGTGAATACCTGATGTGCAACCCCTGTAAAAGGGTCTTTCGGCCACAAGGGTCAGGACCCACAGTGAGAGCAGCTGCCTTAGTTGATCATGAGCAAGGGCTGGGATGTCGCTCGGTGCCGTATGCACAGAACCCTTGGTTCAGAGCCCAGCCCGGTGGGGACTGAGGGTGGTGGTGCACACTGTGGTCTCTGCGCTTGGCGGGTGGAGGCAGGAGGATCGGGTATTGAAACTGTGTAGAGCTGACCTTGGAGCCTTGAGACTCAGAATCCCCTCTGACTCCCCAGAAGAATCTCACAAAGTATTGGCATTTCAGATTGGTTAAGAAAGCAGTCCCTTTGGTATTCTAGTAAATTTAGTTATGTACTGTAATAAAGAATTGTATGATTTTTTTTTGTTTTGTTTTCTGTTTTTTCAAAAATGCAAGGAAATGTCTGTATTCTGCAAGATTTCTTAAAAGCATTAGGAAACAATGTGAATTGGGTGCCATATGCCCCTAATTTCAGATCATCTTTAATTGAAATGTTTTAGTACCATGGATTGATCATATTGACATCACACATGGATTGATCATATTGACATCATACATGGATTGATCATATTGACATCATACATGGATTGATCATATTGACATCACACATGGATTGATCATATTGACATCATACATGGATTGATCATATTGACATCATACATGGATTGATCATATTGACATCATACATGGATTGATCATATTGACATCATACATGGATTGATCATATTGACATCATACATGGATTGATCATATTGACATCACACATGGATTGATCATATTGACATCACACATGGATTGATCATATTGACATCACACATGGATTGATCATATTGACATCATACATGGATTGATCATATTGACATCATACATGGATTGATCATATTGACATCATACATGGATTGATCATATTGACATCATACATGGATTGATCATATTGACATCATACATGGATTGATCATATTGACATCATACATGCATTGATCATATTGATATCATACATGGATTGATCATATTGACATCATACATGGATTGATCATATTGATATCATACATGGATTGATCATATTGATTTCATACAATGGATTGATCATATTGATTTCATACAATGGATTGATCATATTGATATCATACAATGGATTGATCATATTGATATCATACATGGATTGATCATATTGACATCATACATGGATTGATCATATGGATATCATACATGGATTGATCATATGGATATCATACATGGATTGATCATATTGATTTCATACATGGATTGATCATATTGATATCATACATGGATTGATCATATTGATATTCACCTCCTCACCTCAACTTCTCCCAGTGTCATCGTCCCACCTGTTCCCTCCAGAACTTGCAGGCCTCTTTCTTTTGTAATTTAAATAACCCGTCAGGTCCAATTTGCGTTGCCTCTATACTCCTGTGTGTGTGTCCACTAGTGCGCAGTCCCCTGCCAGGACACCATGTGTGCCACCAGGACTTTGAGGATCCAGTCAGTCAAGGGGAAGCCTGAGGCAGCTGGCCACACTGCACCTCAGCCAGGAGGCAGATGAGTTCCCAGCTCTCTATACTCTTCTCAGGTGCTTTTCAGATTGACCTGGAGTCAGGGAGGCTTGTGAACTGTCATGTGGGTGCTGGGAACCGAACTCAGCTCCTACAGGAGCAGCAAGTATTGGTCCTCAACTACTTACAACCATAAGTAGTTCACCCCGAGGTTGTCCAACCCTTGGTAATTATTAGTACTTAATAAAAGTCACACTTGGAAGTACCCTGTTCCTGGGAAGTCAGGGAAAGCAAGCTGTGGGGCCTTAGGGTTGCTCTGTTTGCCCTCGGCCCTGACCTGTGATGTCACTCTGCTGCCTGCCCGCCCAAAGAGGAGGGCTTCTTGCAGCAGTGAAATATTTATGACGGAAAGTGAATGCAGGGCCGCCCGGACAGCGCCTTTAGTGAGGGTGAGGTTACGTGGAACAGTGTCACCAGGTGTCCACGAGCCGAGTGCTCTTCATACGGGGCGTGGAGTATGGACTCAGAGGGCGTTGTTAGCTGCTGTGACGGTGCTGGTTCCTTCTCATGCGTGAACTCTGTACTGCATCTCAGTTACACCTTAGGATCCTCTGAAAAGCAAATCGTGCCAGAAGACAAGGAGCTTTTCAATCTTGAAAGCAGAGTTGAGATAGAGAAGTCTATAAAGCAGGTGAGTTTACTCTCAATTTATGTCCCCTCCGCGCCACCCTGAGATGTCACACGCTTTGCTTTTAGCACTTGGCAGTGAGAAAGTGCTCGTCGTGCATTAGGGAGTGGATCTGTGAGCTGACGCTGTGTCAGCGGAACACTGAACACATTCCATGCCGAGATCTAAACACTACCCATGCTAAGCCAGCAATGTCGCCTTGAGCAAAGCAGTACTGAAATTGTTTAACGCTCTGTCTCGGGGTCTGTGTGCTTGGCCTGCATGTATGCGTGTGCACCATGTGCTTGCTTGGTGGAGGTTGGAAGAGCCTCCAGTCAGGTCTCAGGGATATGAACCAAGGTGGTCAGGGTCAGCAGCAACTAACTTTGCCTGCTAAGCCATCCTGTGGCCTTACTAGGATTGGCTTGCCTGGTATTTGACTCATTGCTGAATGCTAATGTTTCTTGAGGATGGTGAGTTCCTTGTAGCTGTAGATTGTGGGTTGTGTTGTGACTAAAGCCTAATAAGATTATGAGTACATCTTATTCAAGTTAGAGTCACTCCTCTACAGAGTTTTGTTAGGCCTAACATCTTTACGTCATGCAAAACATTCAAAATGGCAGGAATTATTTAATCATTAACCTATGAGTAATTACTCACCCTCACACTGTTTTTTCATGCCTTTCCATCCGGAAGATGGAAGATGTCCTGAAGGCCTTGGAAATGAAGCTGTGGGAGGTGGAGTCCAAGCTGTCCTTTGCAGGCCGCTGCAGCTGACGGTGTTCCGTACACCCCCCCCTTGGTCCCAAAGTGTGGTCACACTCTGTCTTTGAGGGGAAGAGGTCACTGTTTCTTAATTGTGTGAGTTCTTATTTTCATAAAAAAAAAACTGGGGTGATTTTTCTGTTAAATTCATTGTATGTGTGCATTTGTCTATTTTTTTTAAAACTGTCACTTTAATACTTTGTATATTTATGAATGAGCAGTAAGAAAATCACTCATCTCGGATAAGATTTTAGTGGGATGTATTAGATTTGGACTTTTTATAATGTAAAACTTCTATAAGGAACATGTATTATTTTTATAATAAGGAAGAGAATAAAGATTTTAAAAGTGCTTGAAGGTTCATTTGTTTGTTTACAAACTAAATTGATATTTAAATGAGATAAAAAATTCTGCGGTCCTGAAATCCACATACTCACTGAGCATGTACTGTGGTCTGCTCAGCCCAGAAGCCCTTTCTAGGTACAGATGAGACTTGTCACAGCACCCTGTGGGACCGACTCAGTCAATTCCCTGTCAGTTCTGAAGCATTCTGAAAATGCTAGAGTTACAGCAAGTGAGCTGTGGGTGTGCCCCTAGTGACTGGAAGGCTTCGGGGGGGGGGGGGGCATTTCAGTTCCAGCTATGGCAGATTGTATGCACTCCACCTTTAGTTTTTTTTTTTTAAAGATTTATTTATTATGTATATAGTGTTCTGCCTGCAGGTGAGAAGAGGGCGCCAGGTCTCATTACAGATGGTTGTGAGCCACCATGTGGGTGCTGAGAGTTGAACTCAGAACCTCTGGAAGAGCAGTCAGTGCTCTTAACCTCTGAGCCATCTCTCCAGTCCTCACCTTTAGTTTTTTTAATTTGACAGTGGACCACAGACACCTGTGGTGTGCAGGAGTTGGCGTCTGAAATGTTCGGAAACACCTGAGCCGCTGGGTAAACCACCAGCAGCTTGAAGTTGGGCAGAGAGGGGTTGCGAGTATTACACTGGAGAAATACAAACAAAACACAGGGTTCCCTCTTCCCAGCTGCTTCCTAGCAATGTAGTCTGTTTCAATCTTGCTCCATCCCGTTTAACTTAGCATTGAGAAAAAAATAATTCAACATATGAAAGACCATTCTTAACATCTCATTTGTTAAGGAAAAAATGAAAGTCTTACAACCATAGGATTATAACATTATAACTGCATTCTTATTCTTCCTGAATAAGAAAACTGGTCAGCATCTGTGTAAACAGGCAGAGGAAGTACCTGCCATCACTGCTGAACTGGTGATGGAGCAGGAATTTATACTTCATCTAACCATACTTGTGGGTGTTCAGTCTTTGTAGTGTGGTGCCCTTTTTCCTGTGTGTGTGTGTGTGGAGGCTGGAGATTGGTGTCAGGTGTCTTCTCTCTCTACCTTATTTTTTGAGATAGGATCTTAACTGGAGCTTGATAACTTGGCAAAGCTAGCTGGCAGTGCTCTCCAGGGAACCCTCTGTCTCTGTTTCTGCTCTGGGGCTTTCAGGAATCTGAGTTTTTTCTACCATGTGGACGCTCACGCTCATGATCCTACTTAGGTCGTGGGGCCTGAAGACTTTACCTATTGGGCACCTTGTCAGCCCCGCCGCCCTGTGCTGCTCTGTGTGCATCTGGCTGAGCTGGTGTTCGTAGGTGTGCTGCGTCTCACCCGCCCCTCTGAGACCCTGGGACACCCTCTTGGGGACTGCAGATGGCCCAGCAGTGGTGGTTGTCATCCCTCAGTTAGTCACGGGCCTCACTGCCTTGATGATGTGCTCTAGACTTGGGGGAACTGCTCCTTCGAGACTTGAGATGCCTCCAACCCCTTCTGAGAACCGGAAGTGTCAGAGCCTGGACTGAATGGAGGCAATGCATGACTTTTTAAGATGAGCAGTTTTTATCCTGTTTATTCGTTCATCAGTTTCGGTGCGGGTCCCCAGCTCACTTGGCACACTAGTGACCGTGATGAGGGCCATCAGAGTCTCAGGCAAGTCTGTGATAAGGATAAGTGACACCATCTGCAAAAGCTAGCCCTAGAAGACGGTTGTCCAAGTTCCCCTCGTGTTTTAGGATTAACATACAAGAATAAAACAGAACACCCCCGAATGAAGTGATAGCATAGGGCTTAGCATATAATGTTAACTGTGAGTAGGAATTCAGGGGGAAATTACCCAACTCAACTCATTTACATGTGTAATTACCCACCTGTGATCATTCTTCTGTTGTGTCTATTCCTTCTCCCACACAAGCTAAAAATACCTTGTATTAAAAATTGGTTTTTTCTAGTTGAATACAGTGAATTCTTAGAATTGGAGGTAAAAATATGATTTGAAACAGGACTCTGATCACAGAGTCTGTGTGCCAAGTGAGTGAGAAGCCCAGCGGACAGGCCTCGTAAGCGATCTGCAGACTCGGGAGGGAATCTGAGGTACATAGACCCAAGCACCCTGATCACAGAGTCTGTGTGCCAAGTGAGTGAGAAGCCCAGCGGACAGGCCTTGTACGCGATCTGCAGACATGCAGACTCGGGAGGGAATCTGAGGTACATAGACCCAAGCATCATGCTGCTCCCAGTGCCGGGAGAACCAGCTGTAGCTTTGTTCATGTAGGACCCACAGGGGCACAGACACGTGCCACCCGGAAGTGTTGCCCCCCTCATAGGCGTGCTCCCGTGTTAGGGGATGGACTCTGCCCCCCCCACAAGGATTCTCTGGAGAAGGGTGACCTCAGATCTCGGGGTTTGCAGGAGGAAGTGGTCCCAGGTCTCAGCATTGTCAAGGAATTGTACCACCCCACAACCTTGCCTGGGTTGGGAGGACAGGAGCCTAAGGGGAACAGCATCCAGGATCATGCAAGCCCCAGAGTCAAGAGACCCACGTGGAGCTGTGCTGGGCATCCCACATGGCAGGGACCTCCCTCAGAGTCCTGTAGCCACCCAGGGTGTCCATGTCCATCGCGGAGGCTTCAGAAACACAGACGACGGCAACGTGTGTCCCTGAGACTCTGATGGCCGTCATGACGGTCACCAGTGTGCCAGGTGAGCTGGGGACCCGCACCGTCCACTTTGTCTCCTCCACGTACGGTAGGTTAGTGTCGCTTAGGCGGAACGAGATTTTTTATTTTTATTTCCTGAATCAGACCACAAGGGGCCGCATTTCACCACATAAATATTCACCATGTCTGGCTACTCACTGGCACCACACAGGGACAAACTGAGTCGCTGCTGGGGCCTCTTCCAACTAACCTGGCGCATCGGAAGCTTCTCAGGTAAACAGCACAGCCAGGGCTCCCCCAGCCCCTTCACACACACCCCCCATCAGATTACTAAGTTTCTCATCTCATCCCTAAAGCTGTTTCCTCCTACGTTCCCGCAAGCAGTCTCCGTGAGACTCAGATTGCACCAGAGAAGTTAATTATGGTTTCTCTTTCACTCGCTTCCTATGTTTCCATGACTCAGGTTCATCTCTAAACCCCCTCCCCGAAGGCTGCCTCCCCGATACCCGTGCCTGCCGGCTCCATTTGGAGTTGCCAACTGAGGGGTGTCAGGTTTTGTGGAGATACACTTCTGATCACCCCACCAAGATGCCTGACTCACAAGGGACTTCTCAAGAGTTCTCCCCATTTGTCTCCGTGTCACTAGTTTCTCTGGAGGACTTAGGGAACGGCACTGTTAATGGACCAAGGCATCCAAAGCACCTTCAGGGAGTCCATTTTCCAAAACGTAAGTCCATGAAGGCAGTTGGAGCTGACCCCCTCTCTCCACAGCTTCCGTAGCTGTGAATTCAAAGAAGCACAGAGCAGAAATTACAGGGGTGCTAGGGAGATGGCTCAGCTGGAAAGGTGCTTGGCTGGCAAGCATGAGCATCTGAGTTCGATCCCTAGGACCGCCTGGCATGGTTGTGAGTGCCTGTGATCCTAGCACTGGGGAGGTAGAGACAGGATCTCCAGGACTCAGTGGGCAGCTAATCTAGCCTAATGGGTGAGCCTCGGGTCCCAGTGAGATCCTGTCTTAATATAAAAGCAAAGACAATGGCTTTCGAGGAACAACATCCAAGGTTGAACTCTGGCCTTCATAGGTTCCTGTACATGTACATGTGCATGTGTGCCCTTCGGGGGGGGGGTGCACATACACACACGCACACGAACACACACTGTCCACTTCCCACAAATACTTGAGAAAAGTTTTATCTGTACTGAATATCTGTAGATTCCTTTTCGTTATTAGTTCTAAATAATAGCATATAACACTATTTGCATTGCATTTACATTGTGTTAGGAATCAAAAGTAACTGAGAAGTGATTTAAAGCGTGGGAAGATGTGGTTCGATCGTGTGCAAAATACAATGCCATTTTGTAGCAGGGACCCTGTGGGTACCGAGAAAGGACTGTTTTAGTTCCCATTTGCCGAAACCCAGGTTTGCATTCGCGTATTTAAATTATGCTCAAGTTAACAGCAGAGGCGAAGGTTGTTCTGTGAGGTCTAGACAGACAGAGGAGCCTGGAGGCAGTAGTCTGGGTCCTGTCATGCTTGTAGCAGATGGTAGTTCATACCCTTGACCCTTACTTCCCAGCCACAGTGTCCTCAATTGTGTAATGAGGAATTGAGTTAAAATGACCTGTAAAGTTCCCTTTCAAATCCATTAAAAAAACAGAAAAATGTTATGCTAATTTTTGTTATATTTATTTTTGTGAGTCTCCATCTGTGTGTGTGTGTCTCCGTGTCCGTGTGTGTGTCTTCGTGTCTGTGTGTGTGTGTGCATGCTACAGTGTGTGTGTGTCTCTGTGTCTTCATGTCTCTGTATGTGTGTGTGTATGCATGCTACAGTGTGTGTGTGTGTGCATGCTACAGTGTGTGTGTGCATGCTAGTGTGTGTGTGTGCATGCTACAGTGTGTGTGTGTGCATGCTACAGTGTGTGTGTGTATGCTACAGTGTGTGTGTGTGTGCATGCTACAGTGTGTGTGTGTGCATGCTACAGAGTGTGTGTGTGTGTGTGTGTGTGCGCGCGCACGCGCGTGCTACCCCGTATGTGGGGGGTCAGACAACCTCTTGCCGGAGTCACTTCTCTCCATGTGGGTCCCAGGGTCAGGCTTGTCAGCAAGCACTGTGCCGTCCCCCTTGCTACCTCTCTGGCCTCTACTATATCTGTTTCAATTAAGCAAAGGTTTCAGGGCTCCTAATCTGAAATCCAAAACTTTCTGAATGCCAACCTAACCCCATGAGTAGAAAACTTCACAGCCACTGTGATGGGTCACCGTGAAAAGAGCATAGAGCTAAAACCACTGTGTGAAGGTACCTCCGCCCTACGTATGTCAGATGCGTGTGGAAACGGTGTTGGTTTCCC